TTGCTTTCTCTGCTTTCGCCCGGTTCCCGTCCCGTTTCGGCGGGGAGTCTATGTTGCAAGCTAGTTCTTGCTTTACCAGACTTTAAGCCCACACAAGCTGGTTCCGCCAGCGGGACGGGTGGCGGTGGGTGCTGCGTGCTGCCATTCCATCCGCCCCCTAATTGGCAGCGTTGCACAAGCTTTCTCTCTTGCACTGCGACTCCATGATGCTTGCCCCAGCAACACAGCTACACGCCTCCGCTGTTCGGGTTGTGGGCCAGGGGTTGCTCTCCCCAGCCAATTCGGCCTACCACTGTCCTCGACTGTTCTATCGTACATTCCACTGCTGCATCTTGCTGTCGAGCCCAAAGCGCAGGCAGCGTTGGCGTGCCGGGGCGCTGCTCAGTGCCCAGGCTCTTTCGCAGTGGGCTGCACAGGAGCTGGCTGCACAGCAGTGGCTGATGGCAGGCCTTGCGGACTCGGTCGGAACTGGATGGCAGGCGCCAGTGGCAGCACAGCGGGCAGCGGCGGCATGGGCATCAGCGTCAGCAGTTGGGCAACCCAGCTCCCAGGCTGCCCTGGTTGTTGGCAGCCTGGTGTCAGCACTGCAGCCCTCTTGCTTTGACTCGGCATGCCAGCAAGAGAAGGACACGCTGCTGATTGCTAGGTGCACCTGCTGGCCATCGTGCCTTGCTGCCCGCTCGGCATCCTGTGCCATACCTCCCCTTCGCGTATGCTGTTTACTGTACGGTTGGTGGCTGAGGTTGCACCACAGCGCTGGCCCCGTGCCCTGCACCTGCAGCTTGGCAGTCCCGTTGCTGATGCTCGTGGCGGCAGTGGCCTACTTGCTACGCCCACCCCCCCAGGGCAGCTTGGACGATGGCACCCTGTTTGAGGACAGGAAAACGGGTGCGCTGCTCACCTGGTGCCCACTTCTGGTTTATGACATCTGGCTACAGCCACCCATGTGATCCTGGATCCTTTGCCCCAACAGGCACTGTGTTTCAAGCCCCAGAGGGCGCATCTCCCGAGCGGGACGGGCGCGGCGAGCTGGCCTTCCGGGCTATCAGCTATACGCCTTGGCCAGTGGAGGAGGGGGCAGAGGGGGAGCGGCTGCGCATCGATGTCGGCACCGTGGGCGAGCGCCAGCCGCGCACCTTTGTGTTCAGCAAGGTAACAGTGGGGCCTGCGCCGTGCCCTGCCTCGTCTGGCACTTGCCTGCTCCCGGTCAACTGCACGGAAGTGAGGTGCCCCTCCTGCGTCGCACCGCGCACTGCGCCACTCACGCTCGCCGTGTAGGTGCTGCCGCATCCCAGCCAGCTGGTGGTGACCACACTTGAGCGGCCGCTGGGCATCGTGTTTGAGGAGGATGCACGGCGCAAGCGTGTGGTTGTGGCTGGCTTTGTACCGGGTGCGACTGGCGCCAGCTGTGCTGGCAGTGGGTGCTGCGCTGCCCATATGACACGATGCAAAGCCGCTGGCTCGCCTGCTTTGCAGCTGGTACGATAGGTCACCTCTCAGCAGCGGACTTTAATATTGCCTGCTGAATGGCCCCATCCTGCAGGTGGCCGCGCAGAGCAGAAGGCAAAAAACGCACGGCTGAACACGTCGCTGGCTGCGTCGGTGGCCATGGAAGGCGATGTGCTGCGAGCGTGCTCCTGCACCAACATCGTATATGGCCTCCGTTCTCTCCCTGTACGCTCGACGGTCGTCTATGGCGCAGATGGGCAGGGCTGGCCGCAGGTGGGCTGGGTTGGCGTTAGCTGTTGATGCCTGGAGGGTTGGGGGGGGTGTCCTGTGGTGGGAGCACAGGGCCTCCGTTGCCTCCTGCCCTGTGACCCATGCTGCAAATGTATTGCTGCTGCCGCAGGTCGTCGCGGCGCTGAAGAAGGGGCTGGTTTCAGATGGTCCGGTCACCCTGGTGCTTGAGCGTCGGCTCCCGGCTGGCAGACAGGGTGCGGCCGCAGATGCAGCGTCGGCAGCAGCGGCGCAGGAGAGCAGTGGCTGCACTGATGGGCCCAGGCCTTGATGTGATGTAGCATTGTTTGATGCTGCAATTTGATGATGCGCATTTGATATGGTAACTTGGAGCAGCTTCCAGCTCCAGTCTGGCGGTTGTCCCGATGTTTGGTGGCCGCCTGCCACCGCGCAAACAACCCTCCCCAGCTGCAACGCCGCATGCATGCATGCTTCAATTTCAATTTACATCAAGGCCAAGGTTATCCCTCTTTTATTAGCATTTTGCAGGTGGTGCACGTCCACCCCGAGTACTGCAGAGGCTCCACTGCGCGGCCTCATCGATGGGCCCATCTCCTGGCCTGACCATCCGCTTCCTCTCTGCTTCTGCTGCGCTCCCACAAGCTGCCTTCCCACCCCTGTCGCTGTGGCATACCCGACCTGGCCGAGAGCCCGCAGCGAGCCCATGCTCATGCATCACTGACCTCCAGCAGACGTCTGGAATGCCGATGGCTGGCCCAGGCAACGGCTACAGTGCAGGCGGCTCGGGGGCTCCCCTAGCCCTTGATATCCCGCGCTACTCGATTGTGAAAGCATTAGGACATGGGGCCTTTGGTAGGCAGCGTGAATGGCTGGTTTCTGAGCATTGCTGGGGTCGGGGGGAGGAGGTGTTGCGCAATAAGGCATGAGTCAAGTGGCGGGAGCCCCTTGCACGACCGCTTGCTAGCGCCAGGGCATGCAATTGACCCATATGTAGCTTTGGTGGGGCGATGGCGATGGCGGCTGCCGTATGGACAGGGTGCGGCAGGGGATGCTGCGGTGACAGCCCATGCCAGTCTGAGTGCAACTCTTCTCCACCTCCTGCGCTGCAGGCATTGTTGTGCAAGCCCAGGACCTGCAGAATGGTGCCATGGTGGCCGTCAAGCTGCTAGCGCGTGGCTCCTACTTCTCATCCTCTGCCTCTGTGAGCCCGAGCTTGATGCAGCGGCGGTGTCAGCAGCAGGGGTGCTGCAAGCGACTCCGAACCCAGGCAGCCCCAGTAGATGATGGAGTGCATGCATTGCTGCTGCCATCCGCCATCCGTCTCACTGGAGTGCCTTCCCGCCTCCCCCACTTGTGTGCAGAACAAGCCATACATGCTGTACGTGGGCCGCGAGATCCTGCACCAGGCCTCACTGTCCCACCCCTTCATCGTGCAGGTGTGTGGTCGCCACCCATTCCCCGCCAATCAGACCGGCAGGGCCGCCTCCACCCTCCAAGGCGCCTGTGAGGTGCATGGGCTGCCTGACCGCCACCCCTGCTGCTGTGGTTCCACAGGTGTACGAGGTGTTCCTCACCTCCCAGCACCTGGCCATCGCCATGGAGTTTGGCGACGCCGGCAGCCTGCTGACGTACCTGCAGAAGCAGCCGGGGCGGCGCCTGCCCGAGGCCACCGCCCGCTGGCTCTTCCAGCAGCTCGTCATCGGCCTCTCCTACACGCACCACCGGGTGGGCGCGGCGTGCTGCCAGCCCTTCCGCATGACTTGCTGTCGGCTGGGCAGCTGCAGGCATCACATCGGCAGCGCCGTGCATTTTGTTCCATGGGCCTCCCCTTCCCCTCCTCTCTGCAAACCACGTGCCCCCACACCTGTCCTCCCTTCCCATCACCCCTGAGCCGCTCCCCTCCCCTCCTGTCCCCTCCCCTCCCCCCAGGGCGTGGCCAACCGCGACCTCAAGCTGGAGAACATGCTGCTGTGCACCAACGGCGCCGACCACGGCCGCCCGCTGCTCAAGATTGGCGACTTTGGCTACTCCAAGCACGACTACAACTCCAGCGCCCGCACGCGCTGCGGCACAGAGGTCTACATGGCGCCAGAGGTGGTGTGCTGCACGGGCAAGTACGACGCAAAGGTGAGGCCCGCACCCCCGCCAGCTTGTTTGTGTGCTCTGTGTGGCTAGAGGAGGAAGGAGGATGGGTGGCAGGGGCGCTGCCGGACACGTGGGCCAGGGTGGTTGAGGCTCGCCCGTGGCGCAGCCCGCCCAAGAGTCCACCCAATGATGCCTGCCTCCCGCCTCGCCCTCTGCTGCGAGCGCAGAAGGCTGACGTCTGGTCGCTTGGCGTCATCCTGTGTGAGCTGGCTGCTCGTGCCTTTTGCTGGCTGCACGTGTTGTGAGGTTGCCGCTAGTGCCGTGAGAGCGTTGCTAGTGTTGGGAGGGTGCTGTTGGTGTCGCTTCCAGCCGCCTGGGTGCGTAGTGGCCTGGGCCCGTTGGCAAGGTGTGCGCCGTGCGCTGCACATGGGCCGGTGCCAGCACATGCGTTGGCGCCGCACGGTGCAGCTGGGGCAAGGGCAAGATGCAGCCGCAGCGAGCCTCCTGGCTGTTTGTCCCTGCCTGTGCGCCTGCCTGTCTCCTGCTCCCTGACAACGCCTGCCCGCCTGCCTGCCTGGCGCCCCCCGCTGCCCGCCTGCAGACACCATGCTTGTGGGTGGCTTCCCTTGGACCCCGGGAGATATAAACTGCGTGCAGAACATCACGGAGGCCAAGGTGGGGGTAGACAAGGGCTGCTGAGAAGAGGCTGGGCTGTGCTGCTACTTCCTTCCCGCGGCACAGGCTGCATGGGATGGCAGGGGCTGCACCAGCCCGCTGACGCCTCCGCCTCCCCTCCCTACCCGCAGTATATCATCCCGCCTAGCGTCTCCATATCCCCTGCCGGCCTGGAGATGCTCAGCCACCTGCTGTGCGCCGACCCCGACAGGCGGTGGAGCACAGAGCAGGTGGGCGGCATGGCCCATGCCGCCGCTGCCATGCCTTTTTGCCCTGCCCCGCACCCTGCCCCGGACGCCTCATCGCTCCCTGCTGCCTGCCTGCTCCCCTTGCCCGCAGATCCAGCAGCATCCCTGGTGAGCTGCAGGCACAACGGCTTTGTGGGGATGGTGGAGGGGCTGGGGGCATCTGGCCAGGGTGCATTGCCGGTCGCCATTCGCGCCGCGACCGCGACAGCCTGCCCCGCTCAGCGCCCGCCCCTCGCCGCTGGAACCCTCTGTGTGTGCGCCTGCCCGCCCGCCTGCCTACCTTGCCCGCCCGCCCGCCTGCCCACCCTGCCCTGCCCTCCTGCCTGCCCTCCTGCCGCAGGTTCCAGGAGGACTTGCCCGAGGGTGCGCGCGCCATGAACGACTTTTACTTCAACAACGCGCCCACCGTGGACCACGCCGCGCCCAAGATCGCCCAGATACTGGAGCACGCCGCGGTGCCGGGGGCGCCAGGTGCGCGCCCGCTTGCGCGCGCGGGTGTGTGTGAGACAAAGTGTTGTGGGCGAATGGGCGGGCGGCTGTAGGGGCTGATGGCGGCCGTGGCGGCGCCGCTTCCCTGCCAGCACGCTGCTGCCAGGCTCTGCTGCCACCCGGCTGCTGCTTGGGTTGCAACAGCCTCCCGAGGAGCCCGCCTGCCGGCCCCCCCACCCGTTGCTTTCCTCTGTGCAGATGAGCCGCTGATGACGTGCCGGTTTTCGCTGCCGCCGCGCACCATCCCGGCCAGCGCCTCCGCTTGACGGCCCGTCAAGCGTGGGGGGCTGCGATGCAGCGCTTGCGCCGCCCCAGCCTGTTGGATACTGTAAACCAAGTCTATTCTTGCGCGCTGCTGCCGAGCGCACACGCGCTTTACATTTTATATCTGGTGCCCTTTAGCGCCACCGACCCAAGAATTGTTTGCTCTTTTCCTCTCTCGTGCGCGCCTGCATCAAGTTTTCCCGAGCGATTGCAGGCCTTGCTGCAGGGGCTCCCGTTTCTGTGGGGTTGCCCCTGCCTCCCCGACCCCTTCACCTTACCCCTCCACTCCTCCGATGCATGCATTTCATCTGTCATACATGTAGCTGTCTATTTCCGCATCTGCTTGCCTGCCCTGATCTGGTATTAGCTCAGGTGCCAATGTAAACGATCAAGCCCCACTTACAGCCTGTTGCCACAGTGAGATGCCGGGCAGTAGCAATGCTCAGCCACAGCCAGCTGGAGCTGCCACGTGTCAGCAGAGCATGGTGGTGGCTTGGGCTCAGCGCCAGGGGAAGCTTACGAATGCATCACGCCGTGCCGCTCAGCGCCACCAGGCACACGCCCTGCTGCGCTCGCTGCACCAGCCCCTGAACCTCCCTGCTGCCCTTGGCAGCGGCGTGTCGTGCCCTCTGCGCGTGCTGCCCCTCCTACTTGCGCTTGCTGCCCTCGCCATGCAGCGCTCGGCACAGAGCCGTGTTGCCCTGCCCGCTCACCACCAGCAGCAGCGCGCCGGCAGGCAGCGCTGCCGCCAGCTGTGCCAGGCGCTGGTCTGCCTGCTGCAGAATGCGGCGAGGCTCGGGGTCCCGCTGCGCTGCCGCCACTGCCTGCCCCAGGTTGAGCGCGCCGTCCTGCACCAGCAACCAGCAGGCCTTCTTCCATCATACTTGCACAGAGAACACAGCATGCGCTGCCCAGCACTCGCAACGCGCAGAGTGGCAAGGCAACAGGTGTTCCGAGCTGACCTGGCCAGCGAGCTGCGTGGCACGCCCTTCAAGGTAGTCCCAGAGCTCGCTCAGCTGCAGCCACAGCAAGTCCGGCCCCTGCTGCTGCTTCTGCTGCACCGCCGGGGAAGGCCGCGGCTGCTGTTGTGTCGCTGCGCTGCCTGCCGGGCCTGCCGCCGCCGCTTCTGGCCTCGCAGGCGCCTGCTGCTCCCGTTGCGCGCCACCCAGCAGGCGCAGCGCAGCCTCCACCGCCTGCCCATCGCTGCTGCACGCAACTACCTCTGCCTGCGGCACCGCATGCAGCATCAGCATCTCGCGGGGCGCCGCCAGCGCCAGGCGGCGCCCGCGGGCTGCCAGCACATCAAACAGGTGGCTGCAGCCTTGCTTGACGGTACCGTAGGTTGGGCCGTACCGCCATTTCAGCTGCACCGCCTGCAGCGCCACCTCAGCATCGATGTAGCTATCGTGCGCCCCCTGCTGGATGGTGCGGGCCAGCAGGCGCTGCGCAAGCGTGCGCAGCGAGGAGCGGTGGGGCAGGCCCCTGGGGTGCGGGTACAGCACCGCCGAGTCGATGCACCTGCCGTGCGCCAGGCGCAGCGCTTTGAGATCATTCTCCAGGGTGTGGCCCACCTGCGGGGGCAGGGGGGCAAGAGGGGATGCAGCCTGACACATAAAGCAGCACCAGGACGCCCAAACAGGCCCATTGGCGTATGCGGAGGCACGTGGAAATGTCATGCTGGCAAGAACGGGAAAGGCGAGGCGCAGGTGCGGCACTCCTCGGCACCGCCCCTTAAACCTGCCCCACCACCGTGCCTACCAGCAGTGTGTCGGGCCCCACATGCCGCAGCACCAGACGCTGTGCATCGGCGCACCGCGTCGTCAGCCCCTCCAGCATCGCCGCTGTGATGCCTGAGTAGCGAGTGTTGTAATCCAGCACAGGGTTGTCCGGGACCACCAGCGCATCCAGCAGGCGCGCGCCGCTGCCGCCAACCAGCGACACGCGCGCCAGCTCAAAGCCTTCCGCCGTGATCACCATCTCACAGTCCACCGCCACCACCACCTCGGTTGCTGCCCCTGCACCATCATTGGAGGGCGGGCGGCAAGTGCTTCGACTGAAGTGATGGTGGTTGGAGGCGTGCGTCCACGCAGCCAGCAGCTGCACGGCTTTGTCTGAAAGCAAGAGGGCCGCTGAACACACCTGAGCGGTCTCCAACTAGCTCCCGTTGCTGTGCTGTCGACACCCAGCCCGGCGGCAGCGCCTGGCCTGCACCCTGGTCGCTTGCGGCGCAATTGCTGGCGTGGCTGCCGTCCACAGCTGCACCTGGCACCGCAGCCTCCGCTGCATCTGCTGCCTCTGCGGAACCATGCGGGAAGCCCATGACTCTCATCTGCCGCGCCGTTGTTGCAAAAAAAGCGGGCGGGAAGGCCTTCTCAGCTGCCGTAGCATCTTGCTGCTCCCTGTGCTGCAGCGGTGGCTCCTGCCCTCCCTCGGCTGCCGCCGGGACGGCTGCCGCCGCTGCCGATGTCGCCGCCGCCCCAGGAGGCTCAGGCTCAGGCTGCTTGCGCTTGTGGCCCGCCCGCCTGCCCGGCTGCGCCACCGACAGCAGGGCCGCCGTGGTCTGGCTGGCCACCTCGTTGACGGCGGTGGTCTGCAGCAGCACCCGCTGCCTCACTCCCTCCAGCATCTGCCGCAGCACCGGCGGCTGCTCCAACAGCAGCTGGCGGTCCAGCCCTGGCAGCTCTACCACCACCACCGTGCCGGGGCGGCCGTGCACCGACAGCCAGTGGGGGCGAGGGGCGTCTGCCAGCAGGTGCAGCAGCAGGTGCTGGATGTCGCTTGCCATCAGCAGCGGCGACTTGACGGCCAGCTGGCGCAGCGGCGGGCGCCCCGGCGAAGCTGCTGAGGCCGCGGCTGCAGCCGCAGCGGCCACGGCGGCAGGGGAGGGCCCTGCAGCTGGGCCCGGGGCGGCTGCCGCTGCACTGCTGCTCCTGCCGGGCTCGCTGGTGACCGCTGGGCTGGCCCTGCTCGCTCCCTTGGACTTGCCTGCGCCGCCGCCGCCGCCGCTGCTGCTGGCCGCCGCCGCTGCGATGGCGGCAGGGTGAAAGTCAGCTTCGTCCAGACGCCGCCGCTTGGCCAGGCAGCCCTCGAGCCAACTGTAGTGCACAGGCACCGGCGCAGCTGCGCTGCCAGCTGCGGGCTCCTCGTCGCCCACCAACAGATGTGTGGCAGCGGCGGTGGCGCTGCCGGCATCCAGCCAGGTGCCGCCCTCCTGGGCAACACGCCTCTGCCAGATCTTCGAGCGACTAGACTTGTGAGAGATGCGGGCGTCGGCAGACAGCAGAACCTGCAGAAGGGGGAAGACGGGTGGCGGGGTTTGTGTGCGCGGCGGCGGTGGGCGGCATTGGGGAAGGCGGCATCCTGTTGAGCGGCGCTCTAGGGGGATTTCCGCCTTTCGAGATCCTGTGCAGCATTTTCTTGTGCAGCAATTCTGGGCGCTGCCCACCTTGCACCCTGACAGCATGACAGCGATCACATGTGAAAAACAAAGTGGCGAACCAGTGTGGCAGTGCCGGGGTAGAAAAAGAATCGATGAATTGGGGGCGATGAGACAGGCACGCCTGCAATGGCGTGCAGCGCTGTGGCCAGCGCGCCCGTCGCATTCCCTTTTGACTCCCCAAACAGCATGCTTCTGTCATGAACCTCGAAATGGCTGTGTTACCGAGAGAAACAAGGGCAGGCAGAGGTGGGGTTGCATAGCAGGAGCAGAGATGCACGTGAGCTGAGGACAGAAGAATGCTTGTGTTGATTGGGTGAATGGCACAGGCAGGCATGAAATGCCAGGATGAAAGGGGCGATTGTAGGATGAGGTTGCCGTCGAGGCCAATAGCAGCACACAGGGCTGGCTTTGCGATAGGGAGTACAGTGGGGCCCGCACACATGGTACACCGACGGCGGAGTGCACGCTGGAAAAAAATGCAATGGGCGCTCAGTGGGGGGCTTGTACAGCGCAGCAGCGCAGCCTCGACGGGGCGCCGGGCGGCTCAGCGCTCGGCAGGAAGAACAGCAGGGCAAACGGCAGTGCGACGCCAGTCACGTGCTTTTGCCCGCAAGGTGGGCGGCAGCGACGGCTGCGGCCGGGCTTCTACACAGTGGCAGGCAGGCGGGTGCGGCAGGCGCCTACTCCACGTGCAGCTCAGAGGCGTCCCTCCAGGTCTGCAGGCAGGGAGCAGACGGAGCGCCGGGTCAGCCGCCACAGGCACCTGGCCTGCTGGGCCCGGCTGCCACGTGGCCTGCCCTGCTGCTGCTGCCATCCGCCCTGACAACAACGCGGCGGCGCCAGCCGTGCAGGGCAGGGACACGCCGCCCTCCCCAGCCCCCACCTCACCTCTGGCACGGCCCAGCCGCAGGAGGTCTCTATGGCCAGGTTGAAATCGTTGCCGCGCCCGTCAAACGCCTCGCTGGTCACAATGCGGAAGAAGCCCTGCTCGCCCCACGGCTGGCCCCAGCTGTTGCGCACAATCCTGCGGTACGGGTGGCGGCGGGGCAGCACAGGCCGGCGGGGTGTGAGGGGCACGGGTTGGCAGGCCGGGACGCGGTGCAGCACTGAGTGGCTGGGGCATGAGGAGCTGCTTCATGCAGGCAGGCAGGTGCGACTGCGCAGGCGGCGCACCAGAAGGGGATGCCGTCCTCCTCGCCCCACCCCACCACCGACACGATGTGGTTGGTCTGGGGCTCTGCAGGCAGCAGCAGGCAGGCAGCAGAGGCCAGGATCAGCAGAAGCGGGAAGAGAAGGAGAGGACACGGAGGCAGCAGGGGCGCGAGGACAATGGGCCGCTCCCTGCCCCCATGGCAACAACGTTCTTTCCACCCACCGGGGTTGTACTCGGTGTAGATGCCGCCCGTGTACTTGTCCAGGCCCTCGCTGGCGTCGATGCTGCAGGAGATGGGGCCGCGGCGGAAGACCTCGGCCCGCATCGCGTGCGCCCCCTCCACCCGCCCATGCTCCTCCACCACCAGCCGCTGGTACTGCTCCAGGGGCAGGCAGCCCTCGCCGGGCCAGCAGGTGTAGCACTGGTGCTTGTGGTTGCACTCCTGGTTCACAGCCTGGTCTGCGAGGCGGGGCAAGCAGGGGAGGGGAGGAGGCGGAGGGCAGCGGCGAGGGAGGGCGTGCGTGAGCGGGCCTGTCCTGCCTGGGCCTCGTGGCAAAGTGCAGGGAAGAGGCGCTTGCAGCTGCAGCAGCGCAAGCAGGCTAGCAGCTGAAACGGCGGCGGCGGCTCACAGAGGTTGCACGTCTCGTCGGGGCTGGGGCGCGATGGATGGAAGGGGCGAGGGAGGGTGAAGGTGTGAGCAAAGCAGGGACAGGCAGCGCGGTGGGGGCCCAAGGCAATGAGGCCGGCCCAGGCATGGCCCGGCGTTTGCAGTTTCGCAGCGCCGCGAGCTTCAGACCCCCCACCACCCCATACCACGCTCACATGCCGTGGCGGGCGGCGTACTCGTACACCAGTCCATCCCAGCCGCCCTGGCAGCTGCCAGCGTGGCCGCAGTCGATCACGTTCTGCGGGCAACATTGGGCGGGCAGGAGTGTGTGTGTGTGTGTGTGGGGGGGGGGGGGGGGGTCAGCAGGCCATCAACCACACCAGACGTCGCCGACAATGCCCTTGCACAGGCGTGCGCTGACCTGCACGCTGAGGTAGGCGGAGGGCCAGGCGCCGCCGCGCTTGATGTTGATGCGGTCGGCCAGCGAGGAGGTGGCGGCGTGGGCCCAGCAGGAGCCGCAGTACTGAGGGATGTGCTGATTACGAGTGGTCGACAAGTAGTTCGTCCCTGCGCGGCAGGGAAGCCGCGGGCAGGGGGCATCAGCTGCTGGCGCCGGCGGCAGGGGGCGGCACAACAAAGTGCCGGCAAAATGCGGCGCTCCTACCGTTCACGTTGCGCCAGTCGAAGCTCTTGGGCAGGTCTTCGGCGGACAGGAACGTGTGCGGCAGGGCACTCTTACTGCACATGGGGAGGGGGAGCGCAGGACGCTGGTGGCCTCTGCCAGCAGGCGGCGGCGGACGAGGCGGGCCAACATCTGGGCCAGATGGGCCACCCTCTGCCTGCTGCTTTTTGGCGCCAGCAGTGTCAAGGGCTGCTGCAGGGCTGGATCTTCACGCGTGGCAGTGGAAGAGAGGGGGGAGGCTCACACGAGAGGGCGGTAGGAGGGCGAGGGGGTGATTGCGGTAGCGAAGCGGCTGGGCTTGGGCCTTCCCCCAGCTGAGGTATCGCCGGCAGTCAGGGAGGCGCCCTGGGGCTCCAGCACCCGCGCTGCGGCAGTCAGGCCGAGTGTGGCTGCAAGCAGCACCGCAACAACGCCAGCCTTCATACTGGCAGCAGGCTTTGCACTGGAGCCAGAGGCCAAGCCAAGCAACAACACGGGCGGTGCAAACCAGGCGCCGAGACGGATGATGTTGGGGCTACATTTCCAAATTGAGTCGGGGCTCTCACGCCTCCCTTGCGTTGAAATTGCTGCCGTGCACTGCCAGGACGTCTGAGCACGGCCCGCCATCGAAGACTGGAGCTGCCCAGGTTGGTGCCCTGCGTTGCGCCACTTGGGAGCGCTCACAGCGCAGCCACGCCCCTGTAGCTACAGCACATGACTCTGTACATGCTGGGATCAGGGGCTGCAGGGGCGGTGCAGCGACTTGTGCACCTCGGCGCCTACGCCGCCACCGCTGCGCCGACAACCGCTGCCCTTCCTCCCTGATACAGGCCTGCACCCCACCGTAGACCCCATCGGCACGCAGCCAGGCATCCATTTGACAGCTGGCAGCGGGCGCGGCAGCCATGGATGCAGGCAACCACACGGCGCACGACCACGCCGGTCACGACCACGCGGCGCCCGCAGGCGGCGGCGCCATGGACATGGGCGGCGACACAATGAAGTACACTGCCTCAGTGGGGCGCCGCGCAGACGGCTCCTACTACTACTTCCACGGCGGATTCGACGGGCACATCGTGCCGGGCTGCTTCTTCATCGTGAGCGCCGCTGCCGCACACCGCGGATGGCGCACAGCCGTGCCCGCAGTCTGCTCCGCTCTGCCGCCCGCTGCCGTCTTCCCGCCGTCTTCCCACCCCTTGCCCCGCCCCTGCAGGTGTGGGGCCTGTGGTGGGCCATCACCACCTACGCCCACTACATGCAGTGCCTGGCAGCCCGGCGCGGCTTCCGCGCGCGCGGCTGGCAGCTGCTGCCCTTTGGGCTGCGCCGCCTGCGCCGCCTGCCGCTGGAGCCCTTTGTCAAGCTGTGCCTGCCGCTGGTGGGCATCCTGGGGGAGCTGTGGCTGGGGCACGAGTCGTACAGGCGGCTGTACGGCCCAGATGGGCGGTTCACGGACAACATGAATGACTGGCAGCACTCAACCATGTATGCATCCTTCATGGCCTCGGGCCTGGTCGACCTGCTAGCCCACTACTGCGGGGCGCCACCTAGTACGGAGCTGGTGAGCTGGCAGGAGTGTGACGTGCAGCACGATGGGGCTCGCTGGCGCGCGTGTGTGCAGTGCAGGCCAGCCAGCAGTGCCGCGCCGGCGCGCTGCCCGTCCCTCGCCGCACAGCGCGGCGCATTGTGCCTTCCCGGCTCCGTCACCCCCGCCCTGCCCGCGCTGCCTCGCGCTGCAGGCCTTCCTGAGCCTGGCCTTCCTGTCGGAGGGCCTGCTGCTGGTGTTCCACCTCAAGGGGCCGCGCGTGGAGATCATGGTGCACCTCATCCTGGTGCTGCAGGTCTTTGCCACGGGTGAGAGCATGCGCTGGGCATGGCGTGCGCCTGCGCCTGTGCTGGCTGGCTGCACGCACATGAGGGCTGCCGTGCCTGCCATCCGAGCCCTGTCACGTGCACTGCATCAGGGGAGGGCTGCGTGGACGCCGTCCTACGTTGCCTGCACCCCTTGAATTCATTCGTGTTTGCACCATCTGCGTGCCCCCCGTTCCCCCCGTCCCACCCCGCCATACAGTTGTCGCCATCCTGGCAGAGATGGCAAAGCCGCGCAGCATCCTGGCGGCCTCGGCGCGGCCCTGGCTGACCATCTTGCAGGGAGCCTGGTGGATTCAAACAGCGTACATCATGTACAAGTGAGCAGGTGGCGGCGGCGCGGCAGGGTAGCGATGGCAGGAGCGTGTTCACGCTCCCTCGCCCCTCACGTCGCAAGCCTCTCCATGACACTGCGCTGCTGGCATGCTGTGTGTGTGTGTGCAGGAGCGAGCCGCAGTGGGACCCTGAGTAGTGAGTAGCCGTGCACCATGAGTGTTGCCTTGTACCTGCATGCCAGCCGGGAAGAAAGAGATTGCAGGTCGTGCATTGGCTTGAAGTTGCGACTGAGCTGCGTCACTTGCCCTGCATTTTCAGCATGGGCTCCGGCATGATGGTGCCGGTCCCATTTGTCCTGTGGATGCTGGGCACAGCCTTCTTCATGTTCAGCCTCTTCCTGGTTATCAAGGCCATCGCAGGTGGGCAGGCGTGGTAGCGGTTGCAGGCAGTGTTATCCGCAACACATTTTTTCCTGTTGTTGATTCTTATCTTCACCCTCCCCGCAGAGCGCCGGGCTGGCCACAAGCTGAGCGTGGACGGCAGCGGTGACGAGCTGCCGCACCTGCACTCGCAGCTGCCGGCGGAGGAGCCGGAGCTGCTGTCGGGGCCGCGTCACCCGTACGGCCCAGAGCTCGAGCTCAGCGGGGTGCCGCTGAAGACCTATGCAGCGCGCAATGGCCACAATGCGTGATGTAGGCACGAGCGAGTTGACAACGTTGGTTTGTCCCTATTGTCCTCTTCCTCCTCCGCCGCCTGTCCCCGCATGTGTCGTGGGGCGTCAACCCAGCATCATGCAAGTTGCTGTCTCTGGTTGCATGGCATGCCCTCTGTCAAGCACTCCAATGCGAGCACAGGGTGAGCGATAGGTGGTTTTGTTTCAAACAGGAAATTTGTGACATTCTTGCTCTGGCTGTTGTCGTGCGACGGCAGCTGTCGCTGCGGCATGTCGCCATGCCAAGTGGTGCACCGACTCGCCAGGGCCAAGTTTCCTGGGACATGTCGACAGCACGTTGGCCATCACAATGTGCCTATTTCTGCCGATGTATCGTGCAGCAAAAGGCCGCTGAAGTGTGTACTGCGGGCGGGACGGGACACATTCCATTGCTATAAAGCGGCGCCATCCGCCTCCCGCGCATCCATTTCTAACGCATTCCACAGCCTAAAAGGCGGCAATAGGGCTCCCGACGACTGTGACCACCACCCACAAACCTCGCATCTCAACATGGCCACCGTTTCTGGCCAGCAGGCCTTTCCGGGCGCCTTTGCAGTCTCCTACAGGTAGGTGCATCGCCGTGCGGTCATTAGTTCACCGCCCCAACGCGGTGACATCAGCCTTTGCCTGCCCTTCGTTGCCCTCACACAGCCCGCCCCTGCTCCCCTCCAGGATGTTCCAAGGAGTGCGGCTGCTGCAGTGGAGCGCGGAGAAGAGCCTCTGCCGGGGCCTGGGCGCCATGCTGCTGAGACATGCCGAGTCCGACGTCGTTCCCAGCTTCGTCTCCACGGCACTGGTACTCTCCGACAACCGGCGGGAGACGCTCTCCGCGCGGCTGCAGCAGGCGCTGAAGGCCGCCGCCGCCGAGCTCAAGGCGGCGCAGGCTTTGGCGGCGGCAGAACTTGCGGCGGCGCACGACACAGCCGCAGACTGGGAGGACCGCGCGCTGGACGCAGAGCTGGAGCTGCAGGGCTGCCGGGCCCAGGACAAGGCCTGGCAGGAGGTGGAGCGGCTGGAGTGTGCGCTGGAGCGGCAAGCGGCGGCGGTGACGGTCGCCGAGCAGCGGGCGCAGCAGGCGGAGGAGGCGCTGCTGCTGGAGCAAACCGCCCACAAACACACCAGCCAACAACTGAACCAGGCAAGCTGCAGCCATAGCAGGGATGGTGTGTCGGGGCGGCACGCTGCCGTGAAGGCGCACTGCTTGGCTTGTCATGGGCGTGCGGTGAGCCTGCCCGCGTGACTGGCTTGCCTGCTCGCTTACCCCTCCCCCGCCCGCTCCCTTCTCTTGTTGCAGGCGCAGCAACTGGCCGCCCCCCGCATCCGCTCCAGCTCCAAGCGCCGGGCCGACCGCTATGCCGCCGGCTTTGAGGCCGCCTTTGCCAGCTACAGCACCGGCATTGCCGCCCTCAAGCAGGCCAGTGAGAAGAAGGAGGCCCCCAAGCAGGAGGAGGCCCGCATGAAGCAAGCGGTGCCCGAAGCAAAGAAGGCGCCATGTGCTGGTGCTGGCCAGGACGAGTGGATCCCCGCCTTCTGGCCTGCCGCTCTTTCTGCCCAGCCCCCGGCGCCGCGCCCCAAGAACAGGGTGGTGCAGCTGCTCTGCTGCTGAGCCCTGAGCGTGGCGTCCGCGATTGGGCGAGCGAGGGCTGCCACCTCCAGAATTGAACGTACCCCCATTTATTGTTGCAACGCCAGCACCCCGATACTGGGCGCGGCATAGAAATAGCTTGCTGCCTAAGCCTTCAGGCAATGACCTGCAAGCACCGACATTCGTGTGCCTTGCCTTGCCTAAGTTGCAGTTGTACATGCTCAATGACTTGTCACGCTTGAACTGACCTGAACTGACAAATTCTCTTGACAGCAGTTGTATGTTGTTGTTCTCGGGGCACTTTTCTCTCTGCCCAGTGTTCCCTTTGATATGTTGGCATTTGATTTGATTAAAGATGCCGGCAAACAAGTCCAGCCTTGTAAAGCCAACCAATACCAACAGTGCACCGTGCTCGGCGAGGAATCATAAGCGAAAACAGCAATATGGTGGCTCGCAAGCCTCACAGAAGTCGGGCTGCCCTGCCAGCTGGCCCACGGCAGCCTCCTCATGCCGCGGCGGTGTCCACGGTGGCCAGCTTGACGGTGGCCAGCTTCACGCCCTTGCCCCACACAGTGTAGGCAACCTTCACCGTGTCGTCGGCCCACTCCACAATGCTGGGGCAGGAGAAGTTGCCTGCGGCAGCATGCGCAGCACGGCGGAGGGGTCGAGACGCGTTTGGAGGAAGGGCGACACCAGCGGGCCATGGGCTAGTTGGCAGGAACGGCTGTCCAAGCTCAGCGCGCGTCTCGGCTGCTGCCCTGCAAGGATAGGGCCGGGTCGGGCTGCTGCATGCGCGCCGCGCTCTCGCTCTCACCCGTGGCATCCTCCTCCACCATGGCCAGCGGCTCCCAGCTCTTGCAGTCGTTGACGCTGAGCGCCAGAGCCAGCGGCGCGCGGATCGTCTGGCTGTTGTTGAACACGCACAGCACCTGGCCATCGATGGTGACGGTGGAGAACGGGGAGTTGGGGTTGGGCAGGGAGTTGTAGGTGGGCCGGCTCCACGTCACGCCCTTGTCGGCCGAGCTGCTCATGTAGGTCCGCCCTGCGCGGCGGCAGCGGCGGCATGCTTTCCCGCCAGCAGGCAAGGGCCGGCCCCCCACAGTCCGTCGTGCAGCCAACCCTTCGGAGCTCATCAGCATGCAGGGAGCCTCACCCGTGGAGGTGCGGAACATCATGATGAGCTGGCCCTTGGAGCCCTCCTCCAGGGTGGGGTTGACCAGCCAGGTGCGCGCGTCCTCAATGTCGCCAGACGCCTTCCAGGTGGCGCCGCTGTCGCGCGAGATCAGCACGCACGCCGCTGTGGTCATGCTCTGCACGGCAACAATGCAATGGCGGCGTGTGAGCCAGGGGAGAGCGGCTGCGCGCCGGCTTGGCAGGCCCCAGCCAACGACATGCGGCGAGCTGGAGAGCAGCGAGCTGGACCTTGAAGGCAGCAAGGCGGTTCCGCTGCAGCGAGGCTGCGCACGAGGCTGGGCATGCACGGCGGGCGCGGCGCGGCGTGGCGTGCCTGCGGCGTGGCGCCGGCGGGCGCCGCCATCTGCAGCTGCTGCTCGGGCGCCTCGCTGAGCGGGTGGAAGCCCTTGCCGGTGAAGGTGTGCCAGGACTCGGCGGGCTCGCGGTGCACGGGCAGGTACCAGGCGCCGTCCTGGGCCACCAGCAGCCGCCCGCTGCACACCTTGGGCACCTCCTCCTCCGCCTCGTGGGTGTAGATGGTGACGGGCGGCAGCCAGCTGTCGCCCAGGTCGGGGCTGGTGATGTACTTGATGTCGCCGCCGGGGCTCAGGCTCTTGCGCGACTCGCAGTAGAAGAGCAGCAGGCGGCCGGAGGCTGCGGGGAGGGGGTCCAGGGGTGAGAGGCTTGAGGAGCTGTGGGAGAGGTGTGAGTCGAGAGGCAGGTGTGGCCTGGCGGTCAGCTCCGGCCCGGGGCACAACCAGCGGGTACAACGGAAGAGCAGCGCACGCATGCATCCTGCTGGCATCCTGCTGGGCCGCACTGCTGCACCTATTGCTGCCGCGCTGTGCGGACAGAAGGATCCCCTGCTGCCCTCCAGTCTTGCGGGCGGGGGCGGCCGGCTTGCGGAGCAGGTGCACCACGACCCGTCTGCCCTGCCCACCCCGCGCCATGCCAGGCAGCCAGGTCGGCACTTGCCTGCGTCGTAGTGCAGGCAGGGGTTCCACACGGGGGCGGGGCCCCACATCACGCACTTGTTCTCCGTCCAGGTCTCCCCGCCGTCCTTGCTGGTGGTGAAGCGCAGGTGCTGGGTGCGGCTGCCCTCGTACGCCTCCTGGGACGCCTGGTACGCCAGCGCCAGCAGCGGCGTGGCGGCCCCGTTGGCCTTCTTGATCACCACCAGGCTGCTGCCGCAGGCGTACTTGTAGGGGGAGTTGGCGTACTCCAGCGCCCAGCTCGACTTGAGCTCCGCCAGGGCGCCGCCCTCCTTTGCGGCCGACATACCCGCCCCCATGGTTGCTGCGCCTGCTCCCGCTGCTGTCGCTGCAAAGCCCGGAGCTGCCTGCGGCAAGCAGATGCATGTTGGCGGGCTCAGCGCAAGGCAGCAGGGCAGCAGCAGCAGCAGGCAGAGGCGAGCGGGCAGTGCGTGTGTAAGGCGGCAGCGGTGGCGGCAGGCGGGAGAGGCACACTGCTTGCTTGCCCCGAGCGCTCGCTCGCATGACGCGGCTCGCTGTTGATGGGCATGAGCAATGGCAAGGGGGCCGCGCAGCCAGCGCGCACTGCTCGCACCCACACAGGGCAAGCGGGGCGCGCCTGAGAGGGGGTGGCAGCTGCGACCGGAGGCCTGCTTCCAGCTCGGTGATCGAGCTGTTAGATCGCCGGGCCGGAGGGGCCAGCTCGATCGGAGCTGAGAGCTTTACTTCGAATGGCTTGATTGAGGGCGGCGCTGCCTGGTTGCGATGCAGTCTCAGGTCGCCAGCAGCGCAGCCTGGTTGCGATGCAGTGGCGCTGAGAGGCGCGCAAGCAAAGCAGCCAACCGTGTTTCCTTCTTCCTTTCAATCTCCCCCCAAACACTCCCCTGGGGCCTCGCCCGCATTGTCAGGCACCTGCAAATCGAACAGCATTTGAACTGGGCCAGGGCCGCCCGCAGCTGCAGCCGGGGCGCGCCGCACAAACAGCCAGCCCCCACAGGCCCTGCCAGCGTGAGGCGGAGGAAGCAGCGATCGCGATGGCGGACGGGCCCGTCGGCTACCTAGTTATCAACGTGCTCGAGTCCGCGGGACATGACAGCGACGACCAGCAAGTTTGGGAGCCCGACTTCAAGTCGGGCTATGCCCGAGGTGAGCCTGCAGGGGTCAGGGGAACGGATGCAGAGGGGCACAGCAGCGTGCCTGCCTGCCAGCGCCCCAACTGCAGCGGGGGGCGGCGGGTGGAGCACCGGTAAGTCGGTGTTCCGGGCAACAGATACTGAGATTGCTGCCCGGTAACCCATGCTGCTGCAGTGGAGATTCGCGGTGGCGCCAAGACGATCAAGGTGTGCCAAGGTGGCAGGGTTCAGGGCGCCGCCGGCCCTCGACAGGAAGCTGTGTTGGCGCAAGCCGGTCTCAGACTCGTTTCCACCTGCTCGGTTGTGTTGCCCTCCTGCAGAAATTCACTAGCACGCAATCGGTAGCAGACAATGGCATCACTTGGGTGGAGCAGCTAACACTGTGAGTTGCGCTGTGCAGCCAAACAAATGATTGCCTGCTGCCCTGGCCTGCCACTTGTTGCACCGCCTGGCCTGCTCCTCCGCTGCTCTGCGAAGCGCATCATTGAAACTCACCTCACCGGCGTGCCCCGCTGCCCTGCTTCCCCGGCAGCGAGGTGCTGGAGGGGGCCAGCGAGCTGCGCATCATGCTGTGCCGGCCCAAGGAGGTGGGGGAGGGCGGGCGCAGCTCCTCCTCCATCGTGGCGGCCTGCGGCATCTACATGAAGGACATCCTGGAGGCGGCACCCGTGGACAAGTACTTTGAGCTGTACAAGCCAGGTGCGGGGAGGTTGCTGGGGGCAGGAGGCGATGGACGGATTTGCGGCCATGGGTATTTGAGCTGGGTGGTGCCAGGACAGCAGGTTGTGCATGCAGAAGCAGCCCCAGACCGGCAAGCGCGTGTCAGCCAGGCCGGCCAGCTCGTGTGGCGATGCACACCATGCTCTGGTGCTTCTCCCCTGGGGCAGGCGGCGGCTCAGCGGGCGGCTTCATTCGTGTGGCCATCTCCTTTTTGGAGCCCGACCAAGTGCGCAACGGCGACCTTGTGGGCTCGGGCGTGGAGGGCGGCAGGGGCCAGAAGAAGAAGGGGTGCGCCCGCTTGGCCGCAGCCTGGCTGCCTGTACCTGCCTGCCTGGCAGGGGCTGCCTGCTGTTGGCTTTGTTGGAGTCGTGTTTGGCTTTGTTGGCGTGGCATTGTTGCAAACCTCCTTCCCGTTGGACGCATGCCCACCCTGCCCTCTCGCTGCGCCGCTCCCCTTGTCCCTTGCAGCGGCATCCTGGGCCTGCTGCTGAAGCTGGGCGTGCTTGCGGCGGGTGCGGCGGCTGTGTACACGGTGCTGGACAAGCAGGGCGTCATTGGCAAGAAGAAGGAGGAGCCGTTGGCGCCTGCCAAGAAGAAGAAGTGATGGAGCCGCTGTCAGCGTGCCTGATACCAGCAGCAGGCGGCACGGCTTGCATCGCTCCAGGCGCCGTGCTTCTCACCTGCTGCATCACTCATCTTTTCGCTCACCCTTGCCCGGGGCAGCCGCAGCAGGAATTGCAGCAGGAGGCACTTCGGTAGTGCACCTGCGGGCACGCTGCCCACACCACACCCTGGTCGGCTCTCCAGCTGCCGGCCACCTGACGCCTCGACCTTTTCATTTGAATTGCTCCCCACTACGATCAACTCAGTTCTGTATCCTGCTTGTTTTGGTGTTGCCGGATTCATCGAGGTCCTCATCTATGTGCGCCAACCCCCGCAGTGAACGGCGGTGGCACCGCCGTCGCCTGGGCGTGCCGACCATTTAGACGATTCACCGCAGCACTGAACCGTTTGTAACCTCAACAGTTGTCTTACAGGTGCAGAGGTGGTGCATTAAAGGAATGATGGGTATGGTATTCAGAGCAAATGGCAGGGGGCCAACAGTCAGATGAGCAATGCAGAACAGAACATTGTTGTGCGGTCAATCCTTGAGCGGAATGAGGCGCCAAACCACCGCCAGCGCAGCGCCCAGCCACACCATGAACACGATGCTCACGCTGGACGGCACAGCCACCAGCACGTCTGCAAAGTGTTTGGTGCTGAGGGTGTAGCCCAGCGCCGCTGACTGGAGCCCAGTTTCCAGGGAGACTGCGGGCAGAGGGAGGCGGGGGCAGGGGTTCAGGCATCGGGAGGCGTTCAAACTAGCCAGCCTCAATCTCACTGCACCCAGAAAGCTGGCCGTGGACGGAGCAGGCAGGGCAGGGCAGGGCTGAGCAGGGTAGGGCAGAGAACACGCGGGCTAGCATCAGCCAGGCGCCCGAACCGCGGGCCACCCACCGGTGCGGGACGTCTTCTCGTTGAAGCCTAGCAGCCTGGGCAGCAAATATCCCAGCAGGTAGCCAAACGAGTGGAGCAGGATGACGGGGGTGCAGGCGGCCAGGCCACTGGCGCGCAGCACATCAGCCACCTGGGCCACCGGCACCGCACATAGGATCACAGTGAGCGCCAGCGCGAGGAGCGGCATCAGCGGCCGCACGACGTCCACCTGCGGGCGGGTGGGTGGGCGCGCAGTGGCGGCGGGGCGTCGATCGCTAACGAAGCTGGAACAGCAGGAGGGGGCAGGGCTGCCGCACAGTTCCTCCTCATTCTGCGGTCCAGGAGCTGCTGGCTGCCGGTTTCCGAAGTTTGGCCCGCTGCTTAGGTGGCACTCGCCCACAGCCCCCACCTGCTTCTTGAAGAACTCGTTGGCCAGCAGGCCCAGCACCGTGGGCAGCAGCACCAGCTGCACTGTCGACTTGAACAGGGCCTGCAGGCGTGGAGCAGCATGAGCGCCATGGCAGTGTGCTCATGTGGCTATGCTCAGGTGTGCCCAGCTACCAGCCACCAGCGAGTCTCCGCCCTGCACCGGCTCACCAGGGCGTCCACTGGAATGTAGGCGCCAGCCAGCAGCGAGGTCAGGGTGGGGGTCATGACTGAGGCCGCCACGGTGGAGGCCGCCGTCATGAGCACCGACAGCGCCACATCGCCATTCGCCACATATGTGGCCACATTGCTGGCCTGGCCGCCTGCAGGGACCAACAGGGTGCGCTAAGGAGGGGTGCAGCTTTTTCTGTCTTCCCAACAAGGCAAACACCGCGGTCAATTCTTTTCTTGAAGTCAGAAAGCCGATGTCGCACCGGGGCAGCAGCCCAGCAGAATGAGGCCGGTCGCAAACGCGGCGGGAAGGTTCATCACGCGAGAAATGAGGACGGCCAGGAGCGGCAGGATGGAGTACTGGCAGATAAAGCCCAGGAGCTGCAAGAAAAGTGTAGGCAATGGCGAGACAATACCTGGGAAAGCCCTCCAACTCAACCATCAATCGACCTCTCGCACATGCAGCCAACTCACTATGGGGACCGGATTGGCAGCGCACTTCTGAAAGTCCTCCTTTGTCAAGCTGAGGCCCATGGCTAGCATGAGAAGTCCAACACCCCATTCAAATTGCTGCGTCGTCATCCAACTGAGCGTGGCGGGGCGCAGAAAGGCGGTGGTGCCAGAAATGAGCGCCTGCGGCAGTACAATGAGCACATTTCTCAAGCAGGGATGACAACTTGCACCCGACTGCCGAGACACGCAACAAAGACTCACTCACCCAGACTGGAAACAGCATGGTGGCAATTTCAGCCACCCGCTCCAGCTTGCTGGGGCCAGGCACGGCGCCGCCAGCTGCTGCAGCTGAGCAGACCGCTGCCACGGCTCGCCGCTGGTGCCTGCAAGTCGGGCGGCGGCGGCAGGCGGGTGGATCATCTTGCAGCGGCAGCTGTACTACCTGGATCACTGTTTGTGATCGGTCATGCGTGTTCTCCCAGGGTTTTGGAGCGGTAGGGGCTCTGCCGGTGCCCACCTGATCGGCGCTGCGGCAAGCTGCGGGCGTGTCGGTCCTGGATGACTTTTTGGTTGCCACTGCGACATCATGGGCCGTCTGTGGCGCCCCGGCACGGCCCCTGCGCCATGGGACGCCGGCTGTAGTCCTACAGCGCTCAGGAGCGCAGCAGCCAACATGGGCAGAGACAGCTCGCACAACAACAGCAGGATTGGACTGGAAGGCGTCGCCGCGTGTATGTTGACTGAGCACCTAGGGCTCTTGCCGGCCGCCAGGTGGCCAGCGACTTCGCCAGCAATTGCCATCTTGATGTGGTTTACAACTGAGAATGAATAAAAAAGCTCTTCAAGCACATGAGACCCAGGACCTGGACCTATGGTTGAGGGTATGGTAGGGGCAGTAGGGGCATGCGCGAAAAGGGCGGAGGGTACAGCTCGGTGGGTACAGTATCATTGCCATGCCACGCACAGTGCAGGCATGCGGCGCATCAAAGATACAAAGACAACAGCTGCGTGCTGGCCAAACGGGAACAAGGAAATTTGTGTCGTGCGTGCTTTCTCAACAAGAACAACTACAGGTGAAATGACTCAGCAAAGAGGGGTAGCGAAGCTGCTTGAGCATACTGTAATTCCGGGGGCGTGGATATGGAGCCGTGCCGGATGGTGCAAAGAAAAAATGAGGGCGAGGCCCCTAGGGGCGCAGAACTGATCAGTTCATGCGGCGGGCCTGGCCAATCATGCGGTAGCGCCTGCGCGCCACGTTAGCACGCGGGCCCCGGTTCTCCGGCCCGCGCTGGCGCCCCTCCTCCGCCTTGCGCCGCAGCACCGACACCTCCTGCGCCATCGCCTGGCGCCCGCCACGGCTGTCCTCCGGGTGCTCCGCCGCTGGCGCCGCCACCACCTCGGGGGTGGAGAGCAGGAGGTCGGAGGAGGCCACCGGCGCGCCGCTCAGGTCGGCAAACACGCGCCCCTGGGAGGTGGCAAACAGGGTGGGACTGGGCGGGTCCTGGTCCAGCAGACCCCCCATCTCACCCATGCTGCCAAAGGAGCCCAGCCAGGGCCTGCAGGGGCGGGGTGGGATGGGGTGGGGGCTGCAAGTCAGAGCAACGAAAACGGCACCACGGTAACTGCCACGGGCCCACTGGCGCCCCAACAGCTGCTTACCCCAGCGCCATCCGGCCACTGCTAGAGCGCGCCACCGGCTGCGCGGGGGCATCTGACGCAGGCACCTCCTGCTGCGCCTTGCGCCGCGGGAAGGAGAGGCGCGCACGAATTTGACGAGGTGTGTTATGGTTGGTGACGGTCTGCAGGTGGAAGCAAGAGGATGGGTGGCGCATGAGGAATGGACTGCGGATGCCACCACCCTGCTGGAGCTGGGGCGGCGCGCGCCGGCAAGCGCGTGGTGCCCTCGCTCCCAGGAGCGCACCCCGCCCATGACACCTCGCGGGTGGCGTTACCTGAGCTCGGGTGCGGCGTGCGAGCTTCTCCATGGCGAGCGGGTGGAGGATCGCGGTCTCGGAGATGGGGTGGCGGGGCGAGTCGCTGCTGGCGGGCAGAAGTTCACAGTTGGCGATCTGCGATTGCGTGGTGCGGGGTATGCGGCCGGGGCGAGCGTGGCGGGCATGAAGAACCCTGCCCGGCCTTTCCTAGGCCAGTCTGCATGGGATGGCCGCGTGGCAGGCCTGTTGTCGCGTCTGTGGACCCATCTGATCAAGTGACAGCCAGCAGAGGCCAGAACGAGGGCCCGACACCACTCCGACAGCTTCTCGTAGTTCTGACTCCCAAGAGCAGCCAGGTGCGGCGCCCAAGAGGCCTGATCATGCAGCGTTGAATGAACGGATGCAGGCCGCGGGTGAATGCCAAGGGGCGGCGGCTAACCCGCGCCCACCCGCCCACCCGCCTCCGCCACACCAGTGCGGTTGTGAAGTTCTTTGCTCTGACTGGCCGTGAGTTCATGTCATTTACAATTGCAGGCTATCATGGGAATGCAGCCCATCGCTCCGGTAGCCCAGCGGCTGTTATTGGGCATGGTCGGCATAGGGAACATGGGCGCGGCAATGGCCACGCGCTTGCTTGGAGCAGGTGGAACACTACCGCCCCTGCAGCCGGAACTGCTGCACATTCTGCATTCGTGCTCAGCGATCGATTTGCACCACAGCACTGCACATGAAGGCCTGCTTTGCCACCCAACACCGTGCCGCAGGCTACCGCCTCGTGGTGTGCGACCGCAACCAGGAGGCGGTTGAGCGGCTGCAAAAGGCTGGGGCCAAGGCGGCTGACACGCCCGCGGCGCTGGCAGCCACGCCAGGTGCGCAGCGAATGCTGACCGCTCTGCTGTGCATGCACCTGGCAGCACGCAGCGCAGCTGACCAGCGCGGCCTCCATCGCTCCCCATCCTCCCTCGCGCACCTCCTGGCGCTCCCCTGCAGCGACCCGCCCCCGTCTTACGCCCTGCCCCCTGCAGGCCTCTCTGCCATCATCTCCATGTTGCCCTCCTCGGAGCACGTGCGCGCCGCCTACCTGGGGCCCCAGGGCATCCTGTCGCTGGAGCCGGGCCAGCTGCACCCCCACCTGCTGGTGGACTGCAGCACCATCGATCCCATCACCGCCAAGGAGGTGGCGACGGCGGCGGCAGACAGCTACCTGCACCTGCACGCCGCCGAGGCGCACGACGGGCAGCGCAACCCGATGATGATTGACGCGCCGGTGTCTGGGGGCGTGCCGGGGGCGCAGGCGGGCAGCTTGACGTTCATGGTAGGCTGGGGAGGGAGGGGCCTGGGGAGGAGCAGCCTGGCGCCTGATGGTGACTGCGCATCAATGCCGCTTGCTGAGCTTGCTTGCTGTGCCCAGTCGGCAACCCCGCATCGTGCACCTTTGTGCCACGAAAACCGGTGGCTGCTGCAGTGTGGCGGCCCACAAGCGGCAGTAGACGCCGCGCGGCCGCTGCTGGAAGTCATGGGCAAGCGAATCATGCACTGTAAGCAAAGGCCCTCTTGCCTCTTGCCCTGCTTCCGCGTCCTGGACACTGCTTGCTCTGCTTCCCGTGCCCACCGGGTGCGTGCACGATGCCTGCAAGCCCTGCCGCGTTGTGTTCACCTGCACCTACACGATCACTGTACCTGCCTGCAGGCGGCGAGCACGGCGCTGGCACGACCGCCAAGCTGTGCAACAATCTGGTGCTGGCTGTCAGCATGGCGGGGGTGTCCGAGGGGCTGGCGCTGGGCAAGCGGCTGGGCCTGGTGCGCTGGGAGCCAGCCCCGAGGTTGCGTGGCCTGTGCAGGCGACTATGTGTCAAGCCAGCTTGCTGCTCACTCCTGGCGGGCCACATGCCGCTTGGTGCTGGTGGGGTGGGGGTAGGGCTGCTCAAGTCGAGGAGTCATCATCATCAGCTTTGTCCCCCTCCATCTTCCTTCAACGTTCGTCACCCCCGCCGCAGGACCCCGTGCTGCTCAGCGAGATCTTCAACACCTCCAGCGCCCGCTGCTGGAGCTCAGGTGGGTGGGCGGTGGCAGTGCGACGCGCTCTGGCGGGGACCCTGAGCCCCATGCACATCCTCCACACCCTACCTACACCCATCTGCCCTGCTGTGCTTGCCCGTAGACACCTACAACCCTGCCCCCGGTGTACTGGAGGGCGTGCCCTCCTCGCGCGGCTACAAGGGCGGCTTTGCAAGCAGGCTCATGGTGAAAGATTTGGGGCTTGTGATCAAGGCGGCGCAGCACTGCGAGTCTCCCACGCCCATGGCGGAGCACGTGCAGCGGTGAGCTGGCGGCTGCCCGGATGGCGCAGGACCGCGGGCGGGTGGAGGGCATGGCTGCGATTTGCCTTGCTTGCTTGGAGAGGAAGGCCCTGGCAGTTAATTGTTAGCCTGAAAAGGTGCCGGGGCTCTCCTGAATGCAGGCTGTACGAGCAGGTGGACCCTGCGCTCGACTTTTCAGCCATCTACACAAATGTGTACAACAACCGCGGGGGCTGAACCTGGTGGGTCCGATGTAGAGTGGTGCGCTTTGCAGCAACACAATAAACAATGAACCCATCAAAAACATTCTGCTGGAGTGCCCAGTTGCCAACCAATCTGTTGTACACTTGCCCTGTAACAAAGCAAGCATACGGCTGGCAGGCCCATGGCAGCTGACGTGGTTGCCCGGACCGCCACTCGCTGCCTGCCTGAGCCTGCCAACAGCCAAACAGATGCAGTCGGTTACAGCTTGCAGCAAGCTGGGCTGTGTGCCTGGCTAGCCAGCACCCTTCCCCTGCTTCCTCACTCATCCTCGTCCCCTAGCTCTATCTCCTCTGGGTTTGCCGCCGCTGCCGGCGCCGCTGCTGCCGCCGGCTGCTGCCCCAGCACCGCCGCCAACGCCGCATCCACCGGGCCTTGCTCGCCATCGTCATCCACAAAATCATCATCATCATCCAGCTCTATCTCCTCAGGGTTTGCCGCCGGAGGCCCCACCGCAGGCCCCGCCGCAGGCGCCATGCCAGCTACCGGCACGCTGTTGGCGCCGTGCCGTAGCCGCTGCCGCCGGCAAAGCCGCCGTCGCCAAACCCGCCGCCGCTGCCGCCCTGAAAGCCGCCGTAGCCGCCGCCGCCGCTGCCGTAGCCGCCCGCCTCGTGCTCCAGGTTGTACGGCAGACCTAGCAGCTCCAGGAACGCCACCGTCTGCGGGTTGCGCACCGCTTGCTGCACAAGGACAGAGCGGTGGGGGCAAACTGAGGTCGATGGGGGCATCGCTTCAACATCCTGGCTGGCTGGGCCTGCACGCTGGCCCTGCCGTCTGGCCCATGCAAGGTACATCCTGCTGCACACTAGCAACATGCTTTGCATGCACTTGGTATGGCGCACACCTGCGGCATGGTGCCAGAACGCATCTGCGGCTGCGAGGGGTCGTACGCCGGCACCGTGCGCACAAAGTTGCGGGGCACGGCGGCGCCGCCGCGCTCCTCCAGCCGACGCCGCACCTCCGCCAGCTCCTGGGGTGCGGGCGGCGGCGGCGGGCCGCGCGGCAGCGGCGCCGCCCGCCGCTGCAGGCTCAGCAGGCCGTGCGTGGAGCGCAGCACCGCCAGCCACTCCTCATCATAGCTGAACTCCAGAGGGCCCTCGGCATCCGGGAACTCGATCACCTGCTTGGTGGGTGGGCGGCGTGACATGTGTGCGCTTGACAAGCATGCCTGGACGGCACACCGGGGGCACACAGGTGGGTGCAGGATCGGACGCACGCATCCACCCCGGCCCTCCGCACCTGCAGGAAGCTGCGCCCCGGCAGGCATTTGTCCAGGGACAGGAACCGCGTGGCCGTCGGGTACTGCTGCTGCGCCTGCTGCTGCGCCTGCTGCGCCTGCTGCTGCGCCTGCTGCGCCGCCGCATGCTGCGGGGCGTCGTGCACCACCAGGGCCGCAAACTTGGTGTGCAGGTGGGCGGAGAACCAGTAGGCGGGGCGCAGCGCGCCCAGCAGCTGCGCCGCGGGCGGGCTGCCCAGGGAGTTGTCCGCAATCTGTGGCCAGGGGGAGGAAGGGGGGCGCGGTGTGTGGGGTGATGGTAGCAGGCGGATGGGTGGGCTGGGATGGGTTGCGTGGTCAGCGGCAGGAGCAGCAGGCTCAGCAGCGCGGCGCGGCAGAGCTGCTCTCCAGCGCCTCGCCGCCATCCCCTTCCACGCCGCACCTCTCTGCGCAGGAAGCTCTTGCGCTGCAGCAGGCGGTTGGTGTCGCCGTGCCGCGCGATGCCCTGCGGCCAGTCGTGGCTGAGGAAGACGTCCAGTGGCTGGCGCAGGCGCAGCAGGCGGTGCACCTGCGTGTGGGGTTCAGGTGGATGGCGAGGGTGGGGCCAACAGCCAGGAGCAGGCGCCTCGGCGGGCTGGGCAGGGTGCAGCACACCCGGCTGTGCTGCAGTCCCTCGGCACACTCATGCCACCACCCCTCACCGCCCACCCCTCGCCGCCCACCTCCAGCTCGCGGATGTGGTAGGCGCTGCGCATGCTGCCCGCGTGGTACGGCGGCCGCTCAAAGTGGCCCAGCCCGTAGTGCGGCTCCTTGAAGATACCCGACAGCCCGCCGATGCGCACCCCGCCAAAGCGCACCACCCCGGCGTAGCCCAGGAAGAAGATGTCGGGGGCGGCCCAGCCGCCGTAATACAGCTCCCACAGGTAGTTGGCGGCCTCGTGGTTGCCGCCAACTGCGGTGGTGGGGGTGGGGTGGGGTGGGGTGGGGAGGTGCCGGAGGAGCAGGAGGCGGTGTGGTTGTGTGTGTGTGTGTGTGTTGCATATGGTTGTGGGGGGGGACGGAAACGCAGCACCGTTTCGTGCAGCGAGCACAACAGTGCCACTGGCAGGGCGGGCGTGGCTGGCCGGCCCCTCCACGCTCCCCTGCCTGCCCCTCCCGCTCCCGCCGCACACGACTCACTGAAGAGCGTGGGGTAGGGCGGCTTGACCTGGCCAGAGTAGTACTTGTAGAAGGTGGCGATGTGGCGGTACTTGGGGGGGCAGGCCATGCACTCCAGGTCGTCCATGTTGCGCACAGCCTGCGGGGAGGATGGGGTTGACAGGGTAGGTGAGGCGAAGCGGGGAGCAGCGGGCCAGCGATGGTCGTTCGGTAGATGTTGCTGACCTTTGGCGGCGGTGGTGACACGACCGCCTGTGCAGCAGCCACCACCAACTTGCCCGCATTCTGGTGACAGGCCCCCTGCTGGATGGCTGTCTGCCGGCCCCACCTGGAAGTCGCCGCAGCAGATGAGCAGGTCGATCTTCCTGCCCTCCTTCTGCTCCAGCAGCGCCATGGTCTCGTAGATGCGGTCCAGCTCGCCGTGGCCGCACCCCTCCACCGCAATCTGCAGATGTGGCGGGGCAGGCGGTCACGCACCGGGCGGAACCAAGGGCAGAGGAGGCACAGCAACGCAGCAAACACGGAGCAGAGCAATTGGGCACAGTGGGCGGCAAGCGGCGGGCGGGCGGCAGGCGGCGGGGGGGCATCAGACGGCAAGTGCCTCACCCGCAGGCCCCTGCGGCTCGGCGTCGCCGCCATTGTATCGTGTCAGCTACTTGAAGCACGCCAGGGCAGTGAGGCGGCGAGGAGTTGGTCGATGGGAACCCAGGCCGTGCCTTCAAGCGTTGAGCGGTGTTCCACAGCAATCTGCCAAGGCCAATTGCTCAAATCAAGGGCGTGCGGATGATTCATAAACTTCCGGCCATGTATGTACGGCACTTGTCCCGCCAGGTGTTTTCGCGGCAGCAAAATGCAGCGCATCGCGTCAAATGGGCTATCGCTGGCAGTTCTGCGGTGCGATCTAGTGTGTCTGCAGTCATGTGTATGCTCTGTGTTGCCCGCAAGGGCTCCGCCCTCTCAAGCGGTGCTCGCCAGCTGCTGAGCAACTGGCAGTGCCCAGTGAAGGCTTCTGGCTCCCAGCTGGCCCAGGGACGGCTCTTCAGCAGCCTGCCCGAGCCTGCGCACGAGCCCACCCGCCCGAACGAAGTGGAGGGCAAGGTGTGCGCTACTACTACCACGATTCGCTCAGGACTGCAGCCCTGCTGGCGGCCAGTGCCTTAGGCAGCGATCCAGAGTGAAAAAGCAGGAGGGGGGCAATCAAAGGGCTACTATCTGGCCGCTGCCGCTGCCGCCACCGCCGCTGCCGCCCGCTCACAGCCTCTTGGTCGCGCTTGGTTGCCGCAGGTGGCCCACCCCTCCCTGCTGAATGAGGACCTGCTCAAGGCGGAGTATGCCGTGGTAAGTCATGAGTAGGCCACTAGGGACGTTTGCAGACGCGGCGCGTGCTCCACCAGCCGGGAGAGGCCTGGGCAAAGCACCGACCCTGTACTTTCTCTCCGCCTCGTGCAGCGTGGGGAGCTGTACAACAAGGCGATGGAGCTGCAGAAGCAGGGGCGCGAGCTGATCTTCACCAACGGTATGTGGAGCAGCCTCAGCGTGTTTCGCCGTGCCCTGACAGCCGGTCAACACCCACTGCCGGCACACGTTTGCTGACGGTTGGCGCCCGGCCTGCCTGCGCGAATGCTGCGTGCAGTGGGCAACCCGCAGCAGCTGGGCCAGCAGCCCATCACCTTCAACCGCATGGTCACCTCGCTGGTGGCGGCGCCCTTCCTGATGGGTCACCCCTCGGCGCCCTCCATGTTCCCCGCGGACGTGCTGGAGCGGGCCAAGAAGATCAACGGCATGTTTGGCGGCGCGCTCGGCGCCTACACCGACTCGCGCGGCAACGCCGGTGTGCGCCAGGAGGTGGCCGACTTCATCAAGCAGCGCGACGGTTACCCCTCCAACCCAGACAACATCTTCCTCACCGGTGTGTGTGGTGGGGTGGTGGTGGGCGCAAACGATGATGCGCCGCTGCCATGCCGGCGCCTGCTCGTTTTGCGGTGCGAGGAATCATCGTGCCTCACACCGTCCGCCTCCCTCATCCCCGCAGACGGCGCCAGCGTGGCGGTGCGCCTGCTGCTCAACGCGCTCATCCGCGACAGCAGCGACGCCATCCTGGTGCCCATCCCGCAGTACCCGCTGTACTCAGCCTCCATCCAGCTCTACGGCGGCACGCTGCTGCCGTACAACCTCAAGGAGCAGACGGGGTGGAGCATGGACTTCAACGAGATCAGCCGCAGCGTGCACGACGCGCGGTGCGTGCACAGCGTGGCGTGGTGCCACCCCGCCAGCCTGCACACATGGATCCGGCAAAACGGAGCAGCAGCTGCAGATGGCTTGAGCCTTGCGCCCGGCCGCTGCTCCCATGGTGCTGCCGCTCTTGCTCCTGCTCACCCGCCCACCTCCGTACTCCCCCCTTCCTGCAGCAACCACGGCACCAACGTTCGCGCCATGGTGTTCATCAACCCGGGCAACCCCACCGGCCAGTGCCTGACCGAGGACAACCTGCGCGACCTGGTGCGCTTTGCCGCCAAGGAGAAGGTGGTGCTTATGGCGGATGAGGTCTACCAGCCCAACATCTACCAGGTGGGCAGGCGCTCTGCTCCCGCTGTGTTACAGGCTGGGGCTGCTGCTGCTCGGATGCAGTGTGGGCTGGTGCTGGTGCTGTGGAGGCTGCAGATGCATGCTGGCAACGGCGAGGCGGTGTGCGGGCTGTGTGCAGTCTGCTGCGTTGATGGATGGGGCAGCTGTCGTGTGTCGGCCAGCCGTGTGCCCAGCGTCGTCGTGCCTCCCTCCTGCCCCGCGCCCGCTGCCGCCGCAGGACGAGAAGCCGTTTGTGAGCGCCAAGAAGGTGCTGGGCGACCTGGGCAAGCCCATCAGCGACAGCGTGGAGCTGGCCTCCTTCCACACCGTGTCCAAGGGCGTGCTGGGCGAGTGCGGCCTGCGGGGCGGGTATGTGGAGCTCACCAACTTCCACCCGGGCACCGTGGACGAGCTTTACAAGGTGAGGGGGTGCGGTGGCGGCGGCCTGCGCGCAGCTGCATGGGCTGCATCAGCGTGCATCGTGCGGCAGCAGAAGGGTCGGCCTCCCTCGAATGCTGCGGCATGTCTCCCGGTCCCTCCCCTGCCTTCTCACCCATTTGCCCATCCGCCGCCTTGCCGCAGGCCGTCTCCATCAACCTGTCCCCCAACACCACCGGCCAGGTGGCCATGAGCCTGATGGTCAACCCGCCCAAGCCCGGCGACGAGAGCTACGCGCAGTGGAAGGCGGAGCACGACGAGGGCCTGGCCTCGCTGCGGTGCGTGGCAGGCGGCGGAGACGCGGCGCTGGAGGCGGTGGTGGTTTGGCATGGGTTGGGGGTGGGTGGCAGAGGTCACGGCCCATGGCACATCGTCCCCGGCCTGCTGTAGCAGAGGTGCTGACCCCTGCCTCGTGTCCCCCTCCGCCACCGCAGGCGCCGCGCCCACGCCATGACCGACGGCTTCAACGCCCTGGACGGCGTGACCTGCACCTTCACAGAGGGAGCCATGTACTCCTTCCCCCGCCTCCACCTGCCGCCCAAGGCCATCGCCGCCGCCGCCGCCGCCGGCAAGCCCGCCGACACCTTCTACTGCCTGCAGCTGCTGGAGGCCACGGGCATCGTCACCGTGCCCGGCAGCGGCTTTGGGCAGGAGGAGGGCACCTTCCACCTGCGCACCACCATCCTGCCGCCCGAGGCCAAGATCGGCGAGTTTGTGAAGCTGTTCCAGGACTTCCACAAGGCCTTCATGGCCAAGTACGCCTGAAGCACGCCACCCCCTGCGTGCCTCCTGCGCTACTGACATCCAGCGCCTACTGACCTACTTCAGTTTGCATGCAACGGAGCGCACCCAGGCTCGATCCAGTTGGTGCCCTCCCGACCCACTTGCCTGGGCGCTCCCAGCTCTTGTTTTCCCTTAGTTTCCCGCCTGCTTTCTGAAGCCAGCATGACATCAGCAGCATTCATCCCCCATGTACTTTCTCCCTTTTCATGTCATGACACTCTTCCGTCGGCATTTCCTTCCCATTCAGCACCCATTCATCCATTCCGTTCCGCTGTGTTTTTGTTGTTTTGAACGAATGAGCGACCGCCATGCACTCGCATTTTATCTTTGCAGCCTGCAGGCTGACCCTGCCATGCCCTTCCTGTGCACTGCCCTGCTCTGGAGCCGAGCTCCCGCTTGGTAAACCAACTTCTCAGGAGAGAAGCCCGCAAACGGACGCCGGCAGTTGGTGGTGGTGGTGGCCGAGGAGCTGAGCGGGCACTGCCACGAAAGGACTTGCATTCCAGAGTGTTTGCTTGCCTGGCAGGAGGTACAGAATTAGGGTTACAGAAATAGTGTACTCTGCACAGCAAATAGGCAAGGTGGAAATCGTCTCCGGCGGCTAGCCTGGCAGGAACTCCGCCACCCTTTTCTTGCCGCGCGCGTCAAGCCACTTGAACCACGCCTCGGCGTTGTCGCTGATTATCTCATGAGCAGCAAAGGCCGTGTTCAGAAGCTGCAAAAAAAGGGCAAACAAAACAGTAGGGTGGATGGCAGGACGGGATGCCAGAGAGGCAATCATGTGCAGCACTGGCGGCCCACTGTACGCTTGGACGACCGCTCTGCTTACCTCTGGAAGGTGCCCTACGTCAGGCTGCAGGTTGGCATTCCCCACAATGGGCTTGAGGAAGTCGCGCCAGGCGCTGCGGCGCGGGTCGCCCACCAGCAAGCCATCCTGCGGCCGCGGAAGATGCCCAAGCAGGGGCGTGAGCATGTACGCATCCAGCCAGCCAGCAGTACACGCCGGTTGCCAGTTGCCCTGCCCAGCTGAGGCTGCCCTGCAGCCGCACCTGATCGATAAAGCTGCGCTCCTTGAGGGTGTCCACGATGGAGGCTGCCAGCTTTGCGCTGATCTGTGGCGACTGCTGCAGGAACTTCGGCGTCACCGGCTGCGGGTCGACCTTGATCTCGTCCGCCGGGATACCCTTGTCCCTGCAGGCCGGCAAGGCAGGAGCAGCTGGGCCTGTGTCAGCTCCACACCCTGCTGCCAAACAGGAAACATGCCACGCTCACTTGCAAATCTTCAGCGCCTGTGCCACGCTGCCGGCTGTGGCCTGGTCGCGCTTGGCCATATGCACCCACAGAATGGGCGGGTAGGTGCGCCCCTTGCCTACATCAAACTCCTGTGGGCTGGCGGGCGCAATCTGCGCAATCACGCCCTGCATCGCCCAGTGGAGGAGCAAGGTGGGTTGGTACCAGCGTGGACCGGCACCATCACAGCCGTGTAGGGCCTGCAGGCACTTTTCCCCTGCCAACGCTCCTCCGTCTTCTGCCCGAACAACCCACCTTCACTTCGGGCATCAGGCCTGGCAGCATCTGCACGAATGAACCGCCGCTGGACCCGCCCCAGAGGAAGAGCGGCAGGCTGCCAAGCTTCTCCTCCTCCACCACAGCCTTCACAATCTCCGTGACTGGCTGCAGCAGAGAGCAAAAGCACATGGCCCAATGTGCCATGTTGCAATGAACAAGGCTGTGAGCGTGTGCTTCACCCCCAGCGCCCTGCGACTCGGCCCTGAATGGGATTACCACACACTCCCACCTTGAGATCCTCTCCAGACCAACACTTGGAGGAGCGGTCAATGGAGGTCACCGCAATTACGGCGTAGCCGTGCTTGATGGCCGCTGTCCGAAGGGTGACCTCGCCAGGCAGTCCCAGGCAGTCCTGGCAGCGATCGGAGGCGGGCCAGAAATCGCTGCCCTGGTGATTGCAGCCGTGGCATAGCAGAAGCACGCCCTTGGGGCTGGCAGGCACCTCCCACAAGGTCTTGCGCTCGCTGATTGTCTGCGTGAGCGGCAGCAAGGTGGAAGCGGCGGCGGCAGGTGGAAGTGGCGGCGCGGCAGGCCTGAGCAAGCTTGCAGCGATCTGGAGGCAATCGCGGTTGCCGGGCAGAGCGTTTGACGAGCCCTGCTGTTTAGAAGAGCCCTCACCTTGACTTTAGGCCAGCCACCTGCTGCCGCTGCCTGTCCCTTGGTGTCGGTAGCTGGCAGCTGTTCAGTGCTCGGACTGGTGCGTAGAGTGGCAGCCCTAAGCACCAGCATCAAGAAAAGCGCTGCCCCTGCGGCGCCAGCCAAGTTCTGTGGGCCCCAACATCGCCTATATTGCTGCATGATGGTGTGATTGTAACGGTTACGCATGCGTTTGGCTTCTTGGGGTTCTGTCTTGAATCTTGCGCATGTCCCGCCACCGCCAGCCTGTCGTCCCGCCGCTGCAATCTGGGCAGCATGCAGGAAGGAGGGCGTTTACTGTGCTCTGAAATAGACACATGATATTTTAAGGTGCGATGGAAATCTAGTGTGAACTGGCAGGAGGCCTACAAGCAGAGGCAGTCATGCCGGTGCCGCTGCTGGCCAGACCGACCGCTGGTGGTCCTCCTGCCTGTTCCGATAGCTGCCTTCCTGCTATATTTGTGACAAAATAATAAAACAACTCGGAAAAAAATCACGCGCTGACCTCCGCCTCAAAGGAACGCGCCGCCCCATCAACGCAGTTTCGGAGGAGCATTGCAATGGTCATCGGGCCCACTCCGCCCGGCACCGGGGTGATTTTGGCTGCCTTCTCCGCCGCCTCTGCAAAGTTGACGTCTCCCACCAGGCGGTAGCCGCGCTTGGCATTGGGGTCCTGCAGGGCGGGGCAGGGTGTTGCGGGCCGGTGGCAGGCAGTGGGGGCACGGTTTCAGCTGAGCTTGCGCTGGCATGTGGCTGCGTCTGCTTGCCAACCACACTCCAGATGCTCGCTCCATCGCCCAAGGCAAGGCAAGGCCCTTCATCGGCCCCACCACCCCACCGCTGGACTCACATCCACGGCATTGATGCCGACGTCGATGACGGCTGCCCCCGGCTTGATCCAGTCGCCGCCCACCATCTCCGCCTTGCCACAGGCGGCGATGATGATGTCTGCCTCCGCGCAGATGCGCTGCGCGTCGGGGGTGCGGGAGTGGATGACGGTGACGGTGGCGTCCTCGCGCTGCAGCAGCAGCGCCGCGGGCATGCCCACGATGTTGCTGCGCCCCACCACCGCCGCCTTCTTGCCGCTCAGCTGCACGCCGCTGCGCTTGAGCAGCTCCAGGCAGCCCTTGGGGGTGCAGGGCACAAACAGCGGGTCGCGGCCGCGCATGGCCAGGCGGCCGATGTTGAGCGGGTGGAAGCCGTCCACATCCTTCTCAATCGAGATGGCATCCAGCACGCGCTGCTCGTCGATGCCGCGCGGCAGCGGCAGCTGCACCAGGATGCCGTGCACGGCGGGGTCGGCGTTGTAGGCGGCCACCACCTGCGGGGCAGTGTGCGCCGGGGGCGGGTGGGGGTGTTGGTCACAGGGTACAGGGGGGGTGCCGCATGCCGCCAGCAACGGGCGCAGGCGAGGCGGAGCCTTGCGCTGGTGCAGCCACGGCGCGGTGCATGCCTTTGCCCTTCAGTGTAGGAGCTTGACGTGATGCTGGAGTGCGCGGCGCCCCCTCAGCAGCCCAGCCGGCCTCACCTGCAGCACCTCCTCCTCGGAGGCGGTCTCGGGCAGGTCGGTGCCAAAGGAGACGATGCCCACCTCGTCGCACGCCTTCTTCTTGTTCCGCACATACGTCTGCGAGTCCTTGCGCTCGCCCACCAGCACCACCGCCAGGCCGGGAGCCTGCACAGGCGGGCGGGCAGGGGCCACAGTGGGGAGCGATGGCTGGGGGCTGCCAGAAGGGGGGCGCTGCAGGATGGGTTGGCCACAGCAGCCTGCCCGCATGGCTGTCGCCGCCTGCCTGCCTCACCTTGCCGTACTTCTGCTTCAGCACGTCCACCTCCGCCTTCAGCTCCTGCCGGATCTGCTCGGCAATGGCCTTGCCATCAATCAGCTCTGCATGTGGCAGGGGATGCCAGGGCAGGCAGGCGGGTTGGGGGTGCAAGGCGCCACCAAAGCTCGCCGGCGCATGGCGACAGGGCGTGCTGGAGGCTGGCCAGGCCCATGCCACAGCAGTGCAGGTTGCACAGCACAGCGGAGCAGAAGGCTGCCGCAACTCACGTGCCGCCATGGGTGCGACTGCAATGCAGACGGTGGCGGCGCGGTGATGGTGCAGCCGCCGGCGTGAAGAGGCGGGGACCCTGGGCCTACTGCGCGGGGCAAGGGCTGTTGCACCCTGGAGTTGCTTGGTGGGCGCCTGGGGAAGCACAGCAACAGGAGAGAGCAGGAGTGCAGCCATCTATGGGGGCTCGCCGAAAACGTGAGCAGGCCCGGGGTCGCTGCGGGTGGGGGATGGGAAGCCCAGTACCAGCCGCCAGAAATGGCAGAGAGGCCGATGCCGGTGCCAAGCGCTCGAAAAGCACGGTGGCAGTGCAGTACACATGTACCGGCCTCTGGCAGTGGCTTTCCCAATGGAGAATCGCCTGGCAACACATCACGATCGCTTCCAGCCAGCCGCGGCGTCTGGCGCCCTGTCCGCTGCGCCACATGCAGGCAATGTGACTTCGCACAACCCAGCAAGCTTCCACTCACTTCACTGACCAGCCCAACTGCAAGGCGAATCGGCGGGTGGGCGTCATGGCCGGCGCCCACGTGCTGCCGCCTGCGGCTGGCGGCGGAGCGGGCGGGGCGGTGGCCCGAACCAAAAAGGGCAAAGTGCTGTATGACTCCACAGAGGTGTGCCGCTGGACCTCACCATGCAACGTGTACACCTGGCAACAGCGGGCGCCTGCCCGCTGGTCGTCTGCCCGCCGTGCCCGCTCCTCTGCTCCACCCGCCTGCTGGAGCCCCGCCTGCACCCTGTTGCCGCAACCGCCCCGCCTGCCCCTGCCCCTCCCCTGCGCGCCGGCCCCTCTCGCTGCGCAGGCCCGGGTGCGCGCCATCGCGGAGATTGTGGGGGCGCTGGTGGCGGGGATGCGGCGGGGCGAGGATGTGGACCTCAATGCGGTGAAGCGCGCCGCGCAGATCAAGTACAGCGTGGACAAGGGGCCCAAGCTGGTGGAAATCATCGCGGCCCTGCCAGAGGAGCACAAGGCCGTGCTGCTGCCGCAGTGAGTGGCGGCAGGCAGCAGGGTGGGGGGGCAGGGGAGCTGCGTGCGGCCCCGTGCCCGCGCCACCGGGGGCGACAGGTGGCAGTGTGGTGTGGAGCCCACGCCCCTGTGCTGCCATGTCCCCACCGCCCCTGCCCCACGCGCCTGCTCGCAGGCTGCGCGCCAAGCCTGTACGTACAGCCAGCGGCATCGCAGTGGTGGCCGTCATGTCCAAGCCGCACCGCTGCCCGCACATTGCCACCACCGGCAACATCTGCGTCTACTGCCCAGGAGGCCCCGACTCGGACTTTGAGTACAGCACTCAGTCATACACGGGTGGGTGGCATGGCGGATGCAGCAGGGCCGGGCATGTGCATGCAGCGGGTGGCCGTGGTGGCGCTGAGATGCGGGGTGCAGCGCTTTCGCAGCAAGGAGGAGGCCTGTGTTGCCACAGCCGGGTTGTGCTGTTCAGCCGCAACCAAGGCAAAGCAACGGGTGGGGCTGAATGGGTGTACCTGTATGTGCATGTGTGATGCTGTGCAGGGTACGAGCCGACATCGATGCGGGCGATACGGGCGCGGTACAACCCCTATGTGCAGGCGCGGGCGCGTGTGGACCAGCTGCGGCGCCTGGGGCACAGCGTGGACAAGGTGCGTGGCTGGGTGGCAGGCCACCTGGGGGTGGAGTGGATGGGGTCCTGGGCGGGTGGCGGGTGCCGCTGGAGCCCTGCCTGCTTGCATGCGGCAGCTCTCAACGCCACCACCACTGAACTCTCCTCCTCATCCTTCCCTGCCCTTCCTTCCCTGCGTCTCCACCCGCCCACCCCCCTTGGATCCACGCATGCTCCCACGCCCGCAGGTGGAGTTCATCCTCATGGGCGGCACCTTCATGTCGCTGCCCGCCGACTACCGCGACTACTTTGTGCGCAACCTGCACGACGCGCTGTCGGGGCACAGCTCCAAGGACGTGGCGCAGGCGGTCAGGTGAGCGGCCGCCTGGCGTGCTGGGGCTGGTGGGTGCGCGGGGGGTGCGGGATTGGCGCGCAGGGGGCGCCTGGGCAGGCTGGCAGGCAGGCAGGGGGTGTTCCAAGGGGTGTTCGAGGCTGGAAGATGTGTGGGGGGGTGCAGCAGTCGCACTCCTGTCTTGCCTGCCAGCCACCACCGCCGCCACCCGCCCACCACGCCACACCGCGACACGCCCTGGCGCCCGCCCGCGCGCGCCGTCTGCCTGGCAGGTACAGCGAGCAGTCTCGCACCAGGTGCATCGGCATGACGATCGAGACGCGCCCCGACTTCTGCCTCACCCCGCACCTGGCCCAGATGCTGTCCTACGGCTGCACGCGGCTGGAGATCGGGCTGCAGAGCACGTACGAGGATGTGGCGCGCGACACCAACCGCGGCCACACCGTGGCCGCTGTGGGCGAGTGCTTCCACCTGGCCAAGGACGCGGGGTTCAAGGTGGGGGGCATGTGGTGCGGTGTGTGTGTGCTGTGTGTGCGTGCTGGTGGGTGGGGGCAGGGGGTGGTGCCGCTGGCCTGGCGGAGCGCCTTGTCCCGCCTCTCCGGGCCACGCACGCCCAGGGCTTGCTCCCGTGCCTTCCCGCCTCCTTCTCCTCTGCTCGCATGGCGCACCGCCCGACCCTCCAACACACTCTGGGCCCGACTGGTCCTCCCTGTCTCTCTCTCCCCCACACTCCGCATCCACGCACACCCACACTCTCCACAGGTCATAGCTCACATGATGCCTGACCTGCCCAATGTGGGGTGGGAGCGCGACATCGAGTCGTTCCGCGAGTTCTTCGAGAACCCGGCCTTCCGCTCCGACGGCCTCAAGCTATACCCCACCCTGGTCATCCGCGGCACCGGCCTGTACGAGCTGTGGAAGCGGGGGCTGTACAAGAACTACGCGCCCGACAAGGTGGGGACAGGCTGCGGGCGCGCGGCGGGCGGGTGGAGAGTGTGCACGCGTGTGTGGCGGGCGACGCACACGGGCTTGCTGCCCGTGCCGCTGCGCCCGCCCGGAGGCGCTGGTTTCGGCGTGGGCCACCCAGCCATGCCCGCCTGCCCCTGCCACCGCCTCCCTGCGCACCGGCCCCATCCACGCCACCACCCACCCGCCCTGCAGCTGGTTGACCTGGTGGCCCGCATCCTGGCCTACGTGCCGCCTTGGGTGCGCATCTACCGCATCCAGCGAGACATCCCCATGCCCCTGGTGTCGTCGGGCGTGGAGAAGGGAAACCTGCGGGAGCTGGCGCTGGCGCGCATGGGGGCGCTGGGGCTCAAGTGCCGGGACGTGCGCACGCGGGAGGCGGGCATACAGGACATACACCACAAGGCGAGGCGGGGGCAGAGGGGGGTGGCAGGGCTGGGCCTGGCGGTGGTGGTGGCAGGCGCATGGTCAGTCAGGGATGGATTGTTTGCTTAGCAGCCAGTCCTGGCACCCAGTCCGCTACCGCCACTGCCACCCACCACCACCCACTGCCACCACCACCACCATCATTTGCCACCACCACTAACTAAGCTGCCCCCCTGCCTCCTCTCCTGCAGGTGCGCCCTGAGGAGGTGGAGCTGATCCGGAGGGACTACACCGCAAACGGCGGGTGGGAGACGTTCCTGGAGTATGGCGACCCGCGGCAGGTGGGGTGGCGGGCCGCCGCACGGGTGGCGCGGCGCTGCGCGGGTGGCAGGCGCTGGCACAGGCGCACACGTGCTCGCTGCCGGGCCCGAGCCCGACACAGCGCTTGCCCATCGGCGCCCCCCCTCCCGCTCCCCACCCGCCCACTCACCCCCACACATCATGTGCCCCTCCCACCCCGCTCCACCCCGGCAGGACATCCTGGTGGGCCTGCTGCGCCTGCGCAAGGCCTCCGGCCCCGACGCCGAGCGCCAGCCAGAGCTGCGCGGCCGGTCCTCGGTGGTGCGGGAGCTGCACGTGTACGGCACGGCGGTGGCGGTGCACGCCCGGGACGCCTCCAAGTTCCAGCACCAGGTGGGCGGGCAGGGATTGTGGCTTGGTGGATGTGCGGCGCGGGTGGCCGCGCTCGCACGGAACGCCGCCAGCCGCAGCTTGGGCAGTTGCGTGCGACGCCCGTGGTGCAAGCGAGTGGCTCAGCCCCTGAACCAGCTGCCCCGGCCTCCTCCCATGCATCCCTCCACAGGGCTACGGCACGCTGCTGATGCTGGAGGCTGAGCGCATCGCCCGCCACGAGCACCGCTCTGCCAAGCTGGCGGTCATCAGCGGCGTGGGCACGCGCCACTACTACCGCAGGCTGGGGTGAGGGCGCTGCCTGCCGGCCTTGCGTACTCCCGCTCGCGAGTCGGCAGCACGCTCAGGCACGTGGCACTGCTTGCCTGGCTGCCTTACCGCTGCCTGCCCACCATCCTCCCTGCCCATGGCTGCCACTGCAGGTATGAGCTGGAGGGGCCCTACATGGTGAAGAGGCTAGAGGCGGCGCCGTCACGGCGGCGGCAGACCCGCCAGCAGCAGCAGCAGCAGCGGCCTGGGGCAGGGTGAGCTGCGGCTGCACTCGCTGCAGGGGGCAACGGTTGGTTTGTACCTTGCAAAGGCCTTGGATATGTACCACGATGTTGTTATGTTGCTTCACGTGCTGCACCTGTTTTGGACTGTAACAGACCCGGTCGCAGGTTACAGGGTCAGCTCCTGACAGACGGGTGGGGTCTCCAGGCCGGATGCACATCCCCACCAGGGGCACAGCAGGCCATCATTCCTTCCCTTCTCCGCATCATCCTTCCGAGCCGCCGCCAAAGGCGCTGGACAGCGCCCCCACCTCACGCAGGTGCTCCACATCCCCCCACCGCACTACCGCCCACAGGGCCCGCGGCTGCCTGGCCTCCACCCGTATCGTGTTGATGGCGGCGTTGAGGTTGTGCCCGCTCACGTGGCCGCCGGTGGCACGCCTGCAAAGCATCCGGGGGCACCAGAGACGGCATGCAGGCATGTTGATGTTTGACAGTGTACCAAACTTCCTGCCGCACTGGTGCGTGATTGCCGATGCAGGCAAGCAACTGCATGTCCCCACACGGGCACATGAACAGCGCACTTCTGGGCTGCGTGCAGAAAGCCGCCGTGCGTGATGACCAGCAGCCGCTGCCCCGGGTGCCGTGCCGCCAGCCCTTCTATTGCCGCCGCTGCCCGCGCTTCCAGCTGGGCTAGAGTCTCGGGGTAGCGCTGCAGCCAGGCAAGGGTGGCGGTCTGGCGCAGGGGCAGGGAAAGGCTGGCCCTTGCTTGCTGCAAGACTGGTTGTGTGCACTGCTCACCAGTGGTTGAGATGGTGAGGAAGAGGGTGCATGGAGCGCCTCAAAAGCCTCTGGCTGCTGCTGCTGCGCCTCTGCAAGGGTCAGACCCTGCAGCACCCCTAGATACCGCTCCCGCAGCAAAGGATCGGGCCGCACTGCTGTCCCCGCTGCTGCTGCGTTGCTGCTGGCATTGCCGCCACCCAGACAGCGTGCTGCCGCCACCACCTCTGCTGTTTCCGTGGCACGCAGCAGGTCGGAGCAATAGATGCAATCAAAGTGCTCCCGCCGTAACCGCTCCGCCAACACCTCAGCCTGCAGCCGGGGTGCACAAATTAGGATGGATCTCTCAGGGGTGGCAAATATGTGCCACTTGCCATATTGCAAGCAGGCAATGACAGCAGCTTGGCGGTGGGACGTGCCTGGCGGCGCCCGCGAGACGTGAGCCCTGGACCTGGCAGCAGCTGGCCCTGCACAATTGGCATCATGTCAATGAATTCCCATTGCAAAGAGCCCAAACACCTGTCAAAAAACTGCAGAGTCCCACACCTGGAGCCGCTTGTCAAGGTTCCATGCCGTTTCGCCATGCCTCGCCATCACAATCTCACACGCTGATGAAGACATTGCACGCAGTGCGTTCTCAGTCCGCTGCCGCTCCTGCACTGCGCGACGCTCTGCTCTCGAGTCCATCCCTCTACACCCAGCTGGGGAGGAGTGGGCGAGTGTCCAGGCCTGCGATGGATTCAGTGAAGGGCGTACGGGATGGATGTGGCAGCGCCTGATCCATTCCAAATCGCCTGAGGCTGGTTTTCAGTTCACCGCCACATGGCGCGCATAGCGTTGTGCCTACCAACTGGTAGCCTACCAGGGGCAGAGGAGATTCCAACAGTTAAGTGAATTGAAAAAATGGGAAGCATCACGTCATGGCTGCTGCTATCCCGGTGGGCGCAGCGTGGGAGGCCGCAACACCGGCGGGACGCCCGACGCTGCCGCCCCTTGCTGCAGCTGCTGCTGCTGCCGTGCCATGTGCATGTTGATCCCCGGCGTCACAGCGGGAGAGTAGAGCTGCTGCTGCTGCTGCTGTATGGCGCCTATCGCTCCAGGCGGCGTCACGCCTCCCATCATCGCCACCTGCTGCTGCTGCGTCGCCGCTGCACGCATCAGGAATGCCTGCCGCGCCGCCGCCTGCTGCGCCTGCTGCTGCGCCATCCACATCTGCTGCCGCGCCGCTGCCGCCTGCTGCTGCGCAATGGCTGCGGCGGGGCTGGCGCCCACTGGGGCAATGCCGATGCCTGGCGGCAGCAGCGGGTGGGGTGCAGGCATCCCACCCATGGCACCCGCCCACCCAGGCTGCGCTTGACAGGCTGCTGCCTGCGGCGGCGCCCCTGCTGCATAGTCGACAGGGGTGCCGTACCCTCCCCAGCCTCCCTGGTAGCCCGTCGCCGCTGGCGGTGTCAGCGCCGCGCCCGGCGCGGCCTGCTGCGCGCCGCTGCGCGGCGCCGACGCCGGGCTGCTGCCCCTTGGCGGCAGCGGAGGCGGCGCCGCACAGTCCTGCTCGTCCTCTGATGGAGGCAGAGGAGGCGGGGACTCCCCCTCCACGTCTATTTCGTACTCATCACGAGGGGGCGAGTGCGGCGGCAGCGGTGGCGGCCCAAAGTCGTCTTCCTCGCTCCCATACCCCCCCCAGCTGTCGTCTGCAGACACGCAGGGCGAGGAGAGGAGGCAGCCAAATGGCGTGCTGTGACGGAAGGGGCTGCGTGAGGTGTAGGCAGAGGCAGGCAGGCCACGGCAGGCTGGCCGTGGCAGGCCGAGGCCTGCCACCACACACAACCACCACGGCAGCACACCTGGCGGCGGCGGTGGCTGGTCGGGCAGCGGCGGCGCCTGCGGCGCGCCCCAGGGCGCCACGTCGCCAAACGGGTGTAGCATGCCTGGCAGCAGCAGCGCGGCGGGCTGGTGCTGCTGGTGATCCACAGCAGAGGCTCCCACGCCGCCTGCAGCAGGGAGCAGAAGCTGGCCGGCAGGTCTGTTGCCATGGGCGTGCAGGCAGCCATGCATCTGGCAGGCAAGCAGGCAGGCACGTCCAGAGCCATGCCGGCGGCAGGCGGTGAAGGGGCAAGCCACGGCCTTGCGCTGCACTCACCCGCTGCCTCCTTGAACAGCCCGGCATCAAACTCATCTGCCTCTGCCGCCGCCGCCGTGCTCTGGCCCCGCGCCTGCTGCTGCTGCAGCATCAGCCGCCGCGCCTGCTGGGCCGCCGCCAGCTGTGCCGCATGCACCGCCGCCAGGTGCTCCTGGTGCTGCTGGCCCAGGGCCACAAGCTGCTGCTGCTGCGGGTGTGCGGGCCAGCCCTCGGCGCCCGCCCAGCTGGCCAGGGTGGCATGCCAGGGGCTCGCGTCCTCCGGCCTGGCCCCCGCGGCCTGCGCGGCCGCGGCGGCAGCGGTGCCCACGGCCACCTGGTGCGAGTACTGGTGCTGGGCTGCGCCTGGCGGCAGCGGCAGGGCGTCATAGTCTGGCCAGGCGGGCGGCTGCCAGGTGTGGGTCAGCCTAACCCTGCTGCCATCCTGCGGGCGGGCAGCGGGCGCACGACGGAGTGTGTGTGGGTACCGAGATGGAGATGTTGGGTTGCTGCGGCGGGGTGTGTACTGGCTGGGTGGGCCTGGTGGAGGCGCGCGCTGCGAGGCGGCAACAACACCCCAACGGAACAGACCCCACCGCGGCAGCGGGGCCCGGTGAGGAGGGTCGTGCAGGGGCAGAGGCAGCAGCTTGCCTTGAGGTTGACAAAGGTGATGATGGGTGCGGCCGCCAAGGGCGTCTTGCGCACCAGCTGCCGCAGCCAGGCCTCATCCAGCAGGCGCTGCCTCCCCGGCGGCGCGCCCGCGCCGCTGCTGCCGCCGCCGTCGGCACCGCCACCCTGGTGCCCCTCTGGCATCCCCGCCAGCGGCCCGCCAGCCGCGCGCGCGCCGCCGCCGTTGCCGCCGTCGTCGAGCGTGTCGCCGCTGCCCCAGGCTGCCTCGTGCTGCGCGATGCGGTCCCGCAGCATCTCCAGGGACCGCTGCACAAGGGAGGCCTCCACGCCGCGCTTGACCGGCGGCAGCCAGGTGCGGGTCAGCGTGCGCTCCATCTGCGCCAGCGGGGCGAGCGGTACAGGCGGTACGGGTCGTGCGGCGGGCAGGCACAGACCACCACCTAGGTGGCACCAGACAGCTGCAGGGCAAGCCCGCCTGCCAGCTGTGCCCTCGCCTGCCGGCAATCCACCCGCGTGAATTACACCCACTTCTGCCCATGCTTGCCCCACCGCCCCCAGCTCTGCAAACACCTTTTGTGCGCCATCCAGGCTGGACCCCAGCAGCTCCACCAGCTGGGACAGCGCGGCGCCGACGGTGCGTGGGAACAGGGTGCCAACCACCGACTCGGGGCCGCACCCCGGCAAATCCCTGCGCGAGTGCTGCAGCAGCACGGCAGCGGCAACAGCGGCAGCAGTCAGGAAAGCAAAAAGCAGCTGGCATGCCCAAGATGGAAGCCACGTAATCGAAGTGCAGGCGATCAGGCGGCAGGGCGTACTGTGGGGCCGAGTGAGCAGGGAGCCCCGGGTTATAAAAACCAACACCGAACAGGGCAGCACACTCAGCACAGCATTGCACCAACCTTTCCCACCTCCCTTCACCCACACACAAACACATACACCATCGCCGCACACCCACGTACCCCCAGCACAGCATCCAGCAGGTAGAAGAAGGTGATGCGGCGAGATGGCGCCGCCTCCTGCCGCATGTGCTCCAGCACGCACCGCACAACCTCCTTGCACGCGCCCAGCTGGCCTGTGGGGCGGGCAGGGGAGGACGCGGCAAACCAGCCAGCGACAGGAGCCGCCTCAGATGTGCCAGTAGTGGGCAAGAGGCAAGGCATGGCTTCCCTGGAAAAGAAGGAGACAACAGGGGACAGCGCCCGCCTTGCCATCGCAGCCAGGGGTGCCCCCACTGGAGCCAGCAAGGCATCCCACCCACCTGCTGTGATGGCCGCTGCCGCTGTCACATTGATGCTGTCCCTGAAGAGAGTCAGCCCCGGCAGCATTTGCGCAAACTGGCGGCAAGCCACATCGCCCGGCCGCTCTGGTGCAGGCTCCGGAGCAGGTGCCTCCTCCTCCTCCTGCTCCGCCGGCTCAACGGCGCCCTCCCCAGGCGCCTGCTGGCCAGCAGCCACCTGCTCTGCGTTGCGACTTGCAGGCTGCTCTCGCTCGTGCCGGCGGTGCTGCTGCTGCTGCTTATGGCGCTTATGGGACGAATGGCTGTGCTCGCCCTGCCCGCCTGAAGCTCGCTTGCTGCCAGGTGCTGCCGGTCGCCGCTTGTCGCGCCATGCAGAGCCGGGCGGCGAGTCCGGCGGCTCATCGACGGGCACCGTGGCCAGAGCCACAAAGCTTGTGCCGCCCAGCTGAGTAACCGCTGTGCGCTTTGGCAGCAGAGATGCGCCAAGGGCTGCTGCTGCCGCCGCTGCTGCTGCGGGCAAAGGTGCGTCTATGTCCCCTGCCGATCCAGCAGCAGTGGACTGTTGCAGGAGCCCCTGCCCCGGCTGCTGCAGGCTGGCGGGCGCCTGCTCCGCAGCGTCGGCAGCCACTGCGGCCTCCGATGCCTCTGCAGCCACTGGGCTGGCCTGCTGAGGGCGCTGCCTCATGCCAGGCGACAGCATGCCGTTGGCTGCGCGGGACTTGCCATCGCTGGGCTCCAGAGTCCCCCTGCCTGCTGCAGCTCCTGCCGCCTGCAGCTTTGCCGCAGCAGAACCAGACCCAAGGCGTCGCCTCTTGGCAGGGCTGCCCCCGCCGCCATCCTGCTGCTGCTGCTGCTGCTGCTGCTGCTGCTGCTCGTACTCCTCTGCTGCTGCCTCTGCTGCCTCTCGCAGGCGTACCACCTTTTCGCAGGGCCTCCCCTTGGTCTTGGCCTCTTCTGGCATCACAAAGTAGGGGCGCACCTCGGTGGCGGCATTCGGCGGCGGTGCCCTGGCCGCTGGCCCCTGCCCTGGGCCCTGCCTGCCTCGGGCCTTGGGCACGTGCCAGACCTCCAGCACATTGCTGCTCACGAACCGCACCCAGTCGATGCTGCCGGCCGTCTCGTAGCGCAGGCGGAAGGGCAAGTGGGCGTGGGCGCCCTCTGCCGGCTCCACCACCGCGGCGCCCCACTTGCCGGTGCCCAGCAGAGTCTGCAGCAGAGCTTCCCAGCCGGTCTTATTGTATCAAATAGGGTCGCCTGGGGCCGGGACACAGGCAAGGGAGCAGCTCCAGGGAGTGGGCCGAGCACAGCGACAGAGAAACAGGGCTTACTGCTCACCGAGACCCTGGAGCCGACGGCTGGCGGAGCGAAGGCTGCCCCATCGCCTTCAGCCCCGGCCATTTCGTCAGCGCGCCCCCAGCCTGCCCTCTTCACTCATGTGTCGCTCGCGAGGGTCGCTAGGGGGCAGAACAGGGTATGGTGTGCGTCAATTGGTTGGATCGCGATGGCAGGGCTCTGGTCAGGGGCCCACCCTGTGGGGAGCACTACGCCGCCCGTCCTGCGGCAGAGTGAGGGGCAGACGGGATGCGCACTGCCATGCCTGACTAGCAAGGCAGCACCAGCCTTCCAACCCAGGCAGACAGGAGTGAGTTACAGGCAGTGCGGGTTGACAAGTAATGCGGGGGAATCAAAAACAGCAGCAGAAATCGCCAGCTGGTGTGGCGGCAGCGGAAAGGAGGAGAGGGATGCTACATGTCACTCTGATTTGCTCTTCTCGTGGTGTGGGTGTGTTCTGGCGATTCGTGTGTGCTCCCATCAGGGTGCACGCATTGGGATGACTGTCCATCGACAACATCGGGCACAGCTCGCAGGGTTGGAGCTGTTCAGCGAACATGGGGGTTGGCTTACTTGCGCTTCTTGTCGCCCATGGCATCAAGCTGGTTCTGCAGGGGCCCCAGGATGTTGAAGAGCACCCAGCTGCACACGTGAACAGCAAACAGGAGACTGTTAGCAGAGTGCGGAATGACGCGCCAGGAGGGCACCTGCTCGTTCAGCCAGTGCCTGTTGTGGCCGGCCAAGCGCACGATATGCAACAGTAGTACTTCGGCAGAACAGGGCTCACCCAACGACGGGCAGCGCCAGGAAGGCGATGGTGCCGAAGCGGTTGTCGCCGGCCGCCAGGTCAGCCACCTGCTGCGCCGCCTCGGCGTTCTGCGCGGCCAGCAGGCTGGCGGCACCCAGGCCCAGGCCGGCCGCAACGCTGCGCTTCTTCTTGTCGCCCATGGCGTCCAGCTGGTTCTGCAGAGGGCCCAGGATGTTGAAGAGCACCCACCTGCATACAGACGCACCAGCACGGGTCTCGACACAACGACGGAACGAGGAGAAGCAAAGCAGGAAAGCGAGGCCACCTGGGACACATCCCTTGCTGATTTTGCTGAACATCCGTACAATGTTGCCAGGTTAGCCGTTTCTCACCCAACGACGGGCAGCGCCAGGAAGGCGATGGTGCCGAAGCGGTTGTCGCCAGCCGCCAGGTCAGCCACCTGCTGCGCCGCCTCGGCGTTCTGCGCGGCCAGCAGGCTGGCGGCACCCAGGCCCAGGCCGGCCGCAACGCTGCGCTTCTTGGTGTCCATAGCGTCCAGCTGGTTCTGCAGGGGGCCCAGGATGTTGAAGAGCACCCACCTGCACACGCCAAGGCAAGGCAGCATGGAAGGTGAGCGAGCGATAGACAGGACGGGGCCTGGATAGGAAGAGATCGGCATGCCAGTTGCACGCATGCTAGCCAGGCTGGAGGCACAATTTCGTTGCTCCCGCTGGACCCAAATGCACCAGCGAACAGTGGCCAGTTCTTGCTGATGATGGTGGCATTGGGCGTGCCAGTAGACTGCATCACACCGAGGTTTCTGGCTGCGCTGACAGCGGCGCATGGATTGCTCACCCGACCACGGGCACCAGCAGCAGGGAAATGGTGCCGAAGCGGTTGTCGCCAGCCGCCAGGTCAGCCACCTGCTGCGCCGCCTCGGCGTTCTGCGCGGCCAGCAGGCTGGCGGCACCCAGGCCCAGGCCGGCCGCAACGCTGCGCTTCTTGGTGTCCATAGCGTCCAGCTGGTTCTGCAGGGGGCCCAGGATGTTGAAGAGCACCCACTGCACGGCAGGAGGACCAAAACCAAAGCAAGGGTCAATTCTTCCTCTTCACTGCAAGACGAAGAGCCGAAGAAGCGTCCGGGCAGGGCTTTGCTTGCACGTTGGCGCTGCATGGGCGCTGGTGCGCCGCAGCAGCTTCCGCTGCTGCCAGCAGGGGCTCACCCCCAGGGCGGGCACAGCCAGGAAGGCGATGGTGCCGAAGCGGTTGTCGCCAGCCGCAATGTTGGCCACCTCCATTGCCGCCTCTGCGCTGCCGGCGGACAGCAGTGCCGCCGACAGGCCCGCCAGGGCGGTGCCCTTGATCACCGCATCCTGCAGTGTTGGCAGCGGGGAGCCCATGCGTGAGCCTGCACAGCCAGCGCAGGCCACTGGAGAAGCCCCAGGGGACCAGATCGGCCGGGTAGCTCCATCAGCGCTTGCGGCGCCCCCCGACAGCTCCAGTCCACACCTGCACGCTCTGCTTGCCCGCCGAAGCGCGGACCACGAGGCGCTGGGCGCGCTGCGCCCGGGTGGGAGCAGCGGCCTTCAGGGCGGGGCGCAGCGTGGAGGAGGCCAGGGTGCACGCCATCGTGGTGGTCTGAGCGACGACGGAATGCGATGGAGCTCAAACAGGCCAGACAAGCCGGCTCGCCTAGATTGAGGGTCCTCACCCACTGGGTCGAAACTGCGGAATTTCTACAAACACGTTGGAGCAACACCCTTTTGATTTTGATCAACTTCAATCGGCGTTTGGAATGCGCAAGGGCTGCAGAGGGTGCAAAACGGGTACATGAAACGGGTGCACCCTCCCAACCCACAAAATTGCAGCGGTCGCAGCGAAGGACCCTCGCACAGCCGATTTGCGATACAGGGAGATGGATTTGCCGGGAGGGGGGCAAGCAGGGGTGAGTCCCCAAATGCCACACCCGGGACGCCGCCACGCCCGAGCGCCGCCGTCGCACGACTGGGCTTGCCGTTGTTGGATGATTGACTCAAGTCTTGGTTTCATCGCAAGAACGACAAAAAGTGATTGCTTGATCTCTCGGGCATCAGCCGCTCCTGCCAATTCCGCTGGCGACTTCCAGCAGCGCCCAACACACCAGCAGCAAGCGCCAAACCACAGTGCAGCCAAGGCAGCGCTCCCAATAGGCAGGGCACCTGGCCCAGCAGCATGGCTGCAGCAAGGTTGGGCCGTCGCAGCAGCGTCGCCAGTGCCAGCTGCCAGCCCTGGGCCGCACCCACGAGCAGTAACGAGACAAATCTGCAAGGGTGAGTGATCGGCCCTCATGACGCTGCTGGATCGGCTGCACAGGCTCCACGCAGCTCCCCAGCCATACAACCAGGCTCCTTTGGGGCACCCCAGCACAACCTGCCAGGCTCCATCTTGCACGCGATCTGGACGCCCAGGCTTGAGGCAAACACGTGCAAGCGCTCCTGCATGTGTCACAAGGGACGCACAGATCACAGCAGGCGCAACATCAAAGCAGGCGCACATCAAAGCAGGCGCATGTCGAGAGGGCGCGGTTGGTGCCTCCCCACCTCCCAGCCCAGGTGGTCGAGAGGGCGGCATGGGCAGGATGAGGACAAGGGCGAGTCAACTTCGAGAGCTGGCCTTGAAAAGAGGATCGGTTGGCAGCAGCAGCAGTCGGCGGCTGGTCGCAGCGCATCTATCAGTTTCTTAGAAATCAAAGGCTTCAAATCAAAGGCTTGCAATTAAATCAACAGGCCAGGGCGCAGTCAGGAGAGGCGGCAATTCACAATGCACGGGTTGGTTCGAGCGCAGAGCCGTTCAGGCAAAGCCGTGAAGAGCTGGTGCGGGAGGACTGCACCCGCCAACAGCCGGCGCCAGCTGCATCAGGCGGATGCCTGCGCAGGGACGGCCGCGTCTGCCGCCACATCGCTGTAGTCGCAGTTCTTCGGCATGCTTTTCAGCAGCTGGGCAAAGTCGGTGGTTGGGGGCGCATCGCCGGGCTCCTTCGCTACCAGGTCCACCTGCGCCACAAATAACCAGGGGCCAGGCTGAGAGCGCTTGTCAGCGGGGTTGCCGTTGAGAGCAGCGGGTGTGTGACGAGCGCCGCATGCCACCCAGCGTCCAGGCCCTCGCAACCTCGCGCACCGAGCGGTTGTCTGCCTCTGGCAGCGCCAGGCACTGCACCACAAACTCGGCCACATCGGCACGCGGGATGCGGCGGTACTTGCTGCCGCCGTTGATCAGCCCGTCGTCCACGTCGATCACCAGCTCGCGCTTGCCGCCCTGACAGTGCAACAGGGGCACAGCAGAAGGTGGAGGCAGGGGGGCTAGCGGCAAGGCATGCACTGGCGACATCAGCATGGGCTGGACCCAGCGTGTGCGACTGCTGCCATACTGCGCACCTCCTCGTCAATGAGGCCGCCCGGGTGCACAATGGTGTAGGTCAGCCCGGAGTCAATGAGATACTTCTCCGCCTTGCGCTTCCACACCTGCGAGGCACGGGAGAGCGGGTGGAGGGTGGCTGGGGATGCTGGGGGGCTGCCCGTTACAGTCCCCGACCATCTCCCTGCATGCCAGGAGCAGGGAGGCGCACCAGGATGTTGCCGTCTCCGATTGTGTTGAGGAAGTTGTCCTTCTGGGTGCCGCCCATGCTGGAGATGACGACCACCTTGCGCACGCCTGCAGCCAGGAGGGAGGTGGGCGCAAGGCCGGGGTGTGTAGTTATCGCGCAGGTGTGGGCCGGTGCGAGGTGTGTGGGGAGTGGGAGCCTGGGCAACATGCAGCGCCCCCCCACAACCCACCTGCGGCCTTGGCGGCATCGATCTGCGCCTTCTGGCCCAGCCAGTCAATCTGCGGCCACAGGGGGACAGTGAACGACGGTGAGAAGCAGGCTGACGTGCGGCCAGGCCCATTACATCCCCCGCAGCTGCGCACATCAACCGCAGCTGCGCACATCAACCGCCAGGGCTGGCCCCACTGCTGGCTGGTGCGCACCAGCTGCGGGCAGGCAGGCTTGCCAATGCCAGGCGCCAGGTGCCCAGCATGGCTGACAACCCTGCCGCAACCAAGCCCAGCAGCAGCGGCGGGGGGCGGCAGCAGCCACACGGCGCCCCGCCGCGCACCTGCTCCGGCATCTGGTCCTCCTTGAAGCTGAACTGCGGCCGCACGCCCTGCTTGCCCGTGACCTTGGCCAGCAGCACGGGGATGAGCGACAGCGGCTTGATCTTGGGCACGGCGCTGGTGGCGATGACCTGTCGCAGGCGGGGCACAGGGTGGCACGGGCACGCGTGGGTGGTGCTGGGCTGAGCTGGGGCACGCCGGGCGGGCTTGCTGCCAAAAGCACAGCGGGCTGAGGCCAAGCATTGCTGCAGGCAGCGGCACACGCATATCCCAGACCAGCTCATCCCATTCCCGCCCCACCCCGCCCACCAGCGCATCCGCCCCCTCCACCGCGCGCTGCAGCGCCGCCTCGCCGCCCTCCCTCAGTATGTCGCCCATCACGATCTGCTCCTCGCTGGCGCCCCAGCCCTTGAGCTGCTCCGCGCTCTTGCCGTTGCGCACCACGCCGCGAGCCGCAAACTGGTCGGGACGCTCCAGCAGCTTCTTCATCACCAGCGCTCCTGTGCGGCCGCCCGCGCCCGTCACTGCCACCTGCAGTTGTAATCGGGGGATTAAACAGGGGCATTTCGAGCAGCAGGTCCTCCACCACAATCCCCACCCTCCGCGGAGGACGTGGCGGCGAGTTCACCGCCGCTGGTCCTGCTCCTGCTGGCGCACTGTTGTAGTGAGCAAGGCTGCTCGCCTGCATCGGCGCATCGCCTGCGCTGCACACGATGGCGGCTCTCTTGGACGAGAGAGGGCGAGCAGCAGGCTGGGCTGGCACGAGGGGCCTGGCCAGGAAACTCAGGGACGCGGGCATGGCTTGCAGGGCTGGCACAGCGACTGACAGACAGTCCTCAGCAGCGGTAGCCTACTGCCCAATGCGCCTCACGAGGGCATACGGTCGGCTGAGGTGGCGGCGCTGCCATCTGGCGGAGGCGGAGGAGGGCGGTCTCGACGCTGCCTGCTTCATCACCCGGCCGATACGCTCACACCAAGTTCCATCTCTGCTCAACCTTTATAGTGCGTTACAAACAAGCCCGTGCCATGTTGAGGGCTTGGACAGGTACAGCCTTCTGATGGCTGTACTATTCGCTCACGGCTGCATGGGAATGGGCCCTGCCGCTGCCACAACAGGTGCGCCCGACCCTGCTAAACTCAGCACTGTTTGCAGCCGCTGCGCAAAGCGCTGCTGCGCTGCCGCCGATTGTGCCTGCTTGTGCTGGCGCACCGCCGCCCAGTGCTGCTTGTGGTGTTGCAACAAAACCTCCACCGCTGGAGCTTTGCTGCCGCTGGTGCTGCCAGCCTCTGCACCTGCTTCCGCTCGGCCTGGCAGTGGCGGCTCCTGCGGTGCAAGCTGTTGCAGCGTGGCCGCTGCCTCTTCTGGGACCGCCGGCAGCGGTGGCAGCTTGGATGTGGGCAGTGGCTGCAGCAGGGGAGCAAGAGCCCTAGGCTGATGCGGGAGCCTGCAAGACTACATACCGAATGAGCGGCAGGCGCAAGCATGCACTATTCTGTTGTCTCAACAGCTTCAACTTATCCAGCCATGCAGCGTGCGCCTCAACCTACAGGCCGCTCCCTGAAATGCTCTTCAACCAACACCTCCCGAGTCCAGCAGACCGAAATCCCAGTCTCACCTCGGGGCAGCCGCCCAGGTCTGAGTCGTTCTGCACCCATTGCCGGCACTGCTTGTACAGCGAGGCGCCGGAGGGCGCCAGCCGCACGCGCCTGTCATGGATCGTAACCACCACACCCGCCTCAGGCGACGGCACCGCGGGCGCCGCCAGCCAGGCGGCTGGAATGGCGGCAGCCAGCGGCAGCGAGGTGGCGGTGGGGACCGCCGTGGCTTGCCCGCTGCATGGATGGCATGCATCAGGGGTGCAGCTCAGGGCAGTGATGCAACAATGTGGGGGCACCAAGGGGTGCCACAGCTTGCTATTAAACGAGCAGGCTCCACCGCACGTCGGCGCGTGTGGGCGGGAGGCGGGTGCAGCTGCCCAGCGCAACGTGCCTGCTCTTCATCGCATCCAGCACGCTGCTGCGGACATCTACTGCAGTGGGGGCTGGGGCAACGCCCGCTTGGCCCACTGGGGTGGCCACGATGAGGCTCGGTTCGGAAGCCAGCTCCATCACGAAACGACCTTGCTCTGCGCTGCGAGAATGCGAGAACCGGCTCAAAAAGATTCAAGAGCGTGACGCGCCTGAACTGCCCTGCTGGTAGGTGGGAGCAGCGCCCACACCTGTTCACCCTTCAATCTCCTGGCGATCCCCACTCCTCTAGCTGCCAAGACAGCGTGGCCCGCATGTCTACGCTGCAGTGCCGCCTGGCCACCCCTCCCCGTGTTGCTGCCCTCAGGTGCGCGCTTCTCCTCTCTCTGGAGTGAACCCTGTGCTGCGCCGAAGGTGTGGCTGCCAATTCCCCTGCCGTTCCCTGCCCGCAGGCGCCCTCCTGCCCGCCGTGCTGCCGCCACCACCCACCGACCCGTAGCAGGTGGGACTCCTCCCGTCCATTTGCAGTCAGCACGCCCATGCTACACGCTCACACGCCACTGCTTCTGGTGCAGCCATGACCACTCTGGCCAGCGGAATCAAGCTGGACAGCAGCCCCTCTGAGGCCGAGCTCAAGGTGCGCTCAGCGTGGATGCAGCTGCCTGGGCAGCAGGCAGCGGCATCCACGTGGAGGCTCGCCCCAGGCTGAGCCTGCTTTGTTCACCTCCTCGGCATGGCACCCGGCGCCGAAGTGCAGCGCATGGCAGGGCGGTGACCAGCGACATTGAAGTGGCTGGCCGCCCTGCCGGCGCCCCTCTCCCCGCAGTCCCTGGGCGTGACCAGCTGGCCGACCTGGGGCTGCGAGGCCTCCAACTTCCCCTGGTCCTACTCCAGCACGGAGACGGCGTATGTGCTGAAGGGGCGGGTCATCGTCACCCCCGATGGCGGCGAGCCGGTGGAGGTGAAGGCCGGTGACCTGGTGACCTTCCCGGTGAGCAGGCGCAGGCAAAGGCGCAGGAGCAGGCGCAGGAGCAGGAGCGCCTGGGGCTGTGCTGCTCAGCGCTGTGATGGCGCAAAGGTGTCATGCATGGGTGAGATGATGCTGGGGCCACACCCATGCACCCACTGCCGCTGCCGTTGAGTCTCCTGCTTGCGCACATGCCCCTCCCCTCTGTAACTGCAGGCGGGCATGAGCTGCACGTGGGACGTCAAGGTAGGTGGAGATGGATGCGCATTGAGTAGCAAGCGTGCATGTAGCACATGAAACGAACGAGTTGAGGTGCACGATCTGGTGTCACGTTTGCTTCCTGGCGTGCAGGAGGCAGTCCACAAGCACTACAAGTTTCATTGAGCTGGATGGTGCTGCAGCTAGCTCCCCAGGCGTACCTGCCTCAGGAGCTGGCATGGATGGCCTGAAGTCATCGCCTCTCAGCACTGCCACTTGATTTGATTTATTCTCTTTCTGTCTGAAATCGCCGCCTTCCATCCCCATTTCATGGACGCGTAGCTTGATGCTATGTGCAGGTATTAACCTGCACATCTGTGCATGTGGTTCAGGCCGCTCGCCAAACAGGATGATCGCCAGGGAATGATCCCCCATGACCTGCTGAGTGACTAACTAGTCACTGCTCGATCACTTGGCTCAGCAATGAGAAGTCAGGCAGAATGCGCGGCGTGTGTGCTGTGGCTGATGTGGCACTCAACTTGCGCTTCCTCATCGATCCAGCACAGGCTTTACCACCATTCCATTGACCTGTTCGCATTCCTCAGCAGCCTGCTTGGCTTACAAGCCATCCAGCTGCCTGGCAATGCCCGTGACGCCAATTGGGCCATTTGCGTGCTTGGGAAACGAGCTGAGGTCATTGAGAGGTCACATTGCAGCAACATCAAGCTTGCCGCTGAGGCAGCCGCTGGCCAACATTCGTGGTGCTGCAGCTCGGCGGCGGCGGCACCACCATGAGCGGCGGCAGCTTTTTCAACAACACTGGCAGCAGCACCAGGCATCTGCGGTCTGTAGAGCTTCCAGTGGCAACAGCCAGGCATCTAGCAGCGCAGGTGGAGGTGCAGAGGAGGTGGACGTGGTGGTGATTGGCAGCGGCATCGGCGGCCTCAGCTGTGCGGGCCTGCTGGCGAAGTACGGACTAAAGGTGGTGGTGTGTGAGTCCCACGATGTGCCCGGCGGTGCAGCCCACACCTGGACTGTGCGCGCTCCTGGGGGCGAGGGACTGTACCACTTTGAGTCCGGACCTTCACTGTACTCAGGTGGGCTGCGCCAGCGGCAGGCACGCAGCTCAAATGCACCCTCTGGAGGTGACACGCACTGATCCCTGCTCCTGCTCCGCCGTCTTCCTCATGCGCTGCAGACATGGCGGGGCGGGGGCGGGGCGCCAACCCGCTGGCGCACGTGCTGCAGGCACTGGATGAGCCGCTGGACTTGTTGCCTTACAGGACCTGGAATGTGGTGCTGCCTGAGGGAAGCTTCCTCACAGAGGTGGGAGCCAGCCAGTTCTGCGACGTGCTGGAGCAGGTCCGCGGCCCCGAGGCGGTGCAGGAGTGGCGGCGCCTGCAGGTGGGTGGGCCGCGGCGTGTGGACCCGGCGCAGACAGCATGGCCGCTCGCGTGCATCGTGAGAATCAGCGCTGCGCTGCTGCACAGGCAGGCTGCTGCTTGGCGATGGGCGCTGGCGCTGGGCCCGCAGGAATTCATCCGGCCGCTGGCAGTTGCAGCCACCATGCTGCCGCCGGTGGCCTTCCGGCAAGATGCCGGCGCCGCCTTCACCGCCATCGCCCGCTACCTGCCTCACCTCCTGTCCAACGGCGGCGCCGCGCTCAAGCTCTCAGGGCCCTTTTCAAAGGTGCGCTGATCAGCGGCAGCGGCCTGCGGGCCTGCTGGGGACCATGCGCCTGCTCGGCGGCTGCAGCAGGTTGGCTGGGTGCCACACCTGGCAACCGCCTTTTGCTGCGCCCAGCAAAGTTTGGCGGTCCAGGGAGCGACCTCAGGAGGTGCATGCAGGTCCTGGACGAGGCGGGCGTGCGGGACCCCTTCATCAAGAACTGGCTGGACCTTCTGTGCTTCCTGCTGTCGGGCCTCCCGGCGGATGGAACAATCGCAGCCGCGGTCGCCTTTATGTTTGACCAGTGGTGCGTGGCCGCAGATTGCCACCCAGCACAGGGGCCTGCCACAGCCTCTTGACTGGCATATGCATGGATGCATGCACGCTGTGCCTTCTGGCATCGGTTCACAGAGGCGCCGCCGGGCAGCCATCGTCCCAGCCCTCACCTTGCCTGCTGCTGCCGGCCTGCCTGTGAGCAGGTACCGCCCAGACTGCTACCTTGAGTTTCCCCGCGGCGGCAGTCAGGCAATGGTGGATGCGCTGGTGCGAGGCGTGGAGAAGCATGGCGGCCGCCTGCTGCTGCGATCGCACGTGGAGCAGATTCTTGTTGAGGGCGGCAAGGCCACAGGTGGGCCAGGCCGGCGGTAGCGGAGCAGCATAGCTACCCATGTCATGCTGCTGCCTCATGGATCAGTCGTTGATCCTGGCATAACTTGGGTTCAAGCTCCCGCCTGGCCCTGCAGGCGTGCGGCTGCGTGGCGGGCGCACCATCCACGCCAAGCGCGCTGTGGTCAGTAATGCCAGCTCACCCGACACGCTGCGCCTGCTGGCCCCCGAGGCCGTACCCGCAAGCTGGCGGCAGGGCGTGCAGGACACGCCCCTCAATCCTTCATTTATGCATCTGCACCTTGGCTTTGATGCGACAGGCAAGTTGAGGAGGGTGGCTTGCTTGGCTGGTGGTCTGCTGCCGGTAGCGCCACATCCTGCCTGGAGAAGTTTTGGGTACTGCACGAGCCTTGCTGTGTGCATACCAGCACCATGTTGTGCGCCTCAGCTGCTTGGGAGGAGATCACTGCCCGCATGCCCTGCCTTCCCCTGTACATTGTGCAGGACTGGAGGGGCTGGAACTGCACCATATCGTGGTCAACTCCTGGGATGCGCCAGGCGGCGTGACGGCGGAGCAAAACGTGGTGCTGGTGTCCATTGCATCGGGTGAGGCCATGCTGCAGCATCCGTGGCTCTGGGGTGATCACCGAGACAGGCACCAGCACCTGTGCTGCTGCAGTGCGCAGTGGGCAGCAGCAGCGGCCCCCGCTTGCCATGCCCGTGGGTCGGCAGGCCACGCCGTCTTTTCCACCCACTCCTTGCAGTGATCGACCCCTCGCTGGCGCCTGCGGGGAAGCACACCCTGCACGCCTACCTGCCCGCCACCGAGCCGTACGAGCTGTGGGAGGGCCTGGACCGGCGCAGCCGACAGTACCAGCAGCTGAAGGAGGAGCGCAGCAGGGTTCTGTGGGATGGTGCGCTGGGCTTCTCATTACAGAATTGGCCGGCATTGGTGTTGTTTCATCAGAGGGTAGCACGGTGCACCAAAAGTCCAGCAGCCATGCCCCCCTGCCCTTCACGCCTCCCCACCTACAGCTGTGCGGAAACCGATCCCTGACATTGATTCGCGAGTGGAGGTGAGCCTGGTCGGCACCCCGCTCACGCACGAGCGCTTCCTGCGCCGCTCTAGGGGAACCTATGGCCCAGGTGATGAGATGCCTGGCGGGGCTGCAGTGAGTGGCATGATGCTGGCATGAGGGGGATCTGGTCTAGACAAGGGCTCTCGTGCGTCGCTCCTGCGACTGCACCGACTGAAATGCCGGCCTGCTGCTGCCTGTCCCTGCGTAGGCATCCGCGCCGGCGAGGGGCTGTTCCCTTGGCCCGCGTCCCCCGTTCCCGGGCTGTATTGCTGCGGCGATTTCGCCTTCCCGGGTAGGTGGGCGGTGCCCAGCCAGAGGCGCAGGACTTCTGCGCTGCTGGCACCAACAGTGTGTCTGCTTGCCTCCCCACGACCTGCAGGCATCGGCCTGCCCGCGGTGGCAGCCAGCGGGGCCATCACCGCCAACAGCCTGGTCTCTGTGGGCCAGCACACGGCGCTGCTGCAGGAGCTGGGCATCTGATGGCTCTAGGCGTGCGACCTGCAGGCCCAGATCGGCTGAACGCTAGCTCACATACAGTGTAACGTTATGGGAATCAAGGAAGCCGAGATAGCGGCGCTGACAGCTGACACCTGGGTCAGGCTGAGGAAGGGGGCTATGCAGGTAGCTAGTAGAGACCAGAAATCGCTACGGGTGGCCAACAAAATGCACAGCGGGCAGTGCCAGACGGGCTGGTGGGCGTCCATGAGCCACAGAGGCCCTGGCAATGGCGCATCGAAGGGAAAGAAACAGTAGGGAAGAAGATAATAAGTCAAGAGTCATACGACCGAGAGGGGAGGAGATATTTAGAAACAAAGAATCCTGAAATGTGGGCGACTCAGGCATGGCAAGTCAGGTGCTGAGCTCCCACTCCTCTTCCACAACCAGCTCTTCTCCATCACGGCGTGCCTGCAACTGCGCTGACCTGCCAGTGGGCCGCTGCATCCACACCAACACGGTGAGGCGCCGCAGGCGCATCCGCGGTAGCTCGCCAAGTGGCCGGCCAGCTCCCCAGCCGCCGCCAGCACCGCGGCGGCCCCGCAGCAGTACTTTGGCTGAGCTGCTCACGGGATAGCCATTGTACCCTGCCTGGTCGCCCAGGAAGGCTCCATGGCTCGTCACCTGTGCCTGCGCCTTGTTTTGTAGCAGCTGCTCCTCCTGCTCGCCCGCCAGCTGCATTGCCAGCGCGTGGCTGTGCAGCAGGTGCAGCAGCACCACTGCCAGCGCCAGGATGGCCGTCAGCGCCAGCAGGTGCTTGGCCGTCGCCCGGCCGCGGCTGGTGGTGCCGGCGGTGGTGCCGGCCAGCGGGCTCACAGCGCCCAAGCCCTCCGCATCCTCCCCGCTGCTGGACAGCAGGTGGTGCAGCAGCTCGGGCTCCTGCCGCTCCGAATGCTGCCAGGCGTTGCGCCGCCAGCTGCAGTGGACAGGCGGCGGAGTGGGGGCGCAGCTGGCGGCAAGCGGAGCGGACAAGGACAGAAAGGTGGCGGCAGCAGGGCAGCAGCAGGCCCAGGCCCCGCACGGCTGCTGCCAGCGCACCTCAGCAGCGCCGCCTGCTCCTTCTGCAGCAGCGGATTGGGCGTGTACTCGCCGCCCGCCGCGCTCTGCTGCGGCACTCTCGGCATCACTGCTGCATAAACTTGCTGCTGCTGCTGCTGCTGCTGCGACGGCGGCGCCACCCTGGGCTCCATAGACAGCACCACCGCCTCTGCTGAGGGCAGGGTGGGGTAGGGCAAATGCACGTCGCCGGCGACAGGCGCTGGCGGCGTCGACGCCGCGGCACCGGGCTCAGCTTGCAGCATCAGCTGGTGCAACAGATCGCTGCCGCTGCTGCGCGTGGCGGTGCTGCTGCCGCTGCCGCTGCCGCTGCTGCCAGCCAGCAACACGTTCATAGAGGTAGGGCGGGGCAGGAGGCAGTAGCTGCTGCTGCGGCTGCCGGCGTTCAGTGCGTCGCCGCCACTGCCGCCACCCGCCGCCCCGCACTCCTCCACAGAGCAGTCGCTGCAGAGGCTGATGCCGCTGATGCTGCTGCGCATGCTGGCGGCGCCGCCCGTCAGCTCTAGCTGCTGCTGCAGCCAGATGCCCTGGCCGTGCGGGCCATCGCCCGAGACCGTGGCACCGCCAAACCCGCCCCATGCGCCGCCAGGGCCGCCCAGCGGCTGCGCACTGAGCGGGGTGATCAGCATCGGGGCAGCAGCGTGTGCCGGGGGCATTTCCAGCACGGGGATTTCCGCCAGCAGCGGAGCCGCTGGTGGAGGCGGCGGCGCCTCTTGCGGGGGCGCCGGGGCGGCAGGCCGCCGGCCCAGGCGCAGGAAGCGTGACAGCCGGGGCTGCCGGGCGCTCCTGGGCAATTCAGCGGTCGCCTCGGCTGCCTCGGAAGGCCTCCTCACGAAACAGAACTGCAGGAGGCAAAGAGCTGAAATTGGCAGCGCGTTATCACGACCCCAACCCGACAGCGCGCAGGGATTTCGGAGCGCTGCCAGGGACTCCCGGGGCGAGAGGCACCTCTTCGAGAGTCTCCAGCTCGTCTCCATGGCTCTGCTGCGCCATGTCGCTGAGGGGCGGGCAAACGGACGGGAGTCCGTTTGCAGGCTGCTTCCTGCTGACAAGACGGGCTTCAACAGTCACTCGGCCTTTGAAGCCCGAGCCAAATAAAACCCCAGCACAGCGGAGCTCAGAATGCGTGGCTTATCGCTTGCCTCATTGTGGAAATGCGTGCAGTGGCCATTCACCGACTGTCTGCAAGCAATGCTACACCCCTGCCGCACTGCCAGCATACCGCTATCCCCACCCGCCACCCGCCGTGCGGCAGCCGATCAGGTCGGGCTGTTCAGGGTGGCGTAGTTTACATGATTACAACTATGTGGAAGGGCCACAGTTCTTGGCGGCATCAGTTGATGTGGACAGCTTGGCCGAAGGAAGTTTCAAAGCTGATTTGATGACAGGGCTGACGAGAGCAAGCACAAAGCGCTCGCCCTCGCACAGAAAAATAGCTCAATGCGGGTTGCATTGCCACACACACACGGACGCTCATCAGACACAAACTCAAAACTAGATGCACTCTGCTGAAGAGAAAGGCAATAAAAGATACGGATGCAAGGAACACATGCCGCTATTTGCTCTCAAATTTGCAACGCAGTTGAATCCACTTCAAAATCGATAGAGTGCCGCATGGCTACCCAGATTAGTGCTCTGAAGGTATGGAGAATATGGGGGCCCGCCATCCTGGCGCTGCTGTTGGCTGCATGCTGCACTTACTGTAAACTCCTTACCGTCGCAACGGGCTACTATGAGGACGCAAGCAGCGCGGTAGACCTGACTGTAGCCTGGCTGAGCTGCACTTATAGCCCGAATCAGAGGGAGGTGGGCAGGCTCCTGGACTGGCTGGCTCACACCGCGCCCTGCGCCAGCTGTGCCTCAGCCACTTTCAGGAAGCCAGCTATGTTAGCACCTGCAGGGCGCCACAGCCAGGACGGTGAATAAGTGCTGGCGTCGGTGAGGGCACTGAAGCTGTCCCGCTTGTGCAGGCCTGACCGCCATGCCACCTACCTGCTGCCAGGCTGACATCATACTCCTTGGCGGCCGCCTTGGCGGTCTGGTAGATACTCCTCATGATGCCACGCAGCTTGGCATCCACCTGTACCACCGGCAGCCACTCGTGGAGTGCAGGGTCGGGCTGCGGGCGACGCACATGCCTGGCTCAGCAGCAGCACGATGCGGGCGATCGGCAAGCACCCTGCTCTGCCCAGCGCCGCGCCACCCACCCACCTCCTCGCGGCTCCACTGCAGGCCGATGCGGTCCTGGCTCATCTCCAGCCCCGACACCGCCACACCGCCTGCATTCACCGCCTTGCCCGGCCCGTACATGATGCCGCGGTCCTGGAAGACCTTGGTGGCGGCGGGGGTGCATGGCATGTTGGCGCCTGTTTGGAACGCGCACGGGCGGCAGGGGGCCAGTAGGGGGTCAGAGCCCAGCGGTAGCAGGCAGGCTGGAGGGCGGGTGGCTGAAGGCAGCAGCGGATGGCTGGCGCCAGGCCGGCAGGCCGGCAGGCATTGTTCGACTGCCTGGGCTTGCCTGCCACCCCGCCCGTGCTTCCGCGCGGTCCTCACCTTCAAACACATACTTGCAGCCGTGCTCTGCCAGCGCGACGGCATCGTCCCGGTCCAGTTCATGCTGTGTCGCGCACGGGAAAGCCATGTCGACCGGTATGGCCAGCTGCCACACGCGGCGCCCCTTGTCGCCCACATACTGCGCAGTGGGCGAGGTGTACTCCTCCAGCCGCCCGCTGCGCCGCCCCTTGATCTCCATTATCTGCGGCGGGAGGAGGGGCAGGGCTGGCAGCGGGACAACTGCGAAGTAGCACCGGTCGGATGCAGGGGTGCCCACAGCAAGTGCATGCAGCAAGTGACGGCATGTGCGGCACCGCAAGCGCGGCTCCACAAGCGGCGGCAGGGGCGGCGTGCCTGCTGGACCTGGTCGCGGGTAAGACCCTCCTCCTGATAGACGTAGCCGCGGCTGTCGCTCATGGCCAGAACCACCGCTCCCTCCTCCAGGAGCTTCATGGCGCAGTGCTGGGCCACGTTGCTGCACGGGGCAAGGGGGCGTGAGGCTCCGCAGTCAGGCCTGTGGATGGCAGCCACTTCCTTTGCCTGCCACAGTCCTGTCTGCTGCACTCGTTCCTTGGTGCCTCACCCGCTGCCAGACACGATGCAGCGCTTGCCCTTCAGGCTGTCCCCCACATCCGCCAGCAGCTCGCCGGCAAAGTAGACGGCGCCGAAGCCGGTCGCCTCGGGGCGCATCAGGCTGCCGCCCCACTCCAGCCTGCAGTGGGCAGGGAGGCAGGGAGGCAGGTGGGCTGCCCCGGGGAGGCTGCGGCCCACACAGGTTGACAGCCCACAAGGCGATGGCGGGAAGCCGCTGGGCCAGGCGTAGGAGTATGCAGCCGCGTGGGTGCGCACCCCTTGCCCGTCAGCGTGCCGGTGTGACAGCGCGTTAGGCGCTTGTACTGGCCAAAAAGGTAGCCAATCTCCTTGGCGCCCACCCCAATGTCGCCAGCCGGCACATCGGTGTAGTGGCCTGTGTTGCAGGGCGAAAACGGGGTGGTGGTGGTGGATGTGTGCGCAACTCAACTATACGGCTCTGCTGGGCAGCCAGCCAATTTGGCGCGCCACCCACCAATGTGGTGGTACAGCTCAGACATGAAGCTTTGGCAGAACTTCATTATTTCTGCATCGCTGCGCCCCTTGGGCTCAAAGTCGGACCCGCCCTATTTTTGGCACAGCAAGGCAGGCAGTCGCATTGGACGCACTTCAGCTTTTACTTCAGCTGTGTTCTTGCGAAGCGTGAAGCACCGCCCTGCGGCTGCGGCTTGCCTTGCCACCGCCCATGGGCAGCGTCGTCAAAGCGTTCTTGAAGCACTGCTCAAAGCTGCGGGGACGGGAGTGGAATGGTCCTGGCTTGGTGAGCGCCAGCTGGTGCAGCCCATTGCACACCTGCCCCCAAGTGGTGCTGAGGAGTGGTGCTCGCCCACCTCCCCCTCTCCACCCAGCTGCCGCTCACCCCAGGAACTTGATGATGCTCAGGTTCACCCCATCCCTGAAGCGGAGGCCGCCCTTGTAGGGGCCGATGGCGGAGCTGAACTGCACGCGGAAGCCCCTGTTGACCTGCAGCTGGCCCCGGTCGTCCAGCCATGGCACCTGCATGGCAGCGCCCAACGGTCAGCCCAGCGGATGCAATAGCCAACTGGAGAACAGCCCCCCACCATTGCCAAGTCCGCCTGCCCTTTGGCTCACCCGGAAGATGATCTGCAACAGGACGGAGGAGTGCAGTTAGGCAGCTGGTTGAACAGCTTGACCTCAGGAGTGTAGGCAGGGAAGCGTAGCAGGCAGGCAGACAGGCATGACGATCCGTTTTGTGCCACATGCAACAGCCATGCTGCTCGCTTGCCTGTCGCTCGGGCTCGCACAGCGCGGCAAAGATGGGGAGCAGCTCTGGGCGCTTGGTAAAAACGGGCTGCAGGGAGAGCGCCACCTCGTGGACGGCAGACATGAACTCCCGCTCCGCGCCATCACGCTCCAACACCTGCTGCAGCACACCGCGCAGGCCCTCGTGTGTGATGCCCTCCAGGTATTCAGAGTCGCCGCCCAGTGGAGGCAGGCGCTCCGGCATGAAGCTGATGCCGTTTGCTCCGCCATGTCTCTGCAGCAGGCGTGGAGGGAAGAGAGGAGGTGGGCCACAGGTGGGCGCTCCTGGAGTGTCACCAGGAGGAGGGGATGGCAGGGAGCGGGGCCCAAGGCGGGAGACGGTGCAAGGAGGCACGAAGCGGTCGGCGGCCCGGCGGCCTCCCAGCCAGCCTGACGTGCACGGCCGGCGCTGGCAGCCTGTTGCTCAATCAACGAGTGGCGCTGGAGCTCGGGGCTGCACGGCTGTGGAAATGGGCCTGTGCCCGAGCCGTGTTCCGCAGTGTCGGGGAGCTCACCTGGACCACCGTGACCGTCATGGTGCTAGTTTACAGTGTCGCAATTTGTTGAAAGAAGTTTCGAAAGGAATGAAGAATAGTTTCGGAGGTCACGCGGCATGAGGTCACAACGAGATGGGCGCAGCGGGCACAGCACCGCCGGCAGACACAAGTGCCTGCTCATATATTGCCTTTGGTCTTCCCCTGCTTTGACCAAGGCATCGTTGCAGTAACCCTTCAATTCACCAGTACTACATCAAAAGTAAATATTTTGCACTCTCTCAGCCAAAACTTTGCAGCGGGGCGCGACAGGCAGGGCGGACAACGTAGTCTGACGCGGCCATCACGCCTGGAAGCTCTCCAGCATCGTCCGCAGCTTGCTCTCCGCAGCGCCCCACTGCTTGTCGTTCGCAGTCACAATGAACAGATACGCCAGGCCCTCCTGCAGTTGGAAAAGAACGGCAGCAGTACTCCCAAGAGCAGAATACCTCTCCAACGGCAGGCGCAGGAAACCAATGTCGTTGCATGCACTGCCATGCTGCTTGCCTTGGCAGTGAAAGCCGCCAGGTTGTGACCGCCAAGCTTGCTGTAAGGCGTATACAACTGCAGTGGGCACAGGCGGCACGCAAAGCCATCATATCGGGGAACGAGGGGAGGGAGACGCTGCTAGGTAGCCCCTGCCCCGCCTCCACCACACCGCGCGCGTGCGCGCACTCTCTCTCTCTCTCTCTGAGCCCACCTCGTACACATAGTAGGTGAGGCCGTCTGCCCCCTTCTTGGGCACCGCGCTCACAATGTCCTCCTCATCAGGCACAAACGAGCCGGTGATGAAGTTGCCGATGCGCGGGATCAGCTGCAGGCGTGCAGGCAAGCCGGAGGGCTGGGGCAGTCTTTCACTAGGAGGCAGATAGGCGGCAGGTCCAGCGTACAAAACGAGAGGCTGCAATGATGTGGACGCTCACCCCAGCCCACCCTATCATCCAGCCTGATATCAGACTGGAGCGGCCACACGCTACCCCACCTGCTCCGGCGCGCCCAGGTCGGCCGTTGTGGCGCTGCGCTTGGCCCCCAGCTTCTGCAGCTCCGTCACAACCAGCTGGGGCAGGATGGGAGGGGAGCGCAGAGCGGCAGCGCAGGCCGGGGAATGAGGGCACAGAGGAACAGAGAGGGCACCTGACAGGCCTTGCCCGGCCCCACTTCAAACACCCCTCCTCCCCACCTGCGCGGTGCCCTCCTTGCCATCCTCAAACTTGAACTCATACCAGGGCTCCTCGCAGCGCGGCATGCAGAAGTTGCCGGTCAGCGGGTTGAGCAGCGGCGCCTCTGACCAGCTCTCCGGCTGCATGTGGCAGGCATCGATAGGTGTAGGCATGCACTGGTGGTGGCACAGCGCTCCAGTTGCTGGGCAACCGGTGACAAGCAGGTTGACAGCTGCCCCCTGCATTCCGCAGCCAAACCCTCTCCTCTCTGTCAGCGGGCCATCACACTACCCCCCAGCCACCCACCACTGCAAACTGGTAGTAAGCCGGCTCAGGCTTGATCACCCCCGCCCGGATGGCGGGCGTCTTCTTGCTGGGGATAGAACAAAAGCAGGTGTGTGTGTGTGAGCAGGTGGGCAATGTCCGTTTGAGGAGGAGCGACAGCCACTAGCAGCGACAAATGGGGCATAGCGGCGTCAACCGCACTGGGTGAGGCGCCAGCGGGGCCACCAGCCAGGGCCACACCTGTCGGGCGAGTAGAGGCAGAATCCGGGCAGCCCGTCGGCCGCCGGCAGGTATGTGCCCACTGCCACGACTGGGGTGGCGGCGCTGGCCAGCTGCAGCGGGGCGTGAGGCAGGCGCCGAATCAGCAGACAAGAGGCCGCAGCCGCAATGTCGTGCACTGCATGATGGAAGCAACAGGCAGGCTGCCAGCCGCTGTCGCCGGCGGTGCCCCACCTGCGGCGCTGCCGCGCTTAGCGACGCTCCCGCCAGCACAGTGGCCATCCCCAGCAGCGCCCCCCTCCGGCTGGCATCCGGCCCCTCCAGCGATTGTGGCTCGCTGGAGGGCCGCATTTGGGCACAGCAACAGCCCAGTGCCCTGCGGGAACCCCGCTTCAGCGGGTGCGCCAGAGGGGCACCACCGCAGGGAGCTGTCAGGGCCTGCATCGTGATGGGGTATATCGGAATGGAACGATTGCGCTGGAGGAACACATCAAGCGCAGAGGGAGCACAGCAGGCCCCAGCAGCAGGGCCTTTGGGTTTTATTTCGGCTCCTCGAGTAGAAAAACATATTCATCATCGTCCGATCTGCTGCTCAGCGATCCAGCGGCGCCATTCCTTCAGGTGGAGGCTTCACAGCGTTTCGGGAGGACGTAACACGCAGTAATGGCGGCCAGGTCTGTCAATTCTGGGATGTGGAGGTGCAAAATAGCAGCGGAGGATTGCTGACAGCCCGCAGCCGCCGCCGCTGACGCTCGCTCGCTGGCGCTGCCCGCTGCCGCCGAGTGCCGGACCCAGCCTCTGCATTTTTCACCTGTGCAGGCACATTGTCGTCGGCGCCATTGTGGGGATGGGGGTGGGGGGCGCGGCCAGTTACTTTTACCTACGCACGCAGCAACAACAGGCGTTGCGCACGGCCGGCGAGGGCGGCGTGGCCGGCTTGGCGCAGCACCCCGCCTTCAAGCACGGTGAAGGGGAGGGGAGGGCAGCTGGTCTCACGGCAGAGCACAGAAGTGGCGAAGGATCGTTGACGCGCCTGGGCCCTGGGCGCCTTGCATTTGTTAGCGAATCATTCGTGCTCGGTTGTTGTGCCCTCCACCTGGCCGCCATCCTTGTGCATCCGCGTCCCGCAGGCATGCCCGTGGGCGACCGCCTGCGTGTGTTCACCCACTACGCCGCCTCCTTTGACACGCGGCTGCGCAACCCGCGCTGGGTGCTGGAGCACTTGTCAGCCGACACACTGGCTGGGCGGGAGGGCAACCGCAAGCACAGCGACTTTGTGGAGGATGCAGGTGGGGGCAGGGTGCGGTGGGTGTATGTATGTATGGGCGGCTCCGAGGTGCGTGGCTGGCAGAGCAGGAGGCAGGGCAGGGAGCTGGAGCGGCGTGCATCCGGGCACATGCCCTGCACCTCCCCTCAGTCGCATGCCTCGCCCGGCGTGCAGCGCGGGTGCTGTGTTGCTTAGTTGTCGCTGCCGCTGCTGCCGCTGCTGCGTGCAGGCATTGAGCGGCGGTTCCGCTCCAAGCTGGACGACTTCCGGGGGTCTGGGTACGACCGCGGCCACCTGGCGCCCGCCGCCAACCACAAGTCGAGCCAGGCCGCCATGGACGACACCTTCAGCCTCACCAACATGAGCCCCCAGGTCTGGCGCGGTGCGCGCCCGTGAAAGCTTTGCAGGTTGGCTGGCACCTTTGCGCCAAGGGCTGCGCCCTGCCTCGGCTGCCTGCCAACCTGGGCGCCCTGGCCCCCGCAGGTGGGCCCCGGCTTCAACCGCGACTACTGGGCGCGCTTTGAAAGGTTTGTGCAGGACCTGGCCAAGCGGTGCGACGATGTGTGGGTGATCACGGGGCCGCTGTACCTGCCGCAGCGCGCGCCGCAGGGCGTGCCCGGCTATGTCATGCAGCACCGCATGATTGGTGAGTGGGGCTGGGGGCTGGGCCTTGCAGGAAAACTGAGCAAGGTGCTGCTGGCGGGCCCTCCCGCCTGCCCACTTGCCCAGCTGATGCGCCTGGCTGCCGGCGCCGCGCCCTGCAGGCACCCCTCCGCAGCTCATGGCGGTACCCACCCACTACTTCAAGGTGGTGCTGGGGGAGTTTGGTGGTGGGCGGCGAGGCGCAGTGGGGGCATTTGTCATGCCCAACGCCGCCATAGAGCCAGACGTCCCGCTGGCGTCGTTTGCGGTGCCTGTTTCGGCGCTAGAGGAGGTGGCAGGTGGGTGATGGGCACGGGGACGCAAGCTGCATGCGGCTCCAGGGGGCTGCAGATGGGAGCGCCGGTGTGTGACGGGAGGGTCGCACTCAATTTGCGACCTCCGCCATCCCTCGCTGCTGCGGTGTGCCCCAGGCCTCCGGTTCTTCCCTGGCTACCTGTCTGACCCGCGGCGTGAGGCCATCGACGAGACGGCGGCGGCGGTGCAGAGCCTAGGCCACGCGCAACTGCTGCTGCTCAAGCCGGGACACCAGCTGCAGCTGCTGCCGGCTCCAGATGGCTCGGTGCCTGCGGCGCAGCCGGCAGCGGCACTAGGCGGCGGCCCGCTGGCGGTACCGCCCACCGACCAGCGGCGCAGCTTGGGGGCGGTGCACTTGTGCGAGCACACTGAGTGCCGGCTGCCGGCGGAGAGGTTTTGGGAGAGCGGCGGCGGCCGTGGCAACAACGGCGGCGGCAAGAGGGCCTTGCGGCGGACGGTCTCTGCCCCGCCTTGAGCCAGGCACTGGCAGGAAGGCAGTAGACAGCTCATGATTGATGTTCTCTGTTGGAGTGTGGCATTCCTTGGGGCATGAATTGCCAGCTGGTGGCCACTGGCCAGGGAGGAAACGGTTCGGGGCGTGCTGCGCCAGCTCACAGCGTGGCGGCAGCTGGGAGGTGGTTGGGGCCCAAACCACGCGCCGCGGCTGTTGCGACCCTCCCCGGCAAGCATGTGGGCCGTGTTGGCGCTGTTCCTGGCCGTTCTGGCCAGGCCTGCCGCGGCCACCTCGTTTGAGACAGCCACGGTCGATGGCGTTTTCAACATTACGTCGGAGTGGGAGGGCGGCTTTTGCGGCTCGCTTATGTGAGCAAGCCGCCATGAAACGCCATGAGCAGCTGTCGGCGGTTGCATCATGGGGGCTGCCCCAACAGCTTTTGTAACGCGGCTGCCACCCTACTACGAAGTTGCGGGCGCGGCTGACGCCAGCTGACAGCGGTGTTTGCGCCGTGCAGGACGCGCAACCCGGGCGGCAACCCCAGCAGCAGCTGGGCTGGCCTGTTCACCTTCTCCGGCGGCGTGCTCACGACGGGCCCCAACGGGAATGGCGTGTCTGAGCAGCTGGGCCCCACCCAGTGGACCTTCCTCCCCAACGACCCCGCCCAGGCATGTGTTGTGCAGCAGGGCAGCGCCGCCTCACAGCAAGCCTATGCAGCCAAGTTGCGGCCACCGCGACGTAGCACGCTTGTGCCCGCCTGCCACCCCCGCGGCAACTCTGCTGCCGCCTGCACCCCACCCTCATTCTGGTGGCATTCCAGCTGCCGTGCCTATCTCACTTCAGGGCATGCCTCTGGTACCTCCTCCAAGAACCCCATCAGGCTTGGTTCTGGGCACTCTGCTGTGTGGCCCGCCTTCAAGAGTCTCCCGCATTTTCCTTTGCCTCCCACGCCCACCCGCCTGCAGATGGCCATCTTCCCGCAGTCCACTGTGATGGTGACCTTCTGCTGCGACACCATGGACCCCACCCAGGTCAAGGCTACCTTCCGTGTGTGAGTGCCACCGTTGGTAGCAGCAGCATGAGCTCTTGCAAGCATTCAATCCGGCACACTTGCGTGACTGCAATGCAATCATGTGCCCGCCGCACTCCCTGCTGCCTGATGGATGCAATCGTGTCTTCCCATTCCCCTGCAGCATTTATTCGTACGACTTCCGCGGGTGAGGCAAGGGGAGGGCAGCGTGAAACTTGGATGGGCGGGCAGGGCCAGAGGGAAGAGGTTGATAAATGCCCGTTTGCCACGCACTCACCAGGCCCACTTTTGTCTTTTCAACCCTTGCAGTGTGGGATACAGCCCGCCGCCGCCATCCCCGCCCTCGCCGCCGCCGCCTTCGCCCGCCCCGCCGCCGCCAAGCCCCTCCCCACCACCACCAAAGCCCTCCCCGCCGCCACCCAGCCCCTCCCCGCCCTCGCCGCTGATGCCGCCCCCCAAGCCCTCATCGCCGCCCGCGGCACTCACAGTGGCGCCAGCCCCCGCTCCCGCAGCCGAGGAGGCTGTGCCAGCAGCTGCAGCCCCGGCTCCCAGCAGTTTTGTTGTCCAGGAGGACAGCGTAGCAACTGAGCAGGTGGCCATGACCAGCACAACCCAGGAGCAGCCTGCGGCAACGGTGGAGGCCGACCCTGGCGCCCCGACAAACGGCGCTGGTGCCACCCGGGTGCGTAAGGGAATGCTGCTGTGCGGTGATGGCATGATCGGCATGACCTAGGGCAGACTGGCAGCTGGCAGCATGCATGCCAGCTGCTGCTGGTGAAGGGCACAACATGGATGTGCTTGCTTCATGCAAAGGTCTCATAGGTGCAGTCTGTAATGACCTGACAGCAATGCTCCCTGCTTGCCTTGCCTTGCCGTCGCGCTGCTGCAGGTGGTGGGTCTCCTGGCTGCAGTTGTGCTTCTGGCTGCTGCGATGGTGTAAGCAGATGCTGGCTGATGGCTCACTGTCCCAGCGTTTACTTGAATGAGTAGGGTGTTTTCGCACCTGCCGCTACCTGGCAGGCGGGTCTGCCGTTGCCTAGCACTCGCGGCATGCTGCCGCACACTGCCTGACTACCCAGCACTTGCCAGCTACAGTTACTACTCTGGGATTATGCCTTGCAAGGCGCAGCGATTGTGCCACAGAGCAAATCGAGCTTTTCGGACATGTAAATAGAGAGCATGGGCGACAGGCGGGAGGTGGCGACAGCGGGCAGTCCCATCCGGATCCACCCCATTCCCAGTTCACGTTGATCTACTGAGCTGCGCTCGATTACTTTGTACTGGTTTGCCAGGCCTCCACTGCTGCCAGTGCCCTGGCTGGGGAAGCGGCCGACGATGAGCTGCTTTGTCGAGTCTACACAGCACCGCAACTGGACATTCACAGCTGATCAGCTTGTAAGTTGCTCACTGCAGCCCTGAGGGCTGTTGGGGAGCCACATGTCGCTTTCCCTGATCGGGCCTGCCCCTCTTTGCTGCTTCCTGCAGAGGCGGCTGCGCGAGGAGAACAGGCAGCGGAGCTTGGAGGCGCTGAACCAGGTTTGCCGCGCATGGGGCTGCAGAGAACTGGCGCAGTTTGTCGCCGTCGCCGCCCACGGCTTACACTGCCGATGTTGCCTGTCCTGCAGGCGCAAGCGCGCAGCGCGCCAGCTGCTTCCCTGAACACTCTAGATTCAAATGCGGCATCAGGTGGGTGGCCGCTGGTGGCTGGCACCTGCTACAGCCTGCCTGCCTACCACCTGCCAGCCCACCCCATCTTGCCGTGCACTCCGCTGCCCCCACACAACTGCGAGCACCCACTGGCGCTGGCTGCAGGCGGCGGCGGCGGCAGCACGTCGGCTGCCTGCGGCGCGGAGCCGCTGAGCGTGGAGGAGGAGGGGGAGCTGCTGAAGTACTACAGCTCCCGCCTGCAGCACATCTGCCGCGAGCTGCGCCTGCCGCGCCGCGTGCCGGGCGCCGCGGTCGCCTACCTCAAGCGCATCTACCTGGCGCACAGCTGCCTGGAGCAGGACCCGCAGCAGCTGCTGCTCACCTGCCTGTACCTGGCCTGCAAGGCGAGTGGGCGCGCAGCAGGCGGCAGGCAGCAGGCAGGGCCAGGGCTCGACATGGGCTGACAGCTGGCAACATGGCTTGCCACGGCACAGCCCAGCCAGCCTTCAGCTGTGGTCTTTGGGCAGCCAGGGACCTGCTCCCGGACAACTCGGCTGGCAGTTGTGCGCCCTCCTGGCTCGTGCTGGCTGTGCAGATAGAGGAGCATTACATCTCGGCTGCTGAGCTGGGCCGCCTGACGGGCGCCCCCGCCGAGGTCATCCTGCGGACAGAGCTGACCGCGCTGCAGGTGCGGTAACGCCATGTCCCCTGCTAATCGCATGTGCATATTGTGCATGCGGCTTGGCTGCCCTCGTCCGTTGCTGTCACGTATGCCTCCGCTGAGCCGGCGCTGTGCAGGCGTTGAAGTTTGATCTGATCACCTACTCTCCCTACAAGGCGATAGAGGGATTCATAGAGGACATCAAGGATGCGGCGGCGGCAGCAGCAGAAGGCGGCGGCGATGGTGACGCGGTGGCGGCGGCGGCGGGGCTGGATGCAGGCATGGCGGGCCTGTCAGAGGAGCAGGTGTCCAAGGCCAAGCAGGCGGCGATGAGTGCGGCAGATGCGCTGATGATGAGCGATGCGCCACTGCTGCACACGCCCGGGCGCCTGGCGCTGGCGGCGCTGCGCAGTGGGTTCAGCAAGGTGCGAGGCGCGGTCGGTGCAGGCAGGCTGGGTGGCAAGCTGTTGTGCAGGGCTTCCATGATCAAGTCGCTGCCGCCAGCCACGTGCTACCTGCCCCCATCCCAGCCCCGCTTCCCGCTGGTCCTCTGCTGCAGCTGGGCATCAAGCTGCAGCGCTATGTGCAGCGGGTAGCGCAGCGCAGCAGCGGCGGCGGAGAAGGTGGCGACGCCCCTCAGCAGCAGCTGCAGCAGCTGCAGGCGGCGCTAGCAGAGCTGGACCAGCTTGGGGCCCAGGGCGCCAAGGCGGTGGATCAGGCTCGCGTGGTGGCGCTGAACCAGCGGCTCAAGTCCTGCCGCATGCTGCTGATGGAGGGGTCTGGGCAGGCGGGAGCCAAAGCCAAGGCCAAGGCCGGCAAGCAGGCGCACAAGGCAGCCAAGGTGGCAGAGCAGCGCGGTGCAGCAGGGGCGACGCTCGACGTACAGGCCATGCCTGCCTCCGACGGCGGCGGAGAGCAGCCGGCCGCCAAGCGGTGGAAGCAGGCCGACTGATGGGGTCCCAAGCCGTTACAATGTCTGCCATCATTTGTTGTGTCAAGAAGCCTGTGCTTCAAGCTAAGATGAGGGGAGGGACGCGAGATGGGCGGCGCCGCTGCCCAGTTGGCGGCCTTGGCTGGCGGGCATCACATCGGCGCACTCCAGCTCCATCGCTTGCACTGGTGTGCTCCCGTGGGTCGCTCGACACTATTTCTGTTGACACGTCGAGCCGCACGCAGGGAGGTGGTGATGGCAGTGGCGTGAGTCTGTAGCAAAGGCATAGCTGTGGGCGACACGAGACGGAGGATGGATCCGGCGATAGCCATCCTGCTGGCCTGCACGGGCCTGAAGGTAGGGTGGCCGACACGGGACAGCCTGCCGCCCTTGGCGGTGCCCGCCGGCTGCTGCGTTGTGCGGCGTCACTTCTTTGCTGTGCCTGCTGCAGGTGCTGCTCATGCCAACCTACCGCTCCACCGACTTTGAGGTGCACCGCAACTGGCTGGCCATCACACACTCCCTCCCCGTCAAGCAATGGTGAGTGGGCCGCCGCCGCGTGCTGCTGCCACACCGGCATGCGCTGGCCCCCGGTCCCACGGCTGCAATGCCAGGCCCTGCTCTGATGCCTCCTCCATCCTGCTGGGCTACAGGTACTATGAGGATACCTCCGAGTGGACCCTGGACTACCCGCCTCTCTTTGCTTGGTTTGAGTGGGCGCTGTCGCAGCTGGCGGCCTGGTTTGATCCCGCCATGCTGCACGTGGCCGAGCTCGGCTATGCCAGCCCCGCCACCGTGCTCTTCCAGCGCCTCACTGTGATTGCCACCGAGGGCGTGCTGCTGTTTGCGGCCTGGCACGCCACCAGGCAAGCTCCGGAGCAGGGCTGCTGCCCCATGCCTTCCCTGTGCCTGGTCCCCTTCCCACCTGCCTGCGGTTGCGGGCCGTCTGCCGACTCGCCGCCTCCTGGCTGGCCTGCCTGACACTCCTCTCCGCAGACGCCAGCCGCGTCAGGTGCGCCTGGCTGCTCTGTTCCTGGTGGCTGCCAACCCGGGGCTGCTCATGGTGGACCACATGCACTTCCAGTACAACGGCATGCTGCTGGGTGGGTGGCCAGGCCATGGGCGCCGCATCTGCGCCGCCGCTTCGACGGTGGCAGCACTGTCTCGCCTGCACTGATGGCGGTGTATCGGATGGGGCGTGACATGCTTGCTGCTGCCCACTTCCCTCCTGTCTCTGACGTCGCAGGCCTGTTTGTGCTGTCGCTGCTGGCGGCGGCCGAGGAGTGCTACCTGCTGTCGGCGCTCCTGTTTGCGGTGCTACTCAACATGAAGCACATCTTCCTCTACGCATCCCCGGCCTTCTTCTGCTTCCTGCTCAGGCGCTACTGCAGGTGTGGGGTTGGCCCCGCTGAATGTGTGCACTGATTTTGTTGATGCTTTTCGCATGCGTGTGTGTGTGTGTGTGTGGTGCGGGGTGGTCGGGGCATGTCGCATGAGCGCACTATCCCCATATCATGCCCCGACTTTGCTTTGCCTGTGCAGCGGGCCAAGAGCAGTCCTGCGGTTTCTCATGCTAGGAGCGATCGTGGCCGCCATCTTTGGTCTTTCATTCGGGCCCTTTGTGGCCTTGGGGCAGCTGCCGCAGGTGGGTTGGCGCAGCACGGTGAGCCTCTTCTGTGCAGCTCCTGACAGGCAGGCCACCAAGCCAGCGCCACCTGCCAGCCTGCCAACCCGATTTCATCCCGCGCCCTGTTTGTCCCTCCAGCTCATCCAGCGGCTGTTTCCGTTTGCCCGCGGCCTCTGCCACGCCTACTGGGCGCCCAACGTGTGGGCGCTGTATGCGGCGCTAGACAAAGTCCTCAGCAACCTGCTGGGCCGCAGAGGGGTAGCGGCCAGCATGACAGGTGGGCGACCAAGGGCTGCGCAAGCGTGTTCGGCACGTCATCATCCGCTGCGTTTGCTTTGGCACGGGCGAGATGGCGACACCGCCATTCCTCCACCGCCACTGCCGCAGGCGGGCTGGTTGGAGTGGCGGAGTTTGCGGTGCTTCCGCAGATCGGCAGTGGTGCCACCGCGCTGTGGATGCTGATTGCCATGTCGCCCTGCCTGCTGCGCATTTGGTGAGCGGCAGTGCTGAGCCCTGCATTTCTGGCAGGCAGCTGTTGGGCTGTGGATAATCCGCAAACCTCAATGCTGCTGCCGCTGTCAAGTGCATGAGACGGGAAGCAGCCAGCCAGCGTCCTCGCCAACCCACTACCCTGGCAACTTGGATGCAGGCAGCGGCCTGAACCGAGGGACTTCCCTGCGGCGGTGCTGTACTGCACCTTTTGCAGCTACATGCTGGGGTGAGACGCAGGGAAGAGTGCAATGCCTGACTGCCCACCCCATGCAACTCAGCCCCGTCCGGGTGTCTGAAACTGGCGGGCTGGTGCCTATGGCTGTGCTTGGCGCGCACAGGTATCATGTGCACGAGAAGGCAGTACTGATGATTTCAGTTTCCCTGGGCATCCTGGCGGCGGCTGGACTGATGCCTGGTGGCGGAGCGGCCGCCATGAGCCAGTTCTTCTTCCTCAACACAGGTGTGTGTGTGTTTTGGTGCTCTCTGTGGGACGCCTGCTCGGGATCTAGCAAAGGGGCGGGTTAGCGAGGCTAGAAACCCTCCCCCTGCCTGCAGTTGGCTGCTATTCGCTCTTCCCGCTGCTTTTTGGCGATCAGGAGTACCCCATCAAGGCGAGCTGAGGGCTCATGCAATAGAGTGGGGGGTGTCTGCCCTTCCTCGCTGTTGCCCTTCCTGCCCTTGCTCAACCTCTGCTGTGGGCCTGCCTGCTGTGCGTGCAGGTGCTGCTGCTGGTGACCTTCATCGTCATTGCGGGCCCCTGGCTGGCGCAGCTGCCGTTGGACGGCAAGGGCGGCAAGCGGGGAGGCGGCGGCAAGAAAGGAGGCGGAGCGGCGCGGCCGCTGCTGCCACGCCACGAGCGGCTGTACCTGTGGGGGCTGGTGGGGCTGGAGTTGGGCACCAGCTGGGTGCTGCCGCCGCTGCTGGGCCAGCGGCTGCCCTTCCTGCCGCTCATGGCGGTGTCGCTGTACTGCTCGCTGGGCATGGTGTACTGCTGGGCCAAGCTGGCGGCGCAGACCTGGTGACGTGCCGCGACACTGGGGCAGCCACCCGCTGTAACCTGTCGCTGTGTCATGACCACTTCCCCCTACCGTGAGCAGCAGCAGCAGCAGAGAACACAGTGCATTGTAGGAGGCATTACAGGTCATATGGGCTAGTGTCATGTGTTGGCAGCTCATGTGCTCGCGTGGCAGCTGCAGCGCAGGGCAGCGCTACTTTTGCTGCCCCGCCACGGCGGGCCCCACCGGCTGCGCCGCGGCCCGCTGCTGCGCCGCCGCCGCCTGCTGCTGCTCCCCCAGCTTGTGCTCCAGCACCGCCTCCACCTGGCCCAGCATCGCCTGCCGCTCCTTGACCAGCTGCCCCAGCTGCTCCATCTTGTCGCGCACCAGCAGCACCTTGCGGCGGCAGTAGTCGATGCCTCCGGGGACGTCGCGCTGCGGGGTGGGCAGGCAGGCAGGAAGGAGGGATCAGACAACCATACACTAGATAGAAAGGGCTCCAAACAGAAAGGGCTCAAAAACTGGCAAGCAATGCGGTCACAGCCGCACAACCGCCATCGGACGAGCTGCAGGTGCCTGCGGGGAGCACTCTCACCTCCACATAGTATCCAGTGCCTGCTTCTAGAAGTACTGAGTCTACGCTCTCCAGCGTGCCTGACACATACAGGGACTCGGTGAGCGGCAGCAGCACGGGCTGGCCTGCAGGTGGCGGCGGGCAAGAGGGCGACGGGTGGGACGCGGCCGCAGAGCACGAAGCATGGCGGGGCAAACCGACGGCGGGCTCGCATTCCAGCTGCAAAGATGCTTTACGACAAAACTGCAATAGGCCAATCTCACCCTGCTTTTGGTCCTGCAGGTACTCGACTGCCTGCCCCGCCGCCGCAAACTTCCCCGCCGTTGACTGCAGCGTGACGCCATTCTGCTGCATCGTCCGTAGCTCCGTCTCCAGCGACTGCCGCACCTCCATCAGCTCCTGGGGCGACAGCGCGCCCAGGGACACGGGCTCCCCACTCATGGTGCGCTGATCGAAGAGATGAGAGGAGAACTGATGCGGCGGGGGCGGCGACTTTGACCCGTCAGGCGGACAATTGGGTACTTGGTAGGGTTCCAGATGCTGCATCAATGGCGTGGAGCGCTCTTGGGGCGGAATTCCGAGGAGTGGCACTACATGTGTACTGTTGGGTGCCTTGGAGCGACGCCAAGGGGCTCGCCTGCCAGGCGCCTGGCTTTTAATCGTAATACATATGAGCGTGGCAGTGTAGAGAGCAGTTCGGCGCGTTCACCCCCCGTCACCGACCGCCGGCGCCCCTCTGGGTCATGCACAGCTGCAACCCTATTCCGTGTTGAGTGCGGAAGTCATGCAGCAAACCGTTCGGCGATGTAAACGGCTGCTGGACGCCGCCGTTGATGCGTGCGGCTTGACTGACCCGGCCACGGCGGCGGCGGCGCTGCTGCTCAGGGAGGGCCGCCGCCGGCTGTACAGCCCGCCCGCGTTTCCCTCTGTGGAGGCACGGCTCAAGCCTGCTGAGCGCGTGTCCCAGAAGCGGCAAGGGCGCTGTCAGCAGCTGCAGGCAGCGACGACGTGCCAGGCGGAGAGGCTGTTGGCGCCTGGCGGCAGCGCCGGCGGCGCCCCACGCGGCTTTGCCTCAGCCTCGCCCCAGCCCGCACAGGAACCTGAGGATACGCTGCAGAGTGGTGAGGGCAGCAGCAGCGGTGACAGTTCAGCTGGTGAGCTATGCGCAGTCGCCAACACGTGCGCTTGGGGTCCCACATCTGGTGCAAGCCCTACCCTGCCTTTTGCCCACCATGCACCTGACCCCGCTTTGTGCTGCCTGCAGGCTCGGCGCCAGCCAGCGGCGCAGCTCGCCCCAAGCCGCGCTTTCTTCTAGAGCGCCTGGGCCTGGCACAGCCGCAGCAGCAGCCGCAGCAGCAGCCTGGGACCGAGAGGGGCACAGGCGGCGCCGGCGGGCGTGGGCCCTGGGCCCCGGCCAGCCGGCCGCCGCTCAGACACGAGCGCGGCGGCCCGCAGCGCCAGCCAGGGGTGCAGCCGTTGGCTTTCCGCCCGCAGAATGGCAGGCAAGAGCCTGGGGACTCGCGGCAGCGTCGGCCTTGGCAGCCAGCCGGCCAGGCGCCATCTCAGCAGCAGCAGCAGCAGCAGCGCGGCCAGAATGGCAGCCAGAACGACAGCAGGAGGCAGCCGGCGGGAGCAGCCATCAACGGGCTGCAGCGCAGGCAGGACCAGCAAGGCGCGGCACCCCGCCCGCCGCACCACCAGCAGCGGCCGCATGGGAAGCCGGGGTGGGGCCAGCCTGCGGCGCAGCAGCCTTTTGCCTTCCCTGCCGCCATGCCCACTGAGTTTCCCACCGCCTTCCCGCGGGCCGCCAGCGGCCCCGGCACCGCCAGGCAGCAGCGCAAGGCTGAGCAGCACAAGCGGAAGGCTCGGGAGGCGGCGGAGGCGGTGGCCCAGGAGGAGGTGCCTGAAGAGGTTGTGATCCCAGAGGACGTCACCGTGCTGCGCCTGGCTCAGCTGCTGGGTGAGGCAGCGCTGCGCGGCAGGCCGGCCCGCCGCCTGCCTGCCTGCCTGCCTGCCTGGTGCCGCGGCGAATGGACGGCTGAGGCCGGGGTTCCACTGGCACAGGCCTCGCCTGGGCGTGCCTGGCGGCAAGGTGGGCTCAGGCCGCCGCCTGGCTGGCGCCTGCTCCCGCCGCCGCCCCTGCAGACGTGTCTGTGCCGAGGCTGGAGGAGGTACTGCAGGAGCTGGGGGAGTCGTGCAATTCCAGGCAGGACCTGGTACCGCCAGACTCAGGTGGGGGCGCGGCTGGCGGGTGGCAGCTCGCCAGGCTGGCAGCACGTGCTGGGCGGTGGTGGGTGGGTCGGGGATAGGCCCATCTCGCTGAGGGCTGCAAGTGGGCCGGGCTGCCTGCTGGGCCGCCGCCCGACCGCCCCTTGCTGCTCTCCCGCGCTCGCTGTCGCAGCCGAGCTGGCGGCGATGGAGTTTGGAAAGGTTGCGGTGCTGGCGCGGCGCGGCGGGCGCGACGCGCCGCTGGAGGCCGACGCCCAGCCCCGCCCCGCTGTGGTGACGGTCATGGGGCATGTGGACCACGGCAAAACCACGCTGCTCGACGCGCTGCGCAGCACGGCCGTGGCGGCGGGGGTGAGCACGAGGGGCGGCGGCTGCTGCTGCTGCGGCGGCTGCGGATGCGGGTGCAGGCTGCATGCCGGTTGCATGCCGGTGCAACACGCGAAGCAGGCTGGCGCCCTGGCTCGCCTCCACCAGACCTTTTCTCGTGGCCTCCAGAGTGGCTGCGCTCTTCAGGGTGCTGGCTGGCCGGCGCTGCGCGCGCCCTCCCTCTCCCCACTGCTCACCCATGCACCCCACCCCACTGGCCCCCTGCAGGAGGCGGGCGGCATCACGCAGCACATCGGCGCGTTTGAGGTGCAGATGCCCGGCTCCCGCCAGTCGCTCACCTTCCTGGACACGCCGGGCCACGCCGCCTTCTCGGCCATGAGGGCGCGCGGCGCCGCCGTCACCGACCTGGTGGTGCTGGTGGTGGCGGCGGACGACGGCATCATGGCGCAGGCGCGTTGCGCGTGGTGGTGTGCGTGGGCTTGGTTGTTGGCAGCACGCATGCGCGCCAGTTAGCACAGCTGGCCCCCATCAACAGCTCTCCCCCACCACCACCCCTCCGGGCCGTGACTGCTCACCACCACCACCACCACCACCACCACCCTGCAGACGCGGGAAGCCATCTCGCACGCGCGCGCCGCGGGCTGCCCCATCGTCGTCGCCATCACAAAGTGCGACGCGCCCAACGCGCAGCCGCAGCGCGTGCGGCAGCAGCTGATCGCCGCGGGGCTGGAGACGGAGGAGGCGGGCGGCAGCATCCAGGTGTGCGGGGTGCTGGGTGTTGGGCTGGCCAGCCGCCCACCTGGGAAAGTTGTGTGCAGGCTGCTGTGCCGGGGACGCATGGCGGCCGGCTGGAGTGCAAGCGGATGAGCTCGACGCTTCCGTGCCGCGTGCCTTTTTGCCCTGTCTGCCTGCCGCGTACCCGCCTGCCTCAGCCGCGCCACTCGACCGTCGCCCGACGTCCCCTTCCCCGCGCCCTGCTGCGTAGGTGGTGGAGGTGGCGGCTGTGACGGGGCAGGGGCTGGAGGAGCTGGAGGAGGCGCTGCTGCTGCAGGCGGAGTTGATGGAGCTGGGGGCCAGCCGCAGCCGGAGGGCCGAGGCGGTGGTCATCGAGGCCAAGGTGGACAAGGGGCACGGCCCAGTGGCAACAGTGGTGGTCAAGCGCGGCACGCTCAAGGTGGGGGGCAGGCGGCAGCGCGGCGTGCGGCGTGCTGCGTGCTGCGGCACGTGTGTGATGGGGTGCTGCATGACGGCTGTGTGTGGGTGGGGCCGCGTGTATGGTTGCATACGGCTGCATGCTGCATGCGACCCTCTCCAGCGTGCATCCCTGCCACACTGTTCCCCATGCCTCCTGGCTTGACACGCGCAGGTGGGGCTGCCCATGGTTGTGGGCACAGAGTGGGGCCGCGTGCGCAGCCTGCGCGGCACGGGCGGCGCGGCGGTCAAGGAGGTGCTGCCGGGGCAGCCCGCCGAGATTGCGGGGCTCAAGGGCCTGCCGCGGGCGGGAGACCAGCTGCTGGTGAGGGTGGCACGCGCACGCCGCGCCCTGCCGCTGCCTGCCGCCGCCGTTCCCACGCCGGGGTCTGCAGCCGCACCCCTGCCCGTGCCCTCCGCATGCTCCCCCCTGGCGCCCTCCGCACTGCCTGCTGCCGCTGCACCCCAAGCCGCCCGCCCACCGACGCACATAACCCATCCCTTCCCTGCTCTTCCCCTCCCGTCCCCCCACCGCCTGGGCAGGTGGTGGACAGCGAGGAGCGCGCGCAGGTGATCAGCCGGGCGCGCACCCAGAACGCGGAGTTCCACCGCCGCGCCTCCGTGGCTCGCATGCTTGCGGAGCAGCGGCGGGCGTCGGAGGGGGGGGAGGCGGAAGGGCCGGGGCAGGGGCTGCACCGCACCCTGCACCTCGTCATCAAGGCGGATGTGCAGGGGTCTGCCGAGGCGGTGCGCCAGGCGGTGGCGCACATGAGCACGGAGCACGTGCGGGTGCAGGTGGGGCCCAGGTGGTTTGCTTGTTGCTTGTTGTGTGTGAGAGAGAGAGAGATTGTGTATCTATGGAGGGGAAGGTGGAGGGCCAGGGCAGGGCCAGCAGCCTGCTTCCCTTGTGCAAGTCGGCAAGAGCGCAGGCGGGGGCGCAGCGAGGAGTCGCCGCCGCTGGCTGCCACCTCTCCACACACCGGCTGCTGGCCCGCCTGCCCTGCCCTGCAGGTGGTGCACGTGGGGGTGGGGCCGGTGTCCCAGTCGGATGTGCAGCTGGCAGTGCCCCTGGGGGCCAAGATCCTGGGCTTCAACGTGCGCACGGCGGCGGCCGACGTGGACGCTCTCGCCAAGCAGCACGGCATCGAGGTGCGGCAGGCGGCTCGCGTTCGTGCTGCGTGCCGCTCAGGACATGTGCCAGGCTGCAGCGAGGGGTGGTCAGGTGGCTGCCACGTGGAGCTGCCGATGCCTCTTCTCCTCCCCGCCCCAGAGCTGCCAGCTCCCTCCCTCCCTCCCTGCCTGCCTGCCTGCCTGCCGCCATCGCAGGTGCGCTGTCAGCGCGTGATCTACGGCCTGCTGGAGGATGTGGGCAGCCTGCTGGTGGGCGCCTCTCCCAAGGTGGAGCACGAGGTGGTGGCGGGCACCGCCGAGGTGCTGCAGGTCTTCCAGCTCAAGGGCAACAGGTGGGCTGGGCTGGGCTGGCTGGCCTGCGTCATCTGGCTGGGCTCGGCTACCACACTGTTGTGGTACCCCCGCCCTGCTGTCTGTCTGAGGGCAAGGGAACTTGTGGGACACAAACCGTGGGAAAAAGGCGTCTTTGTTCCACGCCTGGCTGCTGGCGGCACGCCGACTATCAACCCCGCCTCCCATCTCCGTGTGCAGGGGCAAGGAGGCGGGCGTGGTGGCGGGGTGCCGCGTGGCAGAGGGCTCCGTCAAGGCATCCCTCAAGTATCGCGTGCTGCGCAGGTGAATGGACCAGCAGCGCCCAGCTAACGCTAGCTGCTGGTGGTTGGTGGTTAGCTGGCGCTGCTGCCCGGCCCTGCATCGGCCGAACCCGCCTGGTTGCCTGTCTTGGCAGCTCTCTAGCTGCCACGGCTTCCTCACCTCGGCTTCCTCGCCCTCGCTCCTGCGCCTGACCCTGCCGCCGCACTCCGCCTGCGTGCAGCGGCGAGGTGGTGCATGAGGGGCGGTGCGCCTCCCTGAAGCGCCACAAGCTGGAGGTGGAGACGGTGGGCAAGGGCACCGAGTGTGGCGTGCTGCTCGACGGCTTCCACGACGTGCGCCCAGGAGACCAGCTTCAGTGCATCGCCGTCGAGATGCGCAACGACGCGCACGTCAACACGGGCCCCGAGAACAAGTGGTGACCTTTCCGCAGCGCCTGCTGCTGCACCGCCGAAGTTGGGCGCAGCGGCTAGGTCGTTCGCCGCTTCATTTTATTGCATGCGCTCACATTGGCGCCTCTGGACTATTGCTCTGCATTGCATGAATCCTTTCCCTATTCAATGAGTTTGATTGCCTGACCCAGTGACTGGGGCGCAGCGGCTGAGGTTGCACGGCGAGGAAGGTGGCGAGGTGGCGGTGGCGCCATGCGCGCGGTCGAGCACTTGCCGCCAGCAGTTTCGCAAGTGCATCCCCGCCATCAATTCATGTACTCGGAGTCAATTCTCACAGGGAGCAGCCATGCTTGCGCGGCTTGCAAGCCACGCGCAGGCCAGCACCAGCCAGCCAATGATGCTGGCGCCGGCAACCCGCTACAGGCTGCTGCACTCACGACCGGCAGCAGAATTCATCGCCAGCGCAGGCTGCCGACAAGGCCGCAGCAGGTGAGGATGGCAAAAACAGGGAGGTGGCTCCGTGCTCCAATGCACTGCTCACGCCTTCCTGCAATTGCATTTGACGTGCAGGAGGAGGCTCGTGACGCTAGTGCGCGCTGAGAGTGAGCTTGGCTGCTGGCACCCCGCAGTGGCGGCAGGCGGTGACAGCGGCCTGCTGCCACGGCACATTTCATGCATACTCAGTGCTGCTGCTTACCATTGCTCTTGCAGAGCAAACAGAGACGGAGCGGAAGCCAAGTGTGCCAGAGCCCCCAGCGCAGCTGACTAGCAGCCAAGAGGGTCCAGAGGTAAGGCAGCCGCTGGGCGACGTTGGTAGGCAGGGGCACTGGCCCTGCCCACCATTCATCTGAAGTCCCTCCCTCGGCTGTAGGAGCTTGAGACTGCATTCCGGATATTTGACTGGAAGGCTTACAATGAGAAGTTTGATGTGAGTGGCGCTTCTGCATGAAGTCGCCAATCGTGCAACATCACTATGCAGTTTGCGAGTGTCCGCAGCACAAACGCCGTCTGTTCAGTGCTGCGGCTGCGCCGGAAGCCAAGCTGGGCTGATGCCCTGTTGCCGCTGGCGTCTCTCCAGCCAACTATCTGTAAACAATTTGCATTGTATGATCTCCTTTCTAGCAGATCTTGTTTGAGAGCACTGTGCGCTGACCCTGCCGCCAGCTGCCACGGCGTGCGTGCAGGTGCCGTGGGGCGGCAAGGAGGTGGTGCTGGGCATGGCGGCCTGGTGCGCGGCGTTTGTGGGCGTGGGCCTGGCCTTCATCCCGGTGGTGCGCGCCATGGCGGGCGCCGACGGCTTCTCCGGCCTCTCCGCCACCGACAAGTCAGTGTTTGCGCTGGCCAACCAGGTGGCGGAGACGGCGGTCAGCATCGCCATCATCCGCCTGGGGGTGGCGCGCTTTGAGCCGCTGCCGCCCGACCTCTTCAAGTATGACCTGAGGTGAGAGCGAGGCTGAGCCGTGCAGCAGCATGCATGAGGGGGAGGGGGCGAGTGGGCGTGGCTCTGCGCCTGGGGCTGTCGGTAGCCGGCGCTTGAGTGTGCCATGGCGGGCCTGGAGCTCCTCCGGGGGCCCATCCCGAACAATGCAATCCCTAAGGCCCCGCCCTGTATCCACTGCCCCCCCACACACAATGCAGCGCACCATTCAAGAAGCCGCGCGGCTGGCTGATGTGGGGCCTGCTGGGCGTGCTGCTGTCCCCCTTGGTCGTGTATGCCTCGGCCACGCTGTCTGATGGGCTGGGCGTGTCCGACACTGCTGGGCGGGGCACCGTGGATGCTGTGTCTTCCATCATCACCATCAACTTCTCGACCTACGCCTCCCTCATGGCCACCACCTCGATCCTGGCGCCCCTGCTGGAGGAGACGGTGTTCCGCGGCTTCCTGCTCACCAGCCTGACCAAGTGGATGCCCGTGCCCGCCGCCGTCGCCGTCTCCTCCCTCGCCTTTGGCATGGTGCACCTCACACCCCGCGACTTCCCGCAGGCAAGCTAAGGATGCCGCCGTTGAAGGAGCTGGTGAAACAGGTGGCGCGGCCTTGCGACAGCTTTGAGTGATGCTCAGGCCAGGCGGCATGCAGCGCCTGGTGCAGACAGCGCCCTCTGCTGTGTGTGCTCACCATGCGCGACTCCGCTCCGCTCGCCTGTGTGCAGCTCACCGCCCTGGGCTTCCTGCTAGGGTTCACCTACGTGCGCTCGCGCAACCTGCTGACCCCCATCCTCATCCACGGCGCCTGGAACGGCAGCGTGCTGACCATCCTGTTTTTCCTTGCCAGCCAGGGAATATCCATCGATGAGCTCCTCCACGCCCCTAGCTAGTTCAGCGACCGGCTGAGCAGGCTGCAATTCTTTTTCTGTCGAGTCAGGTCCAGCTCATGCTTCATGCATGGCCCTCAGAGCTGCCCCTGAGCACTGCCTCTTCTTTCCTTAAATCTTGAAAGCAACAGCGGTCGCAGAATGCCAGCTGCAGAAGGTGGGGTGAAAAACTTGCTGAACGAGGCAGAGGAAGCAGCAGGACTGGCAGAGGAAGCAGAGGAGACGATAGCATGCCTTAGGAGGGCGAGAGAGAGGAGAGAAATGTCAGAATGCGTCACGCACAAGCATTTCGTCACTGCAGAATAGTGTAAATTCAGGGCAGTCTCGTGGGAAGGAACTTTTCAAGCATTATCAGCTGCATCGTCACTTCTTGGCGCTGCTGTACGACAGGTAGCCTGTCCAGCACATCCCGCAGGTTGACATCCACAGCACCTGCGCCAGCGGCAGCAAACCAAGCCAAGAAGGTTAGGCTCGGCGCTCGACTCGCAGCTTCCCGGCATGCTCTTTCTGCACCAACTGCCCAATAGCTCCCCTCCTCCGCACCTGGTACTGCAGCGGCACTGCCGTGAAGTTGATGGTGGCGGCGGGCACCCAGAACTTCCAGCCGTTGAGCATGGTGGGCACAAAGTCGGCACGCAGCTTGCCCGGCAGCTCCCCGAGGCGCTGCTGCAGCGCCAGGTTCCAGCCAAACGCCACCGAGATGGTGAGCGGCGCCAGCGCCAGCTGGTTGAGCGTCACCTGCAGCAGGCACGGCAGGTGTGGGCAGGAGCGAGGGTGGGACGCAGCAAGGCCAGACCGGCGTTTGAGGGATGCATGCTGCCGAGCGAATTGGCGACGACAGGGCATGCCGGGCTTCACTGGCACGCAGCACCCCAAGCAAGGCACCTTTGTGGCGAAGTTGAGCAGGGTGCGGCCGGGGAAGGCGCGGTCCAGAGCGCCGTACCAAAAGTACTGGTAAGGGCCTGTGGGGAAGTGCAGGTGAAATAAAGAAAGGAAAAGGTCAGACGGAAGCAGGCAACGGGATGATGGCATGCTGGAATGCTCGTTAGTGAAGATGTCTTCCCTGTTGTTCTCACTGCCCTCCCTCACCATAAAACAGCAGCCCAAAGGTGCCCATGCGTGCTGCACGGGCCGCATCATAGCTGGCGGCGCTCCCGCTGCTGCTGCCGCTCTGCAAGAGGGCGACAGCGGCGTGGTTGTGGGCAGGACAGCACGCCACAATCCAGGGCTCCCAGTATAGGAGCTGCTCTGCATCAGAGGTCATGCAACTCAGGAGGGTCTCACCTCGCTGCGCATGGTCAGCAGCTGGGCGAGCACATCTCCCGCCAACGCCAACGACCCGCTGACGAGGCCGCTCTTCAGCACCGGGTTGTTCAACAGTCCCTGCAGCGCATCGCCCTCCAGGGCCCCTCACACTTCTGTTCCAGCCAAGCAGGCCGCGATGGAGTCCCAAGCAGGCTGGACGGCAAACCCACCTGCTGTGGCGGTGCGCTGGACGCTGCTGCCGCGTCTGATGCACTGCGCGCACGCTGCTGGCGCTGCCTGCGGGGTTTGGGCGCACCGAAACCACTGCCGCCGCCCAGTGGCAGTCGGAAGCAGCCTGAACTCATAGCGCAACACCTTTCACAGGGAAATAGAATACAAAGACGTGATGGTGAAGGCCGCAACGCAATGCAATGGCAGGGTGGCAATGCATTCTGCGTCTCCCGACAACAGCGCCGCAGCGGGCACGACGGGACACGCCATGCCGCCTGCTCACAGCTCGTCCCTCTCGTGCGTGCCGCTGCTGCTGCGCTTGACGGGCACGCCACCGTAGCGTGCCACGTCCACGAGGTGCGCGGGCTGCTTGTCCAAGCCCTGGAACAGCGGGCCGTGGGTGGGTGTGGGCACAAAGCGGCCGCTGCCGCGCATCACGTTGAGCTTGCCCTCGTGCCACACCACACGGCCGCGGCTGATGGTGGTCACCACCTGCATTCGGGGGCAAGCAACAGCAGGTGCAACTACAGCATGTGAACACATCATACTCGAGGCAGGGGAAGGTGCATGCATGACACACTATCACACCCGGCGCCAGCCAGCCGCCTAGGCCCAAGGCCCCGCCCACCTTGCCCCGCACGCGGTAGCCCTCGTAGATGTTGGTGTCCATGGCGGAGTGGTGGGCGGCGGCGGTGATGGTGTGGTCAAGGGAGGGGTCAAAGATGATGACGTCGGCATCCGACCCAGGCGCCACCACGCCCTTGCGAGGGTAGATGTTGTACACCTGGGCGGCCGCAGTGCTGGTGACGCGCACAAAGTCGGAGGGCGTCAGCTGCCCGCTGTTCACCAGCTCCTGCCACACCACGTGCAGCCGCTCCTGCACGCGCGTGAGCCAGGCAAGCGAAAGAGTGGCACGAGGGGTCGCATTGTGGTTTGCGCTAGGGCAAAGGAGGCACAGTGCAGGGACATGATGAACGGGAGGGCCACCAATCGTTGTTCAGTGGGCCCGCGTGGCCCCTGCCTCCCTGCCCTTGCCCTGCCACCCGTGGCGCTCACCTCCAGCCCATTGACGCCATTGGGGATGATGCGGAAGTCGTGGCGCCCCACCGCCTTTTGGCTGCTGTTGAACACGGCGTGGTCTGTGCCCACCAGCTGCAGCACGCCGCCCGCCAGCGCCGCCCGCAGCGCCGCGCCGTGCTCCCTGTGGCAAGGGTGGTTGGGGGCAACTGTTCAATGCTCGCCAACAATCCCACTGACAATGGTGCTGGGTTGACGCAGCTGCTGGCAACACGGCGCAGGCGAGCCCTGCACTGCGCAGCCCCATGCTGACGTGATGCGTGCCTCACTTGCTGCGTATGGGCGGGCTCATCACATACTGCGCCGCCACATCAAAGTCGGGGTGCCACATGCGGCTTTCATCCATGGAGATGGCTGAGGCCACCGTCTCGCCAACCACCCGCACCCCGCGCTGCCTGCACCAGGCACGAGGGATGGCAGGTGCAGCGGCACACTTTGGTGGCCATGGACGCCAAGGCAGGGAGCTACGGCAGGCAGGGGCCGGAAGGAAAGCAGAGGCAAAGCAAGGCACAGGGCCTGGCGAGGGGCTACGCAGGCGCTGTGCTGCCAGCGCGGCGTGGGCATGCCCGCCCACCTGGCGCGCCCGACCTCCTCCATCGCATCCCGGCTCATCACGTGCACCACATACAGCGGCGTCCCCACAAACTCGGCCAGCCGGATGGCGCGCGCCGTGGCCTCCCCCTCCAGCGCCGCCGGCCGCGACAGGGCGTGGCCCTCTGGGCCGGTGATGCCCGCATCAAACACGCGCTGCTGCCCCTCTGCCACCGCATCTCCGTTCTCCGCGTGCACCTGCACATTGCAAGGGGACAAGAGGTGGATGGGCAGGCAGGCCAGGGGTGCGCACTTGTGCAGGAGGCACAGCGTGTGGATGCAAGCGGCAGGTCAGGGCCACAGCCGTGCGGCCGCACCTGCGCCAGTGCCCCCAGCTCCTTGCACCGCCGCAGCCCCGCCAGCAGCTGCTCGTCGTTCACCATTAGGGCGCCTGCAGGAGGGGAGGGATGGTGATTGGGGGCACGGCAGCAAGCTCGACGGTTTGCAACAAAACACCGCAGATTGCGTGCCAGGCCTTTCACGCCTGGCTTCTCCTCATGTTGGAACAGGCCCGCCCCCTGCCCACCCAAGCAGCAAAAGAAAATCCCGTCCCCGCCCCCTGCGGCCTCACCCTTATAGGCCATGAAGAACTTGAAGCTGTTGACGCCTCGGGCAGTGACGGCCGCCATGTCAGCCGCCACCCTGTCGCTCCACGACGTCACCGCCATGTGGAAGCCATAGTCCATGACCGCCGCCTGCGCCTTGCGCTGCCACTCCTCCCACCCCGCCAGCAGGTCGTGCGCCACGGGCAGCACAAAGTCGATGTGCATGGTGGTGCCGCCCGCAAGCGCAGCGGCGTGGCCGCTGCGGTGCTTGGAGGGCGGAGGGTGGGGGGTGGGATGTGGGATGGCTTGGAGCAAGCACCGCGTGCTGGTTCCCTGCCTGCCTGCCTGCACATGCAAGCACCCCTGACTGCCCTCCCACCCAGCATCCCCTCCTGCACTGCCCGCACCTGAAGAAGTCGTCGCAGGCGACCTGCCCCATGAAGGGCATGGCCAGGTGGGTGTGCGGGTCGATGCCGCCCGGCATCACCAGCTTGCCGCGCGCATCCAGCTGCCGTGTGCCCGGCCGTGCCGCCTGCAGCGCTTGGAGCAGTGCGTGGCAAGGCCAGGTGTGAGGAGCATCGGGATTGGCTGCATTCCTGAATGGGTCGAGGGCACCAGGGCTGCCGGGAGGGAGGCAGTCTGCACCTGGAGGCCTGGCTCGACCCTCAGGATGATTCCATCCCGGATGAGCACATCTGCCTGGAACTGGCGGTCGGCATTCACCACAGTGCCACCCTGCAGCACGGGCAGCGAGAAGAGGCGAGCCAGGCAATGCATAGGCGCGGGACTGGCGGCAGCGAGCAGTGGCGGGTGGCGGCGGTGAGCGCGGGGAGGGCAAGGAGGGCTCACCGTGATCAGGATATCTTCGGCTCCAGCCATGAGCGCGGCTGCGCCAACCAGGAGCAGGAGGAGGCAGGGTTTTTGGCAGAGCGGCACCATCCTATCGAACCGCCTGAGCCTGGTTGCCGCCCGACACTGCCACAAGCCAATATAGACAGCCAAGCCTGCCTGGCAGCGCTTGAGCCATCAGCATGCTGCGACCCTCAGCAGCAGAAGGTCTGCCCCCCTCCAGCTTTGCGGCACCATTTCGGGAGACTGGAGCGCGATGGAGGAGGAGGGCGTGTTTTTGCCGGACAACAGCCTGCGGTTGCCGCTGCTTCACCCCAGGTGCGAGCATGGCGTGCCAGTCCCGGCCTCCCGCCGGCCTGGCTGGCCGTTGCAGTGTCGCTGTTAGCTCAGCGGACCAGCACGGGCGTCTTTTGTCTCGCCCACCAACTTGGAACTCCAGCGGCGGTGGCGGTGGGCGGTGGCGGTGGCCGGTGGCGCAGTAGCCGCGCGGTGCCAGCAGTAGCCGTGCGGCGGCGGTGGCGGTGGCGGTGGCGGCAGTAGCGAGTTGTCCACCCTCGCTTGCTGCCTGTTGCTGTGCAGTGATGGCGGCGCTGACACTGTGCGGGGCACTTCGCTGGGGCAGACGTGTGCCAACCTGATCAACATCTTCGTCGGCCTGGGCCTCCTGTCCATGCCGTTTGCACTCATGAAGGGAGGCTGGGTGGCGCTGGTGGCGCTGGCCATTCTGGTGCCGCTGTTTGGCTGCTCGGGCCAGCTCATCTGCTCCGCGTTTGACCTCATGCCCGCCGGCGTCCCCAAGACCTACCCCAACCTAGGGGCCGCAGCCGCGGGAAAGCTGGGCAGCCGCGTGGTGCTGGCCTTCAGCTGCTGCGAGCTTTTTGGCGCTACGCTCATCACCCTCTGTATCGTGTGGCAAATGCTGGAGCTCCTCCTCCCGTCGGAAGGTGAGGATTTTTTGATTTTTTTTTTTCAATCATTTATTATATGTATTTTCCTGTTATTATTATTATTATTTATCATTTTTACCCTCATCCCATGCAGGCCTCGGGCCGCTGCACCCCATGCAGCTGGCGGCGTGCCTCAGCTGCGTGGTGCTGCTGCCGCTGCTGTGCACCGACCTGCGCCGCCTGGCCCGCTTCTCCATGCTGGGCTCCTGCTCCACCGCCGCGGTGGTGCTGATGGTGCTGGCGCTGGCGGTCCTGGACCCGCGCCGCGCCGGCATGCCGCAGCAGCCGCCGCCCAGCCGCCACCTGGCCTCCGCCGGCCTCATCCAGTCGCTGGGCATCTTTGCGCTCAGCTGCAGCGCCCACACCACGCTGCCCGCGCTGAGGAGGTGGGTGCCCCCTCCCGGATTGCACGTTACCCAGCTCCGACAATACACAAGCACATGACACGACTAGGAATCGGCAGCAAGCAGCTCAACAGCCCCACAGCTCCTGTTCACAGTCCCTCCCACCATCACCTCAACCAGCCTCTCTCCCCGCACTGCCGCAGCTCCATGGCCAAGCCCACGCGCTTTCCCGCCGCCCTGGCCGCCTCCTTTGGCATCATGTTTGCCTGCTACTCTGCGGTAGCTGCCGCAGGGTACTGGTACTTTGTGAGTTTGCCCCGTCCGCATGCCGCTGGCCTCACTTGACGACTCTGGGATGCTGCTCTGCTCGCAAATTTGGCAGCCAGCCAGCAACTGCCTGCCCCCTACATGTGCCGCACCCCAACTCGCCGCCCGCCTGCCTGTCTGCCTCGTCTCCCTGGCCCGCAGGGCGACGGCGCCTCCCCGCTGGTCACCACAGACCTCGCCATCAACTCCTTCTACACCTTCTCCCGCATACCCGTGGACCGCCTGCTGGTGCGCCACCCTGGCAGGCCCCCATCAGCGCACACTTGCTCTCTAGCAGTGCAGCCCTGCAGTTGCTCGCCTGGCCGGGCTTGAGGCTTGGGCTGGGCCATTTGGCTGGCTTGCTGTTGTTGCTCAGGCGGGGACTCACTGCGCTGGCTGCTGGTGCCTGCAGGCTGTGCTGGTGCTGGTGTCTGGTCTGACCAAGTATCCGGCGCTCAACATGATCCTGCAGGCGAGCCGCAGCCGACTGCTGCTGCCCGCTGTGCTGTTGGATGATGCACATTGAATTGCCTACGCTGCCTTGGGCGACAGCTGTGCCCACATCCCGCTGCCTGCTTCCCTTGCCCCTGGTCCCTTGCCGCAGGACATGATCCTGTCGGCGCTGCCGCTGCGCCGCGACTCGCTGGGCAACGACCGGGCGCGGCAGCAGTGGCTGGAGCGCGGGCTGCGCCTGCTGCTGTTTGCTGTCGCCGCCCTGCTGGCGCTGACCGTGTACTCCTCGCTGGGCAGTGTGCTGTCCCTGGTCGGCGGCCTCTGCTCGCTCACATGCTCCCTGCTGCTACCCTCGGCGTTCTATACGTTGCTGGCGTGGCGCCAGCTGCGCTGGCCGGCGCGGGTGGCCCTGTCCACCATGTTGCTGCTCGGCCTGTCGCTCATCTCGCTCATCACGGCCACCAACCTGTGGGAGCTGACAAGCAGCAGACACGCAGCTCCTGCGCCGCCAGCAGACAACCTCGCCGGCAGCAGGTGGGGAGGCCTCGGCCTGCTCCTGCCATTTCCGCCCTAGCCTGCTCCTGCCTGTGTGCACAAGACATTTATTTTCCTGTTTCCCAGCCCTGCCTTTTCGTTTTGCACGGCCCGCTTAAAGCCCCTGCCCTTGCTTGCAGCAATTCTGCTGCACAGTTTTGCCCCTTGTTTCATTGCCTAGGCCGGTCTCGATACTTGATCGGCGTTTCCTGTTCTGCAGCGTCAGCTGTTTCACCTGTTTTACTAACGCCCTGCTCATCTTCTATTGTGCTTGGCAACATAAACGTGGCAAGCATTCACAACAGTTCAATTATTGCTACATGTATCTCGCTCCAGGCTGAGTCGTTGGCGGCACTGGCACACTCAACTAGACAGGCCGTTCAGTCCTAAGCGCCTGCCCTGCAGCGCTCGTGCCTCGCGCCACATCAACAGGCCCGCCACACCACCAGCGGCGCCCACCACAGCCAGAACCGCAGCAGCCACCAGGATGGCAGAAGCGCCATGATGGCTGGCTAGCGCTGCCCGAGGGCCCTGCCACATGTCCGCTGTGGCCAGCTGCGCCTGCTGCTGGGGCTGAGACCCCTCACGGTCCTCCCCATCTGCCTGCTGGGAGGCTGCCCCCGTCCCGCCACGCTGCAGCTCCGGTGCCACCGTCCCGCCCACACCCGGGGCGGGCCTGTCCGGCAGGCTGAAGTTGCTGTGAAACAGGCCCAGGCGCTCGTAGGCTTCGTGCTTCTCCCCGCCATGCAGGCCGCCAGAGTGCAGCACAACAGGGTCCAGCGGCAGGCCTTCCCTCAGCCGACTCTCATAGACGTGCACGCCGCCGGCAAACGAGGCGGCGGGCAGCAGGCGGTATCGCAGCGGCGGCTCCTCGCCGCTGCCCCACAGGAAGGGGATGATCACTGCGGGGGCAAGGCGAGGGAAGCATTGGAATGTTGAATGCCAGGCGCAACCACACAGCCTTCGTAGCTGCCAAATGCATGGTGTGCCAGCCAGTCGCCTGCTGCCCACCTTCATTCCTGCACACAAATCAAGCCAAGAACAGATGCCCTCAGCATAATGATTGCATTGCCCAACAGCAGCCGACAGCACGAGGCAAGGTGCCGGATGCAGCACTCACCAGGCCGTCTGGTCCCACTGATGGAGCGTCGCTGGTGCCAGCAGGCGGTTACGCATGGCCGCCATGAAGCGAATGGCCTGCAGGCGGCACACACGCAACATTGGCAGCAGTCTTGCAGGCTGTCGGCGGCGCCGGCACTCTCACCATCGGTGTCGGCTCCACATACCACAGTCCCGTGCTCTGGCAGGGATCTGCAGCAAGCAGGCAGGAAGACAACGGTTCTGTGCTGCGCATCCGATTCATACATGCTTTGGCATGTCCTTGCATGCACGCAGGCAACCGCTGTTGCTCACTGTGGTAGGTGAGCGCCGCCTCCTGCTCGCCGGGGCGAAACCCCCATCTGTCCCGCACCATAGAGCCTGTAGGGCACACATAGCGCCACCTGTGTGCGCCTCTTGCTTGCAAGACCCCACAGCGCTGCGTTTGGCAAGACCTCACAAGCGACAGGCGATCAAGCCACCAGCAGGACAAACAGCAATGCTGCCAGCCCCAAGACGCCGCCTGCCGAGCCTCACCCAGGTGGACCCTCTCATCTCGCACGAGAAAGTAGATGCCGCATGTGGTGTTCAACACGTCGCCCACCGTGGGCAGCTTGGGGTCTCCCCAGTCGCTGAGGCCCTGCGGCATGGTGAGCTGCAATACTGACCATCTTGCAAGGCAGCATGCACGGGCATTTTTTCTTTGCTGCCTGGGGCCACCCGCATGCGCACCCACTCGCCTGCACGTCGTACTCGCGGCTGAACCAGGGCAGCGGGTTCTTGAGCACGATTGCGTCGCTGTCCATATAGAGCGCCCGGAAGCCGTGGGCCACGATGGTGGCCCCCCAGTAGTGCTTCTGGACGTCAAACACCCTGCAGGTCAGGGAAGCGTTCAGAGAGGGGAGGCACAAGACATGATCTCTTAAGGGAGGGGCACCATGCCAGTCAGCTAGTTTGGCCAGCTGTCAGCAACTGTTGAATGCCCATGCCTCAAGACATGCTCACCGGTTGGGCGTGTCGGGCGCAGTGCCAGCACCATCACGATACTCCTGGCGCTCGGGAAACACCCAGTCCAGCACAACGGGGAAGTTGCGGGCGTTGAGCTGGTGCCAGGTGACATTGTCGGTGGTGAGCAGCTGCACAACCAGGCGGAGGAGTGAAGGTGGGGAATGGAGGCAAAGCAGGGGAATGCGTGGTGATGCGCGCCACAAGGCGGCGATGCGGGAGGACCCACCATGGTGAAGCCCAGCACTCCCGCCCGGTCCAGCCAGCGGCAGAAGTTGCTCATCATCGCCAGGTCGCCCTCTGGGTGCTCCGGGAGACTGCACAGGCAAGGCACGGCCAGGGTGGCGGCAGGACACCAGCCGCCGGAGCCCCACGGCCCGAGCCGGTGTCAGCAGGGCGTGCCGTGAGCTCACCGCGTGGTCGTGAAGATGATGGCATTCTCTCTGGGTGATGCTACTCGCTGAAGGAAGCTGCCGAGTGTTGAGCTGGTGACAATGAACTCTGGTGGAACGTGCTGCGGTGGCGGGGCCGCCGCCGCCAGCTGCTCCCCCACCTCGCCGGCCACCTCGGACGCCGCCGTGCCGCCACCCCCCGCGGCACAGGGCTGCTGCTGCTGTGTCAGGAGGGCTACCAGCAGCAGCGCGCCTGCCTGCCATTTCCTCATTCTGGTGATGGTGCCAAACCAACGGGTTTGTAGGAGATACTGGCTACAACCCGAACCGCCTGTATGCACAATGTGCCTGCCTGCTTGTTGATGATGAGAGCAACGCGCTAACGCGCCGTGAGAGAGGCGTCCCCCCTTAGATTCGCTGCAGCAGCTACGTGGCCGGGTATTCCGCTTCAGCGAGCGAATAGACGCTAGAAATGATCACAGAAACAAGGGGAAACGGATTCACGACGCCGACAAATCAGCGATGGCGTGAATGTGTGGTTAACAGGCGAGTCTGACACCTATTGAGGCATGAATGCACCGAGGTGTCCTTCGTTAACGGAAGGGCAGGACAAAAAGCCTATATGGGTTGCGAGGCGGCTGGGTGGAAAGTTGCTGACGGGGCGTCCTCCACTGTACTGCCTGAGCGGGTTTGCAGTCTGGTATGTTAGCAACAGCAAGCTTGCAGCACAGACTTTCTATGGAATGGGTGAGGCTGAAATGGCAACTACACTACAAGTACACTAACCCCAGTGGCGAGCTCAAACGCTGCCCTGCGGCCTGATGGGCACCCCTTTCACCGTCGGGCGCTTGTTTGCTCGGCGCCACAAGATCAGGCCACCCAGGAAGCCGGCAGCGCACACCAAACCCAGCACAGCTGCAACCACGACCGATGTGGAGATGCTGCTGCTGTCGATGTGCAGGATGGCACGGGGCGCCGCAGGGGCGGCCACCGGTGCCATCTGCCCCGCTGGGGGCAGCAAATCCTGCTGCATTGCCGCCCCAGGCTCCGGCTCCAGCTGCTTCACCAGATCTGGCGACACCGTTCCGCCCACACCCGGGGCGGGCCTGGCCGGTAGGCTGAAGTCGCTGTGAAACAGGCCCAGGCGCTCGTATGTGCCGTGCTTCTGCCCGCCGTGCAGGCCGCCAGAGTGCAGCACAACAGGGTCCAGCGGCAGGCCTTCCCTCAGCCGACTCTCATAGACGTGCACGCCGCCGGCAAACGAGGCGGCGGGCAGCAGGCGGTATCGCAGTGGCGGTTCCTCGCCGCTGCCCCACAGGAAGGGGATGATTACTGCAAGTGAGTGGGAGCAGGGTGGAGAATGGCATATGAGGATGCCATTCGCAGGCACACGCCGTCGAGTCACCCGCACCCACCTTCATTCCTGCACACAAATCAGGCCAAGAATAGATGCCCTCAGCGTGATGAATGCATTGCCCAATAGCAGCCGACAGCACGAGGCAAGGTGCCGGCGGTGCAGCACTCACCAGGCCGTCTGGTCCCACTGATGGAGCGTCGCTGGTGCCAGCAGGCGGTTACGCATGGCCGCCATGAAGCGAATGGCCTGCAGGCGGCACACACGCAACATTGGCAGCAGTCTTGCAGGCTGTCGGCGGCGCCGGCACTCTCACCATCGGTGTCGGCTCCACATACCACAGTCCCGTGCTCTGGCAGGGATCTGCAGTACAGAGTAGGCAGGCGCACCAGCCAGCTTCGCTGTGCAGCCAGGCACAGCAGACAGACAGACACAAACAAATGCCACTCACTGTGAAAATTCAGTGCCCGCTCCTTGTCTCCAGGGGCGTAACGCCACCACTCCCGCAGCATGGAGCCTGTGCCACACAAGCAAGGCAGAACAGCCAGGGCGCACCTCTATTTGGTTGGCACCCCACTGATCCACACCACTGCCTGCTGCTGCATCAGGTCCCAGCAGCTGCACGCATTTATTGGCAGGCCCCAGAGCGGCTCACCCAGTCCAACTCTGCCGTCTGGGACCAAGGCATACAGGCCGCAGTTTCTGTTCAGAATGTCGCCCACTTTGGGCAGCTCGGGGTCTCCCCAGTCACTCAGCCCCTGCATTCCGCTGGATTGCAGTCACGGCAGCCAAGTAAGACTCAACATGCAGCACCCCAAGCCCGGCTCTCTTCTGCTGCAACAGCGTGCGCAGGACAGTCAGCCCTCCCACTCGCCTGCACGTCGTACTCGGGGCTGAACCAGGGCAGCGGGTTCTTGAGCACAATTGCGTCGCTGTCCATATAGAGCGCCCGGAAGCCGTGGGCCACGATGGTGGCCCCCCAGTAGTGCTTCTGGACGTCAAACACCCTGCAGGTCAGGGAAGCATTTAAAGAGGGGAGACACAAGGGCTGACGAGGGAGGGGCACCATGCCAGTCAGCTAGTTTGACCAACTGTTGAATGCCCGTGCCTCAAGACATGCTCACCGGTTGGGCGTGTCGGGCGCAGTGCCAGCACCATCACGATACTCCTGGCGCTCGGGAAACACCCAGTCCAGCACAACGGGGAAGTTGCGGGCGTTGAGCTGGTGCCAGGTGGCATTGTCGGTGGTGAGCAGCTGCAGCATAGCCGAGGGCAGGTGCAAGCCAGAGTCAGGGCCAGAGCAAGCTGGGGTATGGTCAGAACAAAGGAGCAGCTGTTGAGCGGTGACGGCAATGTGTCTCAACGCCCAGTGCAGGCATGCGGGCACCCACCATGGTGAAACCTAACACTCCCGCCCGGTTCAGCCAGCGGCAGAAACTGCTCATCATTGCCAGCTCACCCTCGCCACCATGCATAGGCAGCCTGCACACAAGGCAGGGGGTCGTGTCGGTCAACGCAGGCAACCGGCACCCGACCTGGAGGCTGCACACCGCGTGCCTACCGAGTGGTCGTGAAGATGACGGCATTTTCCTCAGGGGATGCCACGCGATGCAGGAAGCTGCCCAGAGTGTCATTTGTGATGATGAATTCAGGTGGAACAGCGAGCGCCGCCTTGGAGTCAGCGTCCTCCGTCGCCGCTGGTTCCTGCAGCGCCCGGCGGCCGCTGGCTGCGCTGGCTAGGGGCTGCTGCGCCAGGAGGGCCACAAGCAGCAGCATCAGGGCCGCAGGGCACCAGGCCGCCATCACGCTGGGGGGATGCCTCGACCTTTTCTGGCAGGTGAGAAACAACGGCCCCGCAGCGCTGCAAAAAAAGCACCGAGAGGTGTGAGCCCGCAGAGGGCACCAAAATGCAAACAAGGCCAGGGTGGGCGAGACAAGGAGCCCAATTGGCTGCGGGATTCAACCAGGCCCACCTGGAAAGTGAGGGCCAAATTGAATGGAGACTGCGATGCTTTCGGCGCGGGCTGCAGCCATCCAGTCGTCCTGATCGCGTGGAGTCATACTTGCAGCCAGCCCCTGTGCTTCCCTCGACGTGACGAGCTCCAGGCCTCGGGCCGCAGAATGTGGTGCTGAGACGGGGTTCCCACTGCCCTCAGTGCCCGCCACTCGCACCCCGGCCATCGATAGGCACACCGGCGAACAGCATGCGAGCAGGCAGGGTGCTGGTGCTGTGGTTGGCTCTGCTGGCGCTCCTCGCGCGTTCGGGGTGCGCGGAGAAGGCCTGGACGGAGTGGTATTGGAGCAAATTCGATCCAGACGCAGGTGGGGAGGCGCAGGACAACTGCTGCCTGAACCGCCGCGCCGCCGGCTGTGCGGCGCCATTCAGTGTATCCGTGCAACGGTGCTTGTTTGACCTGGCCTGCAGTGGCAGCTACCACTTTTGACAAGGCAGACGACTTCTTGATATCCCGGAACCTGTGGTAAGCCGCTGCGCAGCGTGTCGCTTGTGGCACTTTGCCTCGCCGTGCAGCGTGCCTTGCATGGGTGCTGGTGATTTCCAGTGCACCCATCCCGTGCAAAACAGAGTGTTTTGCTGTGACATGTGGCAAGCAACTGATTTGCCAGCCTGCAAGCCAGTTGGCGCATGGGTGCATGCACTGGTCCGCCCACCTCCCACACCCACCCGCTCGATCCCGCCCCGCCCCACACCTTTGCCCGGTCTGCAGGTTCCACGTGCAGCGCTTCTTCGCAGTGCTGGACGCGTCAGACCTGGACAAGTATGGCGGCGGTGACGGCAGCGCCACCAGCGCGGCCACCAGCGCCGACATCCCCTTCAGCCAGAACATCGCGGTGGGCAAGACGCCCTTCACCAACGTGTCGGCCCACTACCACAACATCCGGGCGGGGGTGCTGCTGGGCACCTGCCTCTGGGTCGACTTCCCCTTCCCCGCCTTCCCGGAGAACATGGGGCACTGGGCAGAGGTGCTGGCACCCATCTACAGCGCGCTGACCAATGCCAGCTGGCGCCAGCGTGCGCCCGACTCGGAGGGCTACCTCCGCGCCGTCATCTTCCCCAATCTGCGCCGAGAGCAAGTGCAGGTGGGGGCCTGGCTGGCTGCCACGCGCGCAATGACAAGCAGGGGGGGCTTGCAGTTGGATCAGGGCTGGACACGCGTGTTTGCTGGCTGGGAAGATGGCAGTTTGCTGGCATCACCCCCCTTGCTCCTGCCAGCGGCCATGCCGCCTCGCCTGCCTCATCCCGCTCCCCCGTGCTCCCTGCCCTGGCGCCACCCAGGGCCTGAGCTGGGTGATGGACATGCTGCGCCTGACGCTGCGGCCGGGGCTCAAGGAGGGGCAGGCCCTGCCGCGCCTGCTGTTCTTTGACGAGCTGGCCAGCCTCAACGCCACCAGCTGGCTGGGCTTTGAGCGCGTGCTGCTGGTGCACAACAGGTGGGGGGCAGGGGTGGGGGATGTGCGCCTGTGTGATTGGTGCAATGCTGGCTGGCGGGCATGTGGAACAGCAGGTGGCAAAGCTGCTGGTAGCTGGCTGCTTTGTTGCTGCCCTTCTGAGCGAAGCGGTGGTGCATGGGGCGTGGCCCACGCCTGCAGGTACACGCTGCCCAGCGGGCGTAGCGGCTTTGTGACCAAGGCGCACACGGACGCGTTCCGGGAAGCAGCATATGCAGGTCAGGCCGGCTGCCCTGCCCAGCCCTGCACTGCTCTGTGCGGCTGCGTGTTGCTTGGCCCACCACCGCTCCCACCCCCCAAATGCTGCTGCTCCGTGCAATGCTTGGGCTACTGCTGCTGGCGTAAGGCACGCTCCCGAGCCCCCCTGTGCCCCTACCCCCCACCTGCCCGCTGTCCCGCAGCCGCCAACATCACCTACGGCGGCCCCGCCTGGTCCGCGGGCCTGGCGCCCCCCGTCATCACCTACCTCATGGCCATGAACCACGAGCCCGTGGTGAACAACGGCGAGGTGCTGGGCGCGCTGCGCGACGTGGGGCGCGCCCTGGGCCTGTCGGTGCGCCCCTACAGCGTCACCCCCGGCGCCGCCTTCCCCTCCTTTGTCGCCTCCATGGCCAACACGGGGGTGCTGGTGGCGCGGCACGGCCCGCTGCTGGCCAACGCCATGTTCCTGCCGCCCGGGGCCGTGGTGCTGGAGCTGCTGCCCTACAACTGGGAGTGGCGCGGCATCAGCGAGATCTACGTCAACCTGACGCGCAGCGTGGGCGCGGTGCACCACTTCGCCTGGAAGGCCAACAGCAGCGAGGTGGGCGGGATTTGTGGGGCACGCGAGGGAGGGAGGCAGCGAGCGGCGAGGAGCGACGTGCGGTTCGGTTTGGCGCTGGCAGCAGAACATGCGTGATGCTGCCACGGGCCCTTGCGGCCAGCGCTTGCGCCTGAGCTTGTGCCGGCCGGGCTGCCTGTGGTGCAGTGGGTGATGTACCTGGAGGCTGAGGATGCCAAGTACTCTCACTGGAATGCAGAGGAGTGCTCCAGCAGGTGGGGAGAGTGCGTGTATCAGAGCGGGTTGTCTGCGTTGATGTGGTACATGGGGGGGGGGGGATTAGGGTATCCCATTCCGGGGCTGCCACCTGTGGCCCCACCCAGGCCCAGCATCTGCACCGGGCTTTGCTGTCCTCATGGTCTTGCCCGGTGTCCCTGCAGGTACTGCCTGGAGGCGCACGCGCGGGCGGGCATGGTGGTGGACACCGAGGCCATCAAGGCGCTGCTGCTGGACCTGCTGCCTCGCACGCTCAAGGGGGCCAGCGTGGCGGAGCTGGCGCTGCGGTACCCCTGGCCCAAGGGCAGCGGCCGTGACGGCGGCGGCACGGGGCTGTGGTGGGACGTGTGAGCGGGGCGAGAGCGCGCTCCCCTTCTGCGTTTTTTTCAACCCTTTGCTTTCTACTCCCTTGATGATCCCTGCTCTTGATCCACTGGCCCTACCCCCTACTCCCTACATCACACTTGCAATCATCTACACGTTCAATGTTTTGCTGGTGCGACGGGAAGAAAGGCGGTGGCGGAGCAGCCAGGATGGCAGCTGAAACGGCCAGGCACTGCACCCATCACATCTGCCACTCTGATTCCTGCGTCACCCCGCCTCCAAAACACGCCCTTGGACTTGTGCTGTCTGACCATGAAGGGCCTGGGCAAAGCTGCCAAGAGGCATCCCATCCCCAACGCCTGCTGCGTGCACGTGAGTTCCTCAGTAGCAGGACGAGGCAGCGGCGAGAGCTATGGGGCGCAGCGCGCCGGGTGGCGCTGCCTTGGACTGTGCCCACTGGTCTGCCACTCTGCTGCTGCCACTTGCCGGAGCTGTTTGGTTGCAGTGTCATCGCCTGCTTCCTTGGGATCCGCCACATGCCTGCTGTGCTGCTGGCCTGCGCTGCCCGCAGTATGCCAACAACGGCGGGGCGGCCTGCAGGGCCTGCAAGAAGGGGATTGCGGAGAAAGAGCTGCGCTTTGGCTGCGATGCCCACGATGGGGACTGGCACAGCTACCACTGGCACCACTGGTGAGGGAGGAGAGCGCTGGAGGCCGGAGGCTGCTCGCTGGCTCCCTCACCGCATTGCCCCACCCACACACCACCACCACCACCCTGCTGCATCTGAATAAGAAAGCGCTGGTACCTGTAGGGGCTGCGTCACGGATGAGCTGCTGCGCAAGGTGGGAGGCAAGGAGAGGCTGTGGAAGGTGCAGAGGCTGGACCCCAAGGTGACCAGCTGGGAGCAGAGGGCTGGCAGCAAGAGCAGCCGCTGCGTGGTGGGCAGCCGGGCCGATCCTTGCCTGCCAGTGGCCGCGGGCGTCCTGTCCTGCCAGTCAGCGATTATTTAGGGTAGCCGCTTTTGAGATGCGCTCCCTTCTGCATTTGCGTGGGCATGCAGGACAAGCAGATGATTGAGCAGCGCTTTGAGAGGTTGAAGTGATATGGCGGGCAGGGCCTGACGAGCAGCTCAGCAGCAGCAGGCTGGAGAACACAGCAGTAGTTGCGGCTGCGTGGACACTCTGCCCCTCTTGCGCATGATCTACGCTCTCACCATGAACAGCTCTCCCCATGATCCGCTCCTTCATTTGCCCTGCCCGCATGAGAGAGTCTCGGCTGGAAGAAAGAAGGGGGTCTCCCAACCTGGACACTGCAGGCACTGGACCCTGGGGGCTGGCAAAATTTTGGCGACCCTCTTTGAGCTGCTGATGCACCAGGGATGTCTCAGCCAGCGCCGGGAGGCACCCAGGCGGGCTGGGGCGGCCCTGCGGCAGGCAGACACCGGCATGACTGCTGCGGAGCTGGAGCAGGACTGGGGCATGGGGGAGCCGGTGGTGGAGCCGCGGGTGATTGACCCAGCGATGGCAGCGCCCAAGGCCTTCCCGAGGACGGCGGAGGAGCCGGCGGCGCCAGGTCAGCTGCGCCGCAGCTCCCCACGTGGCTGTAAGCCAGTGCATCGCCTCAATCAATGCTGCCAACAGCACTCACAGCATGCCCCTTCCCTTCGGGCCCATGCTCCTCCAGATATGCTCACAGTGCATGTTGTGCTCCTGCGTGCCGATGCAGGCGCTAGCGCCCAGGAAATCGATGCCTCTGGCCTGCCCTTCAACGAGGAGGCTCGAGATCTGCTGCGCCAGGCGGCGGCCATCCAGGCGGCGCCCCGTGGAGGAGCAGGCGGTGTGCGGGCGGGGCCGGCACCAGAGGGCGGCGCGCGCGGTGGGCAGGCGCATGCGAACGAGGGCAAGGAGGAGCCCGGGCGCAGCTTCCTTCAGTAGAGGTGCACCCTGCAATGATCTGATCCTCGTGTTTGTGTCAAATAAAGCTCCAGAGCTGCGCGGCAGCTGTGAGTCAGCGCCAGCACCCGATTGGTCGAGAATTGGCAATTCAGCACTGCCATCATGGCTCAGCAGCAGCAGGTCACCGTGCTGGACCAGCTCATGGCCCTGGCTGGCAGCCTCAAGCGCCAGCTGCTGCAGATCCAGCAGCAGACCAAGGAGGGGGCGGCCCAGGCGCCCAAGGGGGCGCGGCAGGCCCAGAAGAAGAAGAAGAGGGCGCTGCACGAGCGGGCCGTGGCGGTGGCTCAGAGCGGGCCTGGGCTGGCGGTGCTGGGGGCGGCCGCAGCGTACGCCACCGTGCGCGGCGGCATCGAGGGGTTCCACCTCCTCAGGCGCCGCTTCCTGCGTGGCCTGCTGCTGGATGTGTGCGCGGCGCTGGATGCGCTGGGCCAGACGTGGTGGATCGACTTTGGCTGCCTGCTTGGGATCCACCGGTGGGTGTTTTCCCTCGCAATTTGCGGCAACATTTGGGATCGCCTGTTTGATGCTTGAGCCTCCGCATCCCGGGGTGGCATGTTTATATGGCATGAATCTCCACCCTCCTGCTGTGCAGTGACGGCGACCTGATAGCCCACGATGTGAGCCCTGCTGCGGTGTGGCGTGTGATGTGCGCCTTTGCCATGTGCAGGGCGACAGGCTGGTCAGGGCATCCATTGTGTTGCTGCTCAGGGCTCCCTGGGAGCGTGGTCGTGGCAGCAGCGCTGGCGGCGGCAGCGCGGCAAGCCTGCCACAACCCCTCTTTTCCTTCTGCTTGCTGCAGAATGATGTGGACCTGGCGGTATTCAACCCGGACTGGCCCGCGCTGCTGAAGGGGCTCAAGCAGCACCTGCCGCCCAACAAGTACAGCCTCAAGGGTGGGCTGGCCGGCAGATGGCCGGCGACCTGGCGTGCTGCATGGGCTGGGCAGCAAACTGGACGTCTGCGGCCAGGCAGGGTCGAGCATCAGTGGCAGTATAGGCTCGAGGTCGGCATGCACGCAAAGCCTGCTGCCCCATGCCCCCTCGCCTCCCCCGTCCCCGCCCCGCAGTGGTGATGCCTGAGGGCCAGCCGCAGAGCAGCTGGATCCGCGTCTACTGCCCCCTGGGCATGGCCGACCTGTTTGGGGCCTATTCTTCCGGGTGAAGAGGGAGGACGAGGGAGCAGGGAGGGGCGCCGCCACCTGACATGACCGTGCTGGGTGCCCCAACCCTGCCGCTCTTGCCTGTCACGTCTGGTGCAGGAGCGCTGAGGGCGATGAGGGGCACGGCAGCGAGGTGTATGTGGACAACGGGCACGGAGACACCATGCACATCGCAAGGGACCTGGTCCTGCCCACCAGGCGGTCGCCCTGGAGGTGCGGGGCCAGCGGGCGGGCCACAGCGCTCCAGGCATCGATAGCCGCCGTTGATTCGAGCGGCGCACAGCCTTTTGAGCTGGGCAAGCCCGTGCGTGTGATCGACCGCTGCAGGGGCGTCAACCTGAGCGTGCCGGCAGAAGTGGAGGGCACGCTGGCGCGCCGCTACGGCCCCAACTGGCGCACCCCGGCCTACGCAGAGAAGGGGGCCGACACGGGTGAGGGGCGCGGGACTGGTTGCTGCTGGCATTCCGGCTCATTCCTCTCAAGGCGGGCTCAAGGCGGCTGGCGCCAACAGTGTTGCCTGCCTGCCAAGGCAAGCGCCTGCTGCACCTCCATGCTTGCAGTGGAGGGCTCCAAGCCGTACATGCGGCTGTTCCGCGCGCTGGCCAGGATTGGCATCCGCATCTGAGGCCTGGGGGCGGAGCAGCTGGACGCACAACCGGGTGCCTCTTTAGCATGAGGTGCCCTGCCAGGGCTGAACTCTTGTTGATACTGTAGCGGCGACCTGAGCCTTGTTTATTCCTCAGCTGGCCACATGTAAATGCGTGGCGATGCCAAGCCCGGGCAGGGACCCCCCCAGTGCGGCGCAAAGCATTACAGCGCCGGAGCGGGAGGAGGGGAGCAGGGAGAATACAGGAGCAGGGAAGGACAGCGGGAGCACACCCCGCTCCACCCCAGCTACGCTAGCCTGCCGCCGCGCCAGGGCCGCGGCCACAAGCGCGGGCCCTGGCTGCCGGGGACCTCAGCTGCGCAGCGCCTTTGTGATCATCTGTGTCGCCCAGGTGGCTGTGTCGGCAGTGGAGGAGTCCTGCTGCATCTGCTGCAGGAAGGGCTGCACAAAGGGCTTCTGCTGGAACAGCACCCCCACTTGGCTGAGGGAGGAGGCCACGTCGCCGAGCAGCGCCGCGGACGCCTTCCACACGCCTGCAGCGGGCGGGCAGGCGGCGGCAAACAGTCAGACACCAATGCAAGCCGGGGCGTGCTGGCTCCGAAACAGTTCAGCCGCCCCTTGGCCTCCTGCCGCATCCTGCAGAAACCAAGGGCTGAACGAGCACGCGCTCGCCGCCACACACGCAGCGTGCAGCAGCCCAAGGCATCCGCGGCGCCGCCGCCGCCACCCACCCTCGTCCTGCCCCGCCTTGTCCGCGTAGATGGCCTCCACAAAGTCGAGCAGGGAGGGGGCAAAGGGCTTGAGGTAGTGGTCCGCCTTCTCCTTGCTCAGCCCGTTGAACATGCCCGCCCACGACTCCAGGATGCCTGCACGCGGCAGCGCAGGGCAGCGGCCAGGCAGAGGCGGGCGTGCTCTCGTCACACGTCAGCAGCTGAATGCGCCCGGCTCACCGCCGCAGCGCAGCCACGCGGCTGTTGCTCGCGTCCCCGCCGCTGCTGCCTCCATGCTGCAGCCGGCGCGCTCGCCCGGCGCCTGGGGGGCCCCGCCAGGTGAACAGCCCCACCCACCCCACCCGCCCACCCCACCCACCGTGCCGCAGCAGGTTGTTGTACTCCGCCAGGTCCTCGTCCCCCGCCTGCTGCTGCTGCACGCTGAGCTGCATGGCGCTCTGCAGCATGGTCACCACGTGCTGCAGGTACTTCTGCAGCGCGGGGAGGGCGC